ACGTAATCTGTGGCATGGTGTGTTTACATAATCTGTGGCATGGCCTGTTTACATAATCTGTGGCATGGCCTGTTTACGTAATCTGTGGCATGGTGTGTTTACATAATCTGTGGCATGGTGTGTTTACATAATATGTGGCATGGTGTGTTTACATAATAACTGTATTATGTGTTAAAAACAAGAGATCACACAAGGATCTTGGAACCCACCATAGTTTGATACATATCTATTTGTTCTTTAAATATTAGATATTTTCCCTTCTTTTCTCTTCCCTGTTTTTGCTCTTAATGAAATCAGTTTGAACATTCCTTTGTAGAAATAGCAATAATAATATGTAACTACCAAATCAAAAATGGTTGCCTGGTAGCCATTTTGTTTTTCTAATCAATTCAAACCCAAATGGGCACAAACATGGACCAAGGGGAAATTAAATATGAAATCTGAGAGATATATCCAGTACTTTAAAAAAATGGTAATAACAAACGTTACTAAGCTTAACTAGATGTCATCTAAGATGGTCGCCTGCTGCTACTTTTTTATCAGTCCCAAAAACCTATTGGGCACAACTAGAGGCCAAGAGGAACCTACATATCAAAATATGAGAGAACCATCAAGTACTTCTCAAGAAATAGCGATAACAAACTTTACAGTAAACATTCAAAATGGCCACATGTCAACCATATTGTGTTTCTGATAAGACCCAAATCAAACATGCACAACTAGGGACCAACGACAACCTAAATTTGAAAACTGAGAATGATCCAACCAGTATCTCTGAACAGATAGCGATAACAAAAATTGTTTAGGGACAGGTATATGGACCTCAGATTTGAATAGTCCACCACCTGATGATGGATGGACAAAAACAGTATTATAATTTATTTATAAGAAACAGCTTAGACCTGGAATTTCGGCATATTGCCTCAGGGACCTAAAGTTCGATTTGACATTTTCAAAAATTGATATTACAAAACATAGTTACTTCAGAACACAAAAGGGTGCTTTAACATGTAGAACAAAATCAGCATAGCTCTGGTATCATTTATATTTTTAAAAAACCTAAATTAAACCCTGGTTCATTAATGTAACACCATGGACATTTTTTACTAGCTGAGTTTTAACAGGTTTGGATTTGAAACATTTCTGAGAATGACTAGAGATACATAAGCTTACACAACAATTGAGTCTTCTTCATCCGAGCCTGCCTCACACTACATCGGGACATAATCCAAGCATTCCTACAGATTTTTTTTAAGTATTTACTTTATTTCTCATATTAGGGGAGCTGAGGCCCACCATTACCATAAAATTGATTCCACTTCATCCAAGGATACTTCAGAACAAATTTTGGACAAAATCAAATAATTCCTACAGATTTTACCATTTTAGGAGCCGAGAACCACCATTTATCAAAACTTAGCTCCCCTTCCTCAAGGATGTTCTTGGCCAAATTTTGCGAAAATCTGTTCAACCATTCATGACTAGTACACAATGTAGCTATTTTTAGTAATTTCTATTTCTAGTATTTTCGAAATTCTATAATTATCACATCTAGTTTAACAAGAGGTCCATATGGCCTGTATTACCAATTTTATTCTACTTTTTCCAATCTGAATAAAGAAAAAAAAAAGATTCTAAAGGTTTACAAGTGTTTAACCTTTGGGCCCTGTCCCCAACCAAATCTGGACAAAATATTTCTATAGCATAAGGATTTCAGAGGTTTTACTATATATTCCTCATAGGGCCAATCCAAGCACAATATTTACGCAAACTTTGGTTTTCCTTCACCAAAGGATGTTTCTGACCAAATTTGGTCAAAAACCTTTTTGTTATTCATGACTAATCATTTTAGGAAAAGCTGATGGTCTACGGTCATCGCACAGACGCCAGACACATCACCATGGGATAAAAATCGCATCATAATTAATCTGTTCATGTGAAAACTGTGGTTCAGCAGGCTTATCCATTAAGTAAATCCTGTATCCAACACTGCTGTATACATGTAGTACTATACCACAGCACAATATAGATATCTCATCAATCTTATTATCACATACTTATCATTTATAACTATCTAAATAATCATGTTTTTAAGATTGCTATATGTAAAAAATAAATCAAAATACCCTTTTATAAGATCTTATTCAACAAATTAGACATTTAAAACTGTATCTTTTACCAGCAAATAAATATACTGGTTCACGTTGTATTGTAGTCTTACACCCAAATAAACATTGAAGTTAATGTATTGTAGACTTACATACAAACATAAATGGATTTATAGGATCGAGCAGAATCGGGTGGTTTATGTGTAAAATTTGGGCATTTAATTGATTTTAAAGGGCTTACTTAAAATGTAAAGATTTCATATTAGCCAATAACGTACTGAGCCGCTCAAGACCGAAAGATGATCTAGAGGATCGGGCAGAATCAGGTGGTTTATATGTAGTTACCTTATTACAGATGTTTCTACTGCTTCACCGCCGACGTCCTCAGCCGAGGCCATCCCTCATTGCGTGTTTCGACCCCTAGCTCGGTACGCTCTCAGGATGGGGGGGTCCACAGTGATGATCTGTCACTGCGAATCGGTGGTGGGTGTCCACCTACTTGAGTCTTTCTTCATCAACACCCAGCATGAAGATCTCTCTGTTGCCTTGGCCATCCTCTGCACCGCTGATCTCTTGGCCCTGCCCGACACTCCCCATGCAGCTAGCATTCTCCACACAGACTGTGCGGGAAAGCCCCTGCATCCCACCTTGACCGGGAAGCTCCAAGTCTGCCACCCTTTCTCCCTGCACTCCATCAGCAATGCTTTGTATTTTCCTCTCTTCCGTCCGTATGCTTTACTACACTTTTCCTCCCATGGAACTGTCAGCTCTGTGGCAATTACCATTCTTGTCGTTGACGACCAAAAAACCATATCCGGCCGAAGGTTGATTGGTACAATGCCCGGAAATGTTAGTCTCTAATTAAGGTCGACCGCCGGCAGCCAGTCTCCTGTCTGACAAAGAATTCCGGAGGTTCTCTGCGGTGATGCGGATGTTGGTGTCTAACCTTCCTCCACAAACCTAATCTGCGTATGTCTGGACCTTGGTTAGCTGGCCTTAAGACTTGGTTGTGGCGCCATGTATATCTTCCCTGTGCTAAGGTCACCTGACAAGAGGTAAGAATGTGCTGTAATGTTTCTCTCTCCACACAGGTCACTGCAAGGTGACGATGGAGATTTGCTGGTGTTGGTAGCACGTCATACACAGATCGGAGGAGGAATTGCAGTTGGAATTCCGGGTACTTCCAGATTTCTTACCAGGAAAGTGCACGCTGTTCTGCATCCCATCTTGTCCACGCTCCTTGGACTCCCAATGAAATTGCTTTGGCCTGTCTTTGTTCTTCCTCGCCATTTCTAATTTCCTTCTGGACCATCCTATGCTTATCTTCCGCATCAGCCTTTTTCCAGAAGTGCTCTTAGTTGTTCCTAAACATTGTCTTCCTACTGCTGTTGTTCCAACAATGTCTTTGTGTATCAGTCTACTGATAGAATTGGGGCATTGAAATGTTCTTTGTATAAGTATGTTGTTTTTGAAAGACCATAGTTAAATATGGCCTTGATTAAGGATAAAATCCTATTAGAGAATGTGCAAAGAAGAGCCATGAAGCGTGTCCCAACCCTGAGAAACCTGTCCTATGGTGAGAGACTGGGGTCTCCCAACGCTGGAGTATGGAGGAAACGTCCTGACCTGATTCAACTATTTAAAACTATTAATAAAATTGATCAAATAGATTCAAAAAGTATGATTGTACAACCAAGATACACAGCTACGAGAGGGAACAGGAATAAACTGTACAAAAGACCGTTTCGGCTCAATACTTGCAAAAATACATTCTCCAACCGTGAAATCAATCCGTGGAACAATTTACCGGACAGTGTTATTGCAGCAAACTCTGTGAATAGCTTCAAGACCAGGCTGAACACCCACTGGAAGGATCATACCGATAAGTTCACTGCCTAGTGTACCTGTCAAGCTGTTTGTGGATTGCCCCGCCACTTGACTGTTACTGCCCAGTACCAAGATAACAATGTATATAAGAATGTAAAAATGAAACATGACTTTTTGTACTTGAAACAAGATGAACAGAGGCCAAGTGACTATATTAGGAATACAAATATAAGACCCAAATCAATATCATATTACCATATTAACATCCCTGTTTTTACCTGTTATTCCTTTTAAACTTGTGTTAGAATATATAGTGACAAGGTGTCTGGAGATTGTTTCGCCACTTGTCCTTTAATACCAACTACGTGTTAGTTAATGTTAATCAAGACCTAAAATTCATTTTCCCAAATTATATGACTAATTTTTTTTTGATTTGTACATTTTTTCTACAATTGTAATAACCGTGCGCGTGCAACCGGGACTCATGGTCAGTGTAAGGGGGAATTAAGTTCCCCATTGAGTACATCGCAACAAGAAGATTGAAGATGCCTCTCTGCAAGCGAAGCTTTCAATCGAGGCGACATATCTGTGAAATATCTGCGAAATAGTGATTTCATATTGACCAAAAACTGACACACAAGACATTTATTTTTTCCGTATAATGTGTCTTGCAAGACTGTCCTGGAGACGATTTACAGCATAGTGCTAGTTTTATTTGAGCATTGAAATGTTCTTTGTGTAATTATTTAGTTTTTAAAGGGCTAACTTAAAATGTCATGTTTTCATATTAACCAATAACTGTAAGAAAAGATGTTGTAATAATAAGAAGGTCCCTTTAGAAAAATAACATTTTACCTCACCAACATGTTCCGATTCTGTAAATAACCCGCCCTTCTTCATTTTTCCTTAAAAACTGGTCATAATGTTTAAAATAAGATGGGTGTGAAACGTCGGGATGTCTTTTCTGTATAAAGAGTTCTAAAACGAAATATGAAAAAAAAACAGTACGAAACTGCGTAGTGTCAGAGACATATAACTCTGGTAGTGTGAAATGAGTTTTGGCGAATGCCGGAATTAGCCAGACGTTGCGGGCAGTCTGAGCCGCACCGCTCTGCATTTAGTAAACCCCTGTATTGCCCAATCACATCGTCCGATTCTGTTATTTACATCATGGCTGCCGGTAGAAAGCAGGTACAACACTGAAAGAATGATTTACAACATTGTTCTCTTGATATTTAGAGAATGGAAATGGCATCACTGACATAATGTCTACTGTTCTGTTTAAATAATTCACGTTTCCCACAGTAAATTATTTCATCCTATAAAAATACGCACAGAGTTAGATATGTCGTTAACAGGCTGAGCACAACGTACGTACTGGTCTTGCATTTGAGGCGAAGTTGTTGCTTTGATTAAGCAATTAATCAAATGCAGTGTCATATTTTGAAATAGAAACACATAAAAATTTGCAACCAAAAAGGGCGTCATATTTTTACAGGGCTCAATAATCTATGCAACGTTGTAAATTTTTACACAAAAGTGAATGACTTGGTTGTAATGCGTTTTGTAAAAGCCACAAACTTTGTATCTCCGCCATTGCTTATAGAGTGGCTAAAGAACGCAATAAATTCATGTTCACTTTTTACATACACGAAATGCTCCTAATATTAATGGAGAACATGGTCAAGTTAAAAAGAAGACGCCATGTTTTTGTTGCAAATGTTCAAAAGACCTTTGTCATTCTGTTTTTACTGATTCTGCACGTGAGTAACTAATTGCTAACTCGAACGGTATACCTCAAATGCAAGACTATAACCAACATGTATATTTATGCCCAACCTATTTAACGTTAAAATTAGACATGTTTAACCGCTGATGTCTAGGCTCATTGTGCAGTAGGTAAAGAGTGACGGCCACAACAGTCTTCAGTGATGATTGTTAAAATCTGTTAATCATCTTGATACGTAAGTAAGGCATTTAGCCTGTCTTCATACCAGGACATTTCCCAAACTAGTACAAACCATTAATGCAGACACACACACAAACTGTCAACATGACACAAAATCAAGTCACTGTGCCATTGACAAATGCAAGACTGAACCATTCAAAATCACGAATTTGCCCACAACCTGCTAATTCCTTGACAGTGACACTACACAAATAAGTCTCATAACTCATTACTTAAATTTCAACCATAGCTTGTGTACATCAGAAACTCTCTCAATTTGTCATTCTGTGGATTTTAATTGCACATGTTCCTAGCTGTTCTTATTACATGTTTACATGTTTATCTACACTTTGTACATCACTTTGTCTGTAACGTCCAGTACAATGCCTAATACCTTAGCGATGCCTCAGAAAAGTATGTTAGACACAACCCCACATGCCTTTGTTCCGTGGAGTTACTCCTCTTTCTCCTTTTGCCCCACAATTTTCTCCTTCCATTGCATAATTGATATTAATTTGGGTTTTTGTAGATACAAAATTATTTCTGATTTTGTCTTTATAGGATGCTATGGATACTGAAAGTGACAATAATATTCAAGCATGGAAACGCAAGACAGAAAAAGCAAAGAAATCGGATATCCTAAAAGAACTCAACAAATTACGAGTACAGTGAGTGTTAATTGGAGTAGCATAAAAGGACTTTAGCGGCTCTGAGTGACTGCCTTTATTTCATCCTTCATTGCAATCAGTCACTGAAATAAAAATACAATTTTTTCAAAGAATAAAAGACTTTTAAAAATACACATGAGCAGTAACAGGGTTAAAAGTATCTGAAGTCTGATAGCTCAAGTTTGATAGCTAAGCTCTAGAAAAAAATCATCCTTGTCTTGAGAGAGTAGTATCCTAATACTTCTTTAATGTACCAACATGACTGTAGTGATATTTACAAGTGATATTTCATAAAGAATTTATTATGTTTAGGCATAAAAAGGTATATATTTTCATGTTACAGGTTAGAAAACATTTGGGAACATATAGATTGTGTATGTAGTGCCATGATGGTGGGATGGGTCATTCTATGGTTTAGTAGAATCAGTTGTCTTTAAATATATGACTTATAACTGGAAGACTTTAATTGTCCTCCCTGAAGCTCCTTAAGCTTGACACAATTTGATTGGTGTATAAAATCTGTCATTGTATATAAATTCATCACATCGTTTTACAATGATAAATGATTCTGATATTATAATTTACAATCAAATTTATCCTAAATTTCATTCAAAATATTATATCTCTACCCAATCTAGATGTGTTTATTGCAGATATTTAAGTTGTTGGAAACTGTGGTAATAGATTTGATGAGGTTAAGCTTACCTTTCCAAAATTTTGAAAGTTGAATTTTTGTTTCAGAATTGTTGCCCTTGACAGAGAAAAATCAACTCATCTTTACAGCAAGAGAAATGATTTTCGACAAGATTTTCTCCCGCTTCAAGAAATGGAAACAAAGGCAACAGAGAGTAGGAAATCAGAGCGTACGTAGCTGAGCGGTACTTATGATACATAACCCTATCATAAGTCTTATATGAAATGGAAACAAATAATAACATGCTATTCATAATAAAGATACTTTTGCAAATGTTTATGAAAATAGTCTTTTTTTAAACATTGATTCAAAAACTAAATTGGTGATGTTCTCACTTACTGTCCGTTTTCTTTAATGATGTCACCCTGCATATGATGTTTTAAAGTAAGGTGCTACAAAATTTTAATGGACACAACAGGAACCTTCAGCCAATTACAGCTTAATGGGATAGTTATATGATAAAGAAAGGTGTTATTATACCAACAGTGGGGTAGTTATATAATTATGTGATGAAGAATGGGTGTTATTATACTGGTAGTGGAGTAGATATGTAATGAAGAATATGTGTTATTGCACTGATAGTGGGGTAGATAGGTGATGAAGAATGAGTGTTATTGCACTGATAGTGGAGTAGATATGTGATGAAGAATGGGTGTTATTGCACTGATAGTGGGGTAGATATGTGATGAAGAATGGATGTTATTGCACTGATAGTGGGGTAGATATGTGATGAAGAATAGGTGTTATTGCACTGATAGTGGGGTAGATATGTGATGAAGAATGGATGTTATTGCACTGATAGTGGGGTAGATATGTGATGAAGACTGGATGTTATTACACTGATAGTGGGGTAGATATGTGATGAAGAATGGATGTTATTGCACTAATAGTGGGGTAGATATGTGATGAAGAATGGGTGTTATTGCACTGATAGTGGGGTAGATATGTGATGAAGAATAGGTGTTATTGCACTGATAGTGGGGTAGATATGTGATGAAGAATGGATGTTATTGCACTGATAGTGGGGTAGATATGTGATGAAGAATGGATGTTATTGCACTGATAGTGGGGTAGATATGTGATGCAGAGGACATACCATCATGTACTTACTGATTACCTATATGTATAGATATCCATGAAGTACAGAATGCTATAACTAACTGTAATGGTATATCTTATGTTTTATTTATCTGTCCATTGCTCACTGCTTACCTCCTCAACTTCTGATACACATTACACGTCTGTAATTTTATTTTTGATACAATGTTTTTTCTTTCCTAAGATATCATTATCATTGTGCTGTTGCTTCCTGATATTGTATATAGTGGTTCTTACTGATGTAGAGTTAATGCTGTAATCTTTGATTGTGATAAAATAAGTATGTTTATGTTAGACTGATTATTTACTGTATGAATGATTAAATTTCAGAAATTAAATTAAAACAGCAGCTTGAGAAGATCAGCCACATGGTAAAGAGATTCCATACAGAACTGAAGGATGTAAAGCCCACACCAGAGTGTATGTTAAAAATTCTCATGGGGAATCATACAAATTTCTAGAACTTGCTACCAGATACATCTGTTTTCACTAGATCGGCAATTTTAAGATTTATGATTTTGATCTTTACGGAAGAAGATAAATTGTGGATAAGATTACAAAATTTTGGATAAATTTCAAATAAGTTATCATGTTCTTTTAGGAAGGACATCAGATCTCAAGGTGAGGATCTCTTAAACTACTGTGATATCATATATTTTCCTGGGACTTAATTTTCATGGTTTTTCAAAAAAATCACCATTTCCTGGACAAATGATTTTGTGGATAAATAACCCCAATAAATCTGCTTTGCCTACTTTTAACAGTTCAGGAACATAGGAATTCATGGTTTAAGAGAACTTGTGAAATCAGTGAAAATAAGTTCCCACGTAAATGAATTATTCTATTGTAGAACTTTTTATGTTGCAGTCGTAGAAAAGCTGAAAATTATCATGGAAGAAATAGAAAGCACAATCAATGCTTTTAAGGAGCAACAGAGAAAACAGTGAGTACATATGTACTATATCTGATAAATTGATATTGAAGAGAATAGGCAGTATACCATGACTGACCATATATTACACATATATAAGTATCTATTATTAAGTTTGAAAGAACTTCATTACTAGATGGAATATATACAGACCCCCAGAAATAGGTTGGCATTTAAAACCCAAGTTATGAGAGAAGATCAATTGTAGATTATATACAAGATGTACTTCAGGTCATGTGAAGAGTGTTCCTTATTAGTGAAACCTGAGGAGAGAAGCTTTCTCCTGTTAATGTCTTTATAGTAATGTGGTTTTACAAGATACAGGGAGTTGATAAGCGAGAAATGGATGACTTCACATTTCTTCATTTGTAGAATAAGTTATGTCTGTTGGTTTTTTTTTCCAGATATGAGGAGTTGATGAGAGAAGAAAGGACAACTACGCAGGAGATTCTGGCTCTGGAGAAGAAGTTTGAAGCATGGTCTCAGATGGGGGACGATCTACCATCAGCGAGAAAGGCTGCGCCCTCTGCCCCATTAACTAGTGCTCGAGACATCACCAAGGATCTCCCTCCTGAGGTTGCTGCATTCGAAGTAAGATTCAACAGGATGTTCACCTTAATTATAGACGATGACCCACTAAAACTTGATTGTAAGATTACCGTGTATATCACAAGTCCCTTTGTTTTCACTGCTGTTTGTTTGTGACACAAACTTTATCAGGGTTGAAATGTGTGGAATGATGAGTTAAAATGTGTGAAATGCAGAAGACTGTTTATTGGTATAAAGCCTTGTTGAGATAAATCAGAGTAAAGATATTATTAAGGGAATTTTGTTGCCAATTTCTCCCTTGTTGAATCATTTTTTGGTCTAAATAACCAAGTATTGGCCTCAGTAATAATGCTATATTTGTGTAATGTTCATAAGGTCTGTACTGATAATATATTGCATACATTTCTATTTATAGAAATTTCTTGAGCAGACAGGAGGCATACGAGGAGGATGGGATGAATATGATCATCAGACTTTCCTTAAGTTTAGACATAGAAACAAGGTAAGTTATTAGGTCTTCTAGATTATTGCAACAATTACTCACCTTTTATGAAATGAATATGTGGTTATATTAATCTTTTGGCAAGATATTCTTGAGGTTTTTTTTTTAACAAATGAAAGATTTTTTTGTTCTTTAGAAATTTACCAGTAAGTCTAAATTTAAATCTAGTAGATTCTTATACATCACCTTAATCTGAAGTACAATAAATATTTAATCAAAACTGAAGGATTATCAGGAGTCTTGTATTGACTGTGAAAAGACATTCTCCATATGATAGGAAACTATGTTTATAATTATAATCTATTAATTGCTCTACCAAAGTCTGCCAGAGTCACTAAAACAAGACTGAAGTGAAATGAGAATAAAAAATACTGTGTATATATTATGCGTCAAACTGTCCATAAAAAGTCTTACCCCAAAACAGGGAATGGATTTAATATAGCACAATAATACAAAAAAGACCTTTTTATTGTCTTTAGATGTGAATTTCAGCAATGCTCTATAGATATACGTGTACCTGGATGATATTTCAGGGTGGACCATCCTGCCCACATCAATACTTTATAGCTATATCTGTACTTGGATGTTATTTCAGGGTCGGCCAGCTTTCTTACATCAATGTCTTATAGCCATTCCAACTCGTACCGAGGAAGAAATTACGAATCATGAAGACTGGTACCAAACCTACCTTGACATGAACGAGAGTAAAAAAGAGAGTATACGCAAGTGGAAAGACAGAAAACAGGTACATAAACATAAGTACTGTAGTGTTAACAAAAACTGATACAAATATAATTTACCATAAAATGATGGAAAACAGGTTTCGTCTAGCTAGATCTCTGTCTTAGCTTATTTGTTAATTTAAGGTCACTGTTACTTAATCTTCGTGGGAAATGATAATATAAATATTATCTGTTGCCAGTTAGATATTGGCATTTAGAGCCATCGCCCTTTAAACAATTCAGGTTGACTTGTTTATGCAGATTAAATGGTTCCCCTTATTAATTATATAAAATATTTTAAGTATAAATTATCATGGCACATCACTTGGTAATACACACCTTGAAACAGCTAGTCAGAAATCAAAATCAGATCAGTAGGCCCATGCTTAATTGATAAATAAATAACCATAGTACAACCAACCAAATTGAAAATAAAACAATCCTGGTGTAAAAGGTAATAACTGAAGAAATAGTAGGAACAGACGAGGTATTGGTATTTCACAGAAAATTCTGACATATATCATTTGGAGTTCTGCTAGTGAGGTTTTCTGCTTCCATGGCAAGTACTAGTGTCTCAAGGTATTAGGGATGTAATAGGAAGAAATTTAAACACTGATAAAACATGAATACTGAGATCCTTTACCTTTTGAGGCATTTTTCACAAAATTTCTAGAGTTTCTGTCCACAGCATTAAAAATATTCTTATAGGTATTGCTATATCCTCATACCCTTGATTTTACTCCAAAAACTGAGAGGGTACTCTATCAACAGTGAAGTTTCTTGAATGTAAGTTAAATGAGTTTAATTTTAGAAATAAAATAACAGTCCTGTATTTGTTTTGGAGTAGAGAAAAGTTTTTTAAGGTAACTATGGCGGTTTTTGTTTTTTGCTCTTTTGAAATTAAACATCTGGATGTTATAAAATGGTTTATTCTCCATTAACTTACCATATTTAATGAAAAAATAACATTCATATCCACAAATACTTGTGTTGTAGCCAAGGTGACATGAAACATATCGCACCGTTATCCCTCTTGACATTTTGACTCAATATTACCATTTCCATTTTTGTATTCCTTTTGATACGACCTATCCTAAATATTTCTTTGTCAGGGAATGGGTATATTTTGTTCTGTCATATGGTACTCTTGTTTACAGAAGTTATCAAAACGGTGATGGTTCTGTTTATATATTTATTTCATGATATTTTTTTCTTTACATGATTTTATTCCACCCTCAAAACCAATGACAGATAGTTTCCCTCAAAATGTTTTCTTTAGTCCAGAAATTTACGTCCTTAAAATGTTTTCTGTAGAGAGAGAAAGACGACCTAGTATCTCTTGCTGATGACAGCCTCAATAACAAAAAGAAGAGAGAGGAGGAGAAACAGCAAGCCATTAAAGAGAGAATGGAAAATGAGAAAATGGAAAGATTTTCAAAACTGAACGCCTGGAAGGTAAGAATAGAAAATGAGAAAATGGAAAGTTTTTTCAAAACTGAATGCTTGAAAGCTAAGAGTAGAAAATGAAAGAGTGGAAAGATTTTCAAAACTGAAGTGGAAGGTAAAAATGGAAAATCAGAAAATGAAGGGATACTTCACATCAATCATACTTTAGCAGAAGTAGCACATGAATATTCTTAATAGTAAATATATATAGACTGGCATACACAGACAAAGATTTTGAGCAGAGGTGTTGTGTATAAATAACTTGATTACAGTTGTTGACCCCTGTTATTCTCCATTGGATATTTATCAATCTACAGTAAGTAGATTCAGGCCTTTAATCCAGAGCCTGTCTTTTGCACAAATATTTCTGAAATCTTGCTTTTTAATTTCATAATTTTATTTTTCAGGTTCAGAAAGAAATTGAGAGGGCAGAAGCAGAAGAAAAATCATTGAAAGAACAGCTTGAAAAATCCAAGAAAAATGATGATTTCAAAAAAAGACAGGTATTGAGAGTATGATAGAAAATTTATGATATTGTTTTTATGGCCATGTTATTAGAGTCAGAGATAATAGTTTTAATTCCTGGTTGTAAAACAACCCCTACTTTTAAGTTTTCAGAGATAGTTTTAATTCCTGGTTGTAAAACAACCCCTACTTTTAAGTATTCAGAGATAATAGTTTTAATTCCTGGTTGTAAAACAACCCCTACTTTTAAGTATTCATTTCCAAGTTTTTTATTTATATAATGCTCTCCTGTTACAGACAAAGTTTTCAGTTTGAATTATTAATTTATATAATGCCCTCTTATTACAGACGAAGTATTCTGTTACAGTTATTAAGACTAGTAAGCCAGGGGTCCCAGGCATTGAAATAAATATTGACCTCTGTTACATTATATAATACCCTCCTATTTCAGCCAAAGTATTCGGATTTTAGTTATTAGCTCACCTAGTCTTATGGACCCTTGGAGTGGGAGGGTGCTGTCAAATAGGAGAAATAGAGCAAATTCTTAAAAATACTATTCCTCCTTTAGGTATGATTGGATTTTGGCCAAATTTGTTTTGAAGCATTCTTGGCTGAATTAGTATCATTTTTATGTAAAAAATTGGTCTCAGCCCTCTGGGCAGGAGGGGCATGGGCACATAGGGGGAAGAGAGAGAAACTTTTTTTAAAAAAATAATCAAAATCCTTCTTTTTCTGTAGGAATGCCAGAATGTTTTTTTCAGTTTGGTCTTACTCAGTTTCCAGTTAATTTATATGATGCTTTCCTATAATAGACAGAGATGAAAGCCCAGGTGGAGGAATTCAGGAAAAAGCGAGAAGAAGAAGAGGAGTTTGTAAGGATTCAACAGGAGGAGTGGGAAAGAGAACAGAAAGAAAGACAGAAGCAGATCTCAGCCAGAGAAATATCCAGGTTTAGGCAGAGGGTAATTCTTAAATTGATTCTTAAATACATATTGAATGAATTTCAGCTCACCTGGTTTTCTTTTTCTGCAATCTTTGGAGTAGAATAAGGTAAAACGTTTGGTATTTAGTTTCTTGTAAAGTAAAAATATTTCAAAAGCTTGAATGTGAAAAATCTATTTATCCAGAAATTAGTTTTACATGGAGAAGTTAGGAAGGCTGGATTACTCTGAAAAGCGCTGGTACTGCAGATAACTGTAATATGATACATTGTTATAATGTAGCAAATGTGTCAAAATACTGATCATGTAAAATCTTATATCTTATAAAAAATTTCTACTAAAACTAGAATTATGAAGACTGTAACAACTGCATATAACAAGGTTGAGGGGAAATTTATGTGATTATGAGTAGTTTATAGTCACTTTTGACACCTCAGATTTAACCAGTAACCAAAGCAAAATTGCTGATATAGGGAGTTAAATAGCATCAGTATCGATAACAGATTTTCATTTACAGGATCAGAAATCTTTACATGAGAAATTAAAGAAGGATAAAGTCAAAGAAGAAGAGCAAAAGGAAAAAGAAAAGCGATTAGCACGATTAAAAAGTCAGGTAGGTGTTTTGTGTAGCTTTGTTTCACTCTTTGTTAGGGTTTTAGTATGTATCGATAAGAAAAGTATACCAAATTAATCTGAAGAAGATTATTTTCTTTTCTGGATTAAATATTCAAGGTTATTCCCAAGTGACTGCCGAACACTAATTCCAAGTGGTTACCTGACACTTGTTCCAAGTGACTGCCTGACACTAGTCCTAAGTGACTACACACTTGTCCTAAGTGACAGCATGAAATTAACCTTCATAAATTAGATCACATGATCCCAAGTTAATCAGTTCACTATAGGTAATATAATCTTTCCTAATTATATCAGACTATATATAGGGTATCGGAAAAAGTTCTATTTATCTCCATCTAGCACTGCCAGAGGAGATTACATACTTATCATCCACTGCCTCACCTGAGCGGTTTTTATCATTTACAATTCAACCTTCCACAGACACTTCAATTTTACTGTACTGTTGGACAAAATTCGTGTCTGTCTTAAAGTGGATTTTAATCAATAGTACCTAGTGTATAAGCTGGATTATATCTTCGATACTGTAACACCTACACTTTGTACAGTTGCCAGAGTTTTCATTCGAGCATTTTTTCAGTAGCATATTTAATTCAGTTTTTAGTCCACAAGATATATGTACACACCTACCAGTTTTTGTTCACTGTGTCATGGCCAGAATAATATTTTGAATTTCACCCAGATTTTGTATTAGTGTACCTCTTGGAATGCTGGAATGTAACACACTGATAATGGTTCCTAATAAATAGAATTATGGCTATTCATATCAAAGTATAACTGGAGGCAGCCCAGTTTGTCAATCCTTTTAATTACGTGCCTTTAACATATGTTCTTCATGTATTTTCTGGTATATGTTTTTCCTGTATTTCTAACTACAAGGGATTAAATATAAAACTCAAGATAAGATAACATTTATTATGTATTAAAATGATTCCTAAATCCCGTATGATTGTTAGAAGGTATAAAGGTTGATTTATGTATGGGATCTTAAATGAGTCTTCACTTCAAATGAGATTTTATGAAACTCCTCATAAATTGTTAGTGTTTGCTTTTTTCCATTGGCTGTACTGGTAAAAAAATATGGGTAAATTCACTGGATGAAAGGCAATTTATATATGTGATAAAATAAAATATCAATTTATGTAAGAAATAGAATAGAATAGTATTTCATGAATATAAGAAACCTTAATTGTATACAGTATGAGATCTGTCAAAAACTTGACTGAATTAAGTTATAATGGTATTCATTGTGACTAGGTGGAAGTAGAAGTGGATCGGGACCCAAACCGACTTCTACAACCAACTGCAGGTTGGAAATCCAGGACCAAGGAGATCGGTCCGAGTGGTTCAGGGCAGGTGATGCACATGCAACACAGGTGAGTTTCTTAACCATGTAACCATCATACTACAGCAAAAACATAAATTGTTGAAAATAGAAAAGCTATATTTTACATTTAACAATTTATCTAAATACTAGGTGTATAAATTATTCGAATACCTGTAATTTTTTTATGTTATATAAATAATACAAAAGTACATGTACAGCACGAATGTTAAGTGAATATATTGTTTGTTTCAGAGCTGTTCCCTCCTGGAGACAAGGTTTACATTAATAATGGCTACACACCTCTGGAGTGTAAGGACCAAAATGTATGAACGTTTGAAAAACAAATTCCTGTGATATAAATTTTATTATTCCTCTTTCTGAATAAATACATTACAAGGTGTATATCGTTTTAATATCCATACTTTTTGAGGTACATGTAAATGTATTACACATATATTTTCCTGGAACAAGAACAGAACATCATACAATTTGACAAATAAGAGTACGACAAGGCAGTATACACCTGTCCAATGTCGAAGAAAAGGATGTGAATATGGAACAAGTTCAAATGTCAGTGCTCTATATTTTAGTGATAAATTAAAGCAAACACACTTTTAAACAAACAAGTTGAAAATTGAAAGAAGAAATCTCTGGACTATTTCAAAATGCCAAAGAGAAAAAAGGGCATTAACTCTTTGTAATGTTGTTGAATCGATTTGCTGTTCATTAGAATACAATCTCATGTTGTTTTAAAGCATACCATGTTTCAAAGAAGTTGGCTTAAAACTGAGGGCGATAATATCTGGACAAGATAGCAAGAGGGCCATGGCCCTTAATAATCGTCTGACAATCGAGGAATGGATAGACAAACCTCAGAATTCGCTGATGGTGGTCTGACAAATCTGATTAATTCAAATTTTGAAAATTCTTTGAAAGTATCAGGAACTCATAAATGGTAGGTTCTGTGCATGAAAAACAGTTGCACAGTCATATTTGAAAGTAACTACTGTAGTTACAATGTTGAAGTTTTTATCATACTAGAAAATAGGAACAACTCATCTCTTTCTATTCTCTGGAAAAAAAAAATCTCAGTGGTGTGAATGAAACATGAAAAGTTGCTCAGGCTGTTTGTTTTGGATGAGTTATGTTGGATTTTAGGTCAAATTTGGTCAGGACAAGTTCAGGATCACTCCATGCATGTTTGATATCATTGCCACTCATCTATTCAAGCATTAAGAAAGAGTAGTATTTTGAAGCAAAATATTGTCTAATTTCCCATTTGGGGCCCCGCCACCAAGTCCCAATGGGTCAAATCAAATTTCTGATTTAAGAATTGTATGCTAACCCCTACTGATGTTTTCAACAAAATTTGAATGAAATCCATTCAAGCATTAAGCAAGATTATCCATTTTGAAGCAAAATATTGACTAACTTTCCCATTTGGGGACTGCCCCCAAGTTCCTAGGTGTCAAATCATCTTTTTGAATTTCGGAAATGATAACACTCCTGCAACAATGTTTCAGATCAAACTTAGTTGAAATCTACCCAAGCATTAAGGAGTAGCGATTGAAGCAAAATATTGTCAAACTTCCTCTTTTGGGGCCCTACTTCAAGTTCCTAGGGGATGAATCAACTTTCTAAATTTAAGGATTGTTTGCATACCCACAATTATGTTTCAGACCACATTTAGTTTAAATCTATTTAAACATTAGGGAAGAGTAGCGTTTTGAAGCAAAACTATTGATTAACTTTCCCATTTGGAGCCCCCGCCCTCAAGTCCCTTGGTATTAAATCAACTTTCTGAATTTAAGAAATGATTCTCCGACCTCAATGATGTTTCAGACAATATTTGATTGCAAAGCATTTAAACATTAAGGAAGATTAGCCTTTTTGAGGCAAAATATTGACTAACTTTCCCATTTCGGGCCTCATCCCCAAGGCCCTAGGTGTCAAATCAAATTTTTGAATTTAAGAAATGATAACCTGCCTGCAACAATGTTTCAGATCAAATTTGGTTGAAATCTACCCAGGCATTAAGAAGGAACTGAAATTTTGAATTTAATAAAGGATTGCTCTCACCTAATGATATATCGGACCAAATTTGGTTGAATCCACCAAGGCCTTAAAGAGGAGTAGGGGTTAAAAGAAAGCATTAATGCATGACAGATGGTGCATGACAACAGATGAAGCCAGTTGCTATAGGTAATGGTCAAGATGACCTAAATACCCAAGGGCAATAACTCTTCCTGAAATTGTAAAAACACAATGTCATAATGGAAAATGTGATTTCATGTTAAGTTTAAAAGGTGTGAAGAAAAACTAACAAAGGAGATCTCCAGACAATGGTAAGTAACTCTTCCAAACACAGTCTAATCATGCTGCTCTTCAGGAAAACACATCTTCATGACTTGGTTATCAAGCCTATCAAGTTTGAAAGAAATTGTTGATGACAAGGAGATCTCTTGATAAAGTAAAGACTTTTAAAAACTTAAGGGGGAGTATCTCCTCCAAATAAAGTCGAATCAAACTGGCATACATAAAAATACAACTTTTTTGTCATGCATAATTAATTGGTGGATAACTGTGGGAGGAGATCTCCGAACAACTTAAACGTTCTTTGTGGGTATGAACATTCATTGTAAATATCAGAAACTCATAAATAGTAGGTTCTGTTCATGAAAAGTAGTTGCACAATCATGTTACAAAATGGCAACTGTTGTTGAAGTTTTGATCGGGCTGAAAAATAACATTTCGAGATGATTTCAGACAAGTTGGGAGCTAAATCCCACTGGTGCAACTTGAGCAGAAGTTTGAAATAGTTGCACCAGAAAACTAGGATTGTGCTATCGTGTTACAAAATGGCCTCCCTGACAGCCAGTTTTGAAAAATAACAACACTTTCTTGGCTACCTGTTCTTAACATTCCAACCAATTTTTAGCTCAATGGCACCAGTAGACCTGGAGAAGTTTAAGGTATGTTTCTGAAGGTGGTGTCCATCTTGGATTTCAGACAGACAGCAAAATAACAACACTTCGTCAGGACCATCTCAGGATCATTTAACACAAGTTTGATCTCAATCCCACAGTAGGAACTTTAGAAGTTTAAGATGTAAAAAGTTTACACACGGCGGACAACAACAGACAAAGCACAATGGCTATAGATCATCATGACCCTTCGGGTCAGATGTCCTTAAAATATTTAAACAAGAATTTTGCATAATGCATCACATAAATTAAATTAAATTTATTCATGAATTTTACTTCATTTCATATAACAATCAATCATATGTAAGTCATATTGTATACAATATACAGTCCTTTTGCTGCCTCTTAATTATCAACACTTTGAAGGACATTATTAACGATGCAGTTTTGGCTGTACAAGTGTCCATTTAATGGGTCACATTTAAAACTATCATGGTACCCTAGCCTATCACAGCTCATTAAAGTTGTTTAGGTGATGGGATCTGTTTACAAATACCAGGTTGTTACCAGCGCTTGATAAAAAATATAACAATTTATTCGTGTTTTAAGGGCCATATCCAGCCTTACATGAATCATAAATGTACACACACATTCTATATATCTTACATCACTTTCTGTCAGAATATTTTTGACAAAAAGTTTCACACCTAGTGATTGCTATTATCGGGAAATTTTCAGTAATGATTGATAAAAGCTTTTACTGCATTGAGACCTTCGTCAGTGCTACATACACTCATTTAAAGTGAGATAGCAGTAATGGACAATTAAATTGGACTTAGTCAACAAATTTAAATGACAATAAATAATGAAATTATCAAAGATAAATGGTCACAAATAGCTACATTTGATGGTAATAAATCAAACATTAGATAATAGTTAAACTGAGCATTGGTAAATCAATAGCTACACTATAATTTTGACGACCCTGCATTCTCTACTACTCCCTCACTGATAAATCTACTAATATCACTCGGTGAGTAACCAATTTCTTTTAACACTTCTGACGTATGTTCCCCTATCCTCGGAGTAGGATAAACTTGGTCGACACCTGGAGTCCTGGACAGTCTAGGAGCAGGTGCTGGGGAATATCGTCCCTTGGCATCCTTCAGGAAGCTTTTGTTATACACGTTGTGTGGGTGTGAGGGTGCCTCATCGTAGTCTAGCACAGGACTGTAGCATGCATCTAGACCCTCAAACGCAACATCCCATTCATCACGTGTCTTTGTTAGGAATTTTTCCTTGAATTTCTGCCGCATTTCAACTGGGTCATCAAACTGCGAAACTTCATCACTCAGTCCAAGTCCTGTACACAGACAAACCACAAGTTCATGAATTAGTAATCTGTCAATACCATATGTCAATCTTAACATCATTGCAGTGTTATATTCAAGCTTATTCAAATCATTTAGCCCTTTGATTACAACTAAAAGTCAAAGCAAAATACTGAACAGGAAAAAATTATCTGACATTGACCTTTGATCTAGAAATTCTTACCTTAGTTCAGAAACCTAATTATCTATATTTCGTAATAATTTATCATTCATTGATAATATATTATCCAAGCAAGAAATAAATCAAATCTTGACCTTTGAAATGGTGACCTCAATTTTCAGTCTTGAGACTCCAAATACGATTTGTTTCATGTCAAATTTTCAGAAAAAAAAGGCAGTTGAGGAATAAAATGATTAAAACTATTGACCTGTTGACTCTAATCATACAACAATCACTTTCTCTGTTGATTCTGCTCAACTTTGCTTCACACAAGAAAGTATCAACAATCAATAACACAAGAGTATGTCACTCTTGATGTGGCAAAGTCAAGTCTGACAAACTTAATCTGCGATCTAAATCAGCTTCACTGATGAATATCATAATAAAATATTATCTCAGAAAAATATCTAACTTTTACACTGAAATCCAAGATGGCTCCTATGATTTTATTTATTTGCAAACAAAATTTATGTGACACAATAAAGCGCTAATGGGGGGCATGTGTACAAAAATAATACTTTCCAAGAAATAGTAATGACAACCCCTGACAATGAAACAAACCTACGGCAGTCATTGTTTAGTGAATGCAAAAAGTCAAGTTGTGTTATTTGGACCTGAATAATAACATAATTTGATTCTGATTCCTAGATAGCCATCTTCGGGTCAATTTGCCCTTCATCCTGGCAAACAAATGGGACAAATCAAAACTAACAGAATAACTTGGAAGTATTGATAAAGTGCAATAACAAGAATGGAAATATGGATAGACCATGAGAAGGGGTATGGACAGATGGATAGACCATAGACAAGAGGTATGGACAGATGGATAGACCATGGACAAGAGGTATGGACAGATGGAGAGACCATAGACAAGAGGTATGAACAGATGGATAGACCATAGACAAGAGGTATGGATAGATTGAGAGAGCATGGACAAGAGGTATGGATAGATGGAGAGACCATGGACAAGAGGTATGAACAGATGGATAGACCATAGACAAGAGGTATGGACAGATGGAGAGACCATGGACAAGAGGTATGGATAGATGGATAGACCATGGACAAGAGGTATGAACAGATGGAGAGACCATGGACAAGAGGTATGGATAGATGGAGAGACCATGGACAAGAGGTATGGATAGATGGATAGACCATGGACAAGAGGTATGAACAGATGGAGAGACCATGGACAAGAGGTATGGATAGATGGAGAGACCATGGACAAGAGGTATGGACAGATGGATAGACCATGGACAAGAGGTATGGACAGATGGATAGACCATAGACAAGAGGTATGGACAGATGGATAGACCATGGACAAAAGGTATGGACAGATGGATAGACCATGGACAAGAGGTATGGACAGATGGATAGACCATAGACAAGAGGTATGGACAGATGGATAGACCATAGACAAGAGGTATGGACAGATGGATAGACCATAGACAAGAGGTATGGACAGATGGATAGACCATGGACAAGAGGTATGGACAGATGGATAGACCATGGACATGAGGTATGGACAGATGGATAGATTTTGAACATATTGTATGTGCAGGTTGATCAATCATGGAGGAAAGGTACAAACAAATGGATAGACCACAGACAAAAAGTTGCTCAAAACATCCAGGATATCCTACATTATTAATGGTATCTGCGGACACATAAATACACCATATTTATATGCATGATTTTTAAGGACTTACCAACCTTTTACTAAATCATTAAAAAACTGTGGCTCCAGAGCACCAACACCAACAAATTTTCCATCTTTCGTTTCGTAAGTGTCGTAGAAGGCTGATCCCCCATCCAACACATTGTCTCCTCTTTCCTTACCCCAGATCGGCATAGCCCTTGAATTCCACAGCCAAGATCCTGCGAAATGATAGGATTACATCAATACTTTCATTATTTCTCTGTTTTTGACAGAAATCTTTTGATTATTTTTCCCACAAAGAACTACTTGACAACGCACATTATACTCCATAACACAGATATAATGATCTCATTTGAGTGCATTCTTCACATGTAAGAGATATATTCATTGTGATTCCTCTACAGTTGTACATGTGCTTTCACTGTCTGACATACCAACATATGCTGAGCCTTCCACCATATTGGAATCGATCACTTGACCGTTGCCAGATAATGACCTTTCAAACAAAGCCATTGTAATCCCAAAAGCACAAGTGAGGCCACCTCCAGCAAAGTCTGCCACTAAGTTGATTGGAGGGTATGGACGTTCTCCCTTCCTTCCTAACTGACCAAGTATACCTTAAAATACAACATAGAGCAGTCAGGTAAGTAACATACAAACAGGTAAGTAACATGCAAAATAAGTAGGTAACATACAAACAAGTAGGTAACATACAAACAGGTAAGTAACATGCAAAACAAGTATACAAGTAAGTAATATACAAAACAGGTAAGTAATATACAAACAGGTAAGTAACATACAAAACAAGTAGGTAACATACAAAACAGGTAGGTAACATACAAAACAGGTAAGTAACATGCAAAACAAGTACGTAACATACAAAACAAGTATGTAACATACAAAACAGGTAGGTAACATACAAAACAGGAAAGTAACATACAAACAGGTAAGTAACATAAAAAACAGGTAAGTAACATAAACAAGAGGCCCATGGGCCTTAACGGTCATCTGACAAAAAGCAAGCCAAACCTAGAAAGTGGGTTGAGGTCATTCATTTGAACAAACTTGGTAGCCTCTCCTCCAAGCATCTTACAGGCCCAATATCAGCACTCATGGACTTTTGCTTGTTGAGAAGAAGTCGTTTGTATATTTTAACATATTTGACCCCTGTGACCTTGAAAGTGGGTTGAGGTCATTCATTTGAATAAACTTGGTAGCCTTTCCTCCCAGCATGCTACAGACCTAATATCGGCACTCATAGACTTTTGCTTATTGAGATGAAGTCCTTTGTATATTTTAACATATTTGACCCCTGTGACCTTGAAAGTGGGCCAAGGTCATTCATTTGAACAAACTTTGTAGGGCTCCATGCCAGCATGCTATGGGCCAAGTATTAGCCCCCTAGGCCTTCTAGTATTTGAGAAGAAGTTATTTAAAGATTTTGACATATTTGACCCCTGCGACCTTGAAAGTTGTTCAAGGTCATTCATTTAAATAAACTTGGTAGCCTTTCCTCCCAGCATGCTACAGACCCAATATCGGCACTCATAGACTTTTGCTTATTGAGATGAAGTCCTTTGTATATTTTAACATATTTGACCCCTGTGACCTTGAAAGTGGGCCAAGGTCATTCATTTGAACAAACTTTGTAGGGCTCCATGCCAGCATGCTATGGGCCAAGTATTAGCCCCCTAGGCCTTCTAGTATTTGAGAAGAAGTTATTTAAAGATTTTGACATATTTGACCCCTGTGACCTTGAAAGTTGTTCAAGGTCATTCATTTAAACAAACTTGATAGCCCTTCATCCCAGCATGCCACAGGCACAATATCAGCAATCTGAGCCTTTTGGTTATTGAGAAGAAGTTGTTTAAAGATTTTAACATATTTGACCCCTGTGACCTTTAAAGTGAGTCAAGGTCATTCATTTGAACAAACTTGGTAGTCCTTCATCCCAGCATGTCACAGGCCCAATATCTACACTCTGAGCCTTTTGGTTAATGAGAAGAAGTTGTTTAAAGATTTTCACATATTTGACCCCTGTGACCTTTAAAGTGGGTCAAGGTCATTCATTTGAACAAACTTGGTAGAGCTCCATGCCAGTATCCTCTGTGCCAAGTATTAGCCCCCTAGACCTTCTAGTATTTGAGAAGAAGTCGTTTGAATGAAAAGTTTACGGACGGCGCACGGCGCACGGCGGACGACGACGGACGAAGCATGATGACTATAGGTCATCGGACCCTTCGGGTCAGATGACCTAAAAACAGGTAAGTATCATACAAAAACAGATCATGTTTGTCTTTGTGCATTCTGATTGTGCAGAGCTTGTGTTAGCTATATAGTACCACCCTACTGAATTAACATCACAAACAGATGTACCCCTGGAAAATAAAGATTTATCTTAATACTCGTGTTCTAACTGACCAGGGTAAGATATTTACCCAGGTAAATAGTGCCTACCTGCCAAGGATATATAGTTGATGTCATGTCCAGCTCTAGCTGACCAGGGCCCTTGTTGACCGAAGCCTGTCAATCTGGCATACACAAGTCTCGGGTTGTCTGATAGGAGTGTGTCTGGCCCCAGACCTAGTTTCTCCATTACGCCTAGTGGAGAATACATTTAGTTTTACTCTTCACAGAAATGTGACAGATCAAGAACAAAGGCATTTGACACTTTACCACCATTTTCACCTTCAATTCAAAAGATTGCCATATCATAATATAAATTTATCAGCACAAATCACCTCATAATGCAATACAGCATTCAATAAATGGTAAATCCCTTCAAACTTGGAACAGACAAAAGTCCATAGATCTACAGATTTCTTTAGAATAAAATCACAAGGGGCTACCTGCCATCAGTTCTATAATCATACCTGTCCTGAACAGTTCTATAGTCATACCTGTCCTGAACAGTTCTATAGTCATACCTGTCCTGAACAGTTCTATAGTCATACCTGTCCTGAACAGTTCTATAATCATACCTGTCCTGAACAGTTCTATAGTCATACCTGTCCTGAAGGACTCTTTAACCATACCTGACCTAAATGATTCTATAACCATACCTGACCTAAATGATTCTATAACCATACCTGTCCTGAATGACTCTACAACCATACCTGTCCTGAACACCTCTAAAGTCGTACCTGTCCTGAACAGTTCTATAAACATACCTGTCATGAATGACTCTTTAACCATACTTGTCCTGAATGACTCTTTAACCATATCTGTCCTGAATGGCTCTATAACCATACCTGTCCTGAATGGCTCTTTAACCATACCTGACCTGAATGACTCTTTAACCATACCTGTCCTGAATGACTCTATAACCATACCAGTCCTGAACACCTCTAAAGTCATACCTGACCTGAATGACTCTTTAACCATACCTGTCCTGAATGACTCTACAACCATACCTGACCTGAATGACTCTATAACCATATCTGTCCTGAATGGCTCTATAACCATACCTGTCCTGAATGGCTCTATAACCACATCTGCCTTGGAACACATCTTCCTCACTACCTCAACTCCTTCCTTCTTCTTCAGGTCCACAGCCACAGATCGTTTTCCTCTCCCTAGTCTGTCTGTGCCCATCTGTGACTTCACCTATTTTATGAAAAATTAATTCAAGAGTTCAACACCCAAGTATATTCTTGTTCCTAAAACTTCAAATATTTTCCTGCTCTTGGCACTATAACTCAGTTTATTGAGGAAGTAAGGATGCCATTTTATCAGCATTACCTGAATCTTGATTCCCCTTCTCCAATAAAACTCTGGTAAAAGTTTCATTAAAATCCATTAAATTGTTATGCCTAAAAATGACCTTTTGCAGTCAGGTATTTTGAAATTGATGAACAAATCTTAAAGAGACTATTTCATCAATTAATAAATTATTTTTTGTGATTTTTTAGGACTTAATTAAACAATCACACTTGGGCATGGAGCATATAAATTTGGACACTGAAAACACTGATATTGCACTGTTATTTGTTGAAAAGTATAGAGTATAATTCACTTACCCTGTCAACTCGAACAACCTTAGCCCCAAAGTCAGCTAATATCATGGCACAGAACGGGGCTGGGGCTAGTCCTGCCAACTCCACCACTCGAATACCCTTCAATGCCATCTGTAAGAAATTGTTACAAATCAGTAGGACATGTAGTCGCCAATAAGGGACTGCGACTTAATTAACAGTCAGAATGGAAAAGGTGCGGCTCCTTTGGTTCCACAGATGAACATGATCCAACGGATGGAATGTGCTCTGTATAATATTTCCGCACTCAGCATGCTGTTTCTTCCTAAGTTGAAGTAGCACGCATATACTAATCGTACCTTGATAAGTGTACAAATCTGTTGAACCAGAACAATCTTGAATTGGGTTACGCTAAGAGATTATGTTGGCATAAATGAAAGTTAGTCAATGCGTCTTGTTTCGTTTTGAAAACGAGGCCAGAAATTCTATATTTAAATTTGCAAAAATAACGATCAAAGTCCGTCATAACAATCAAACGGAAATGTAATGCTCTTCATTGATCGAAAAAATACAAGACTAGAATGGGGTAGATGCATGACAAACAGTTCGATTTAACTGTGATAGTGTAGCTGATAGCTCAAACGAACGAGACGAGATACACTATTAAAACTACTAGCCTAAGACATTCCTCCACACATTTCAAAAACTGTTATTATATGTCCCTAGTACCGTTTGTGTATTTGAAAGCAAGTATCATTTGCCAACAGAAAGACCTAAGTTACCGTTTTGGAAATAACCAGTCGTACTCCTTCTTTCCGCAGACTGTCAGTTCATATTGGCCTTTGGTCTATTGGCCGTCACATTCTAAAGTTTGTTGCGAAGGGCGGCATAAAATATCCGCCACGTGGTAAAGTTTGCTCATTAGACGGTAAAATGTGTTCTGAAGTACAATGATTATACATGAGATATCCTAAGGATATACAATAAATGCCCATGGATAATAGATATACAGGTACAGCTAGCGACAATAAAAACACCCGGTCTACACACACAAACTGCAAATGGTTATGTCTATTCCATCTTCTAAGTAAATAAATAAATAAATAGATAAATAAATAAACGATCGTCAACATTCCTCAATCTCTCTGACGCCTCTGTGTAATGTTCATAATAGTGAGCATACCAGATTATTTATTTGAACTTGAAAGAAGTTTACAAAATTCAGAATATGTGAACACGGGCTTATGACGTCATAACTTCATGGCGTCATATTTGCATTGTTACGGCATTCAAGAAAGAGATATGAAGAAAAAAATGCAAATTTATACATCGTTCTAATACTGTATCTTTAAGTCCGTGGTTCTCCTTTCTCGTTTCATCAACTTGAATATGGAATGGAAATTCTCAAACCATACATATATGTAAGTTTTATGACAATATCACGATGCTACACCAATCGGAGATTATCTTGTTGAACTATACTAGTTTAAGAATAGGAGCTTGACGTAAAGGAAGATACTATACATCTTAATTTATTGATTCAATTCTGCGTGAAACTTTTAAACGTAAAATAAGATTTTCCTACTTGTTCGATACCCTGGCGCATTCTATATTAGTTTAAACACATTTTATGGCGAAGAAAAAGACAGTAGGATTGGACACAAATTAGTACTACATTATTAACGCCCTCTCCTGTGATACATATTTCAACTATACATAAATATTGGCTTTGCTGGGTGATATGTTTAGTGAACTTAATAGAGCTGAAAACAAGAAGAGAGAGAGAGAAAGAGAGAGAGAAGGGGAGAGAGAGAGAGGGGGGGGGGGGGGGAGAGAGAGAGAGAGAGCAATTTCACACAAGGATATTTTTATGAATAAAACCTTTCGCTGGTCTTTATAAATCTGTGCACACTTCGAAAAACATAAACATTAATTTGTTTTGTCAATTGATTCAGGGATACCTGATAGTAAGCAATCTAGGTTAAGTTCATGGTCTTTATACAAACTTTGAAACAACCCTGACCTCTGTGGTCGGTAATAAGGACATTCGATGAGGATAAAACATTTTCACAAGGAGATCCGCAGACACAGGGTTATCAACAATGTGAAGTGATTAGTATAAGTTGACATAACTTGTTTCGCAATTGTTGTAAAATAAATAAATTTTTAAAAAGTTAACTCTAAATAGATCATAATTAAGTGAACTACACTTATACATTAATGTTGTATTAATAATATTTTGTTTGGGTTCACAATATTCAAAGTAAATGGGAGATATTATTTGATTTCGTGAGGTGGAGTTATTAATTTTGCTGTAAGGTGTTGACGACCTAGCAGCAACATCGAGATTATTTCAAGGACCGTGGCGAAAAGCAGAAGGAAGAGAGAATGAGCTAGTAGAGGAAAGTTTGAAATTTGTTAAGATGAAATCGTTAGCATTGCTTAAGGGATATCTGACATCTTGGTTAATTGTGTAAGGAAGAATTTCCTTGAGAAAATATGGAGTAAGATTGTTTCTCATTTTATACAGTAATTGAAGTTTCCTTCGTTTTCTTCCCTCAGAAAGTTTTTCTAATCCTGTTTCGAAATAAAGAGAGTCATCAGGAGCAGAGGATGAGAGACCGGTGATGATGCGATCTGTCTCTCGTTGGCATTTTTCTAAACTTTCACTTTCAGTAACTGCACATCCGTCCCATAATTCACTGCAGTAATCAAAAATCGGCACGATAAAAGACGTATATATTTTCAACATTGTTTCTCTTTTCAACATGTACTTTACACTCCTCGGAACATTAACTTTCTTCATGACATAAGCATGAATAAGTGCTATATAATCTCCCCATTCACCTTCTGCGATGAGAACTACTCCCAAACGTCCATGACTTTCACGAAAATTAAGACGTTCTTCATTGAAATATAGTTCAAAATTTGCATTAAGATTTACGGCGTTAGTAATAGATAAGATAGATATTGTCTATACAAGTAGTTAATACAATTAGAATTCATGACAGATTTGACAATACAGACCAAAAACTGACCAGGTGACTGAAGTATTTTTTATAACGACCCATTGCACATATTAAGTAAATGTGTATGTGTATGTATGTATACCATTATGTCGCGTACGTGCGTGTACACTCTCTTAATAAAAGCATTGCACATTTATGATTAACTAAGTGATTTTCTTACCTTCTAAGATTAAAATACAACACAATACAACACAATAACACAACACTACAATACAATACAATTCAACACAACACAACACTACAACACAAAACAATACAACACAATACACATTACAACACAATACAATACACAATACATCACAACACTACGACACAAAACAATACAACACAATACAATACAACACAAAACAATTCAACACAACGCAACACAACACTACAACACAATATAACACAACACTACAATACAATACAATTCAACACAACACAACACTACAACACAAAACAATACAACACAATACACATTACAACACAATACATCACAACACTACAACACAAAACAATACAATACAATACAACACAACACAACACAACACAATACAATACAACACAAAACAATACAACACAACGCAACACAACACTACAACACAATATAACACAACACTACACTGCAATACAATTCAACGCAAAACAACTCAATACAATATAATGCAACAAAATACAATACAATATTTTAATATATGTCACATATCGAAGTTTACAATAAAACACATTAAAATATTGCCAAACATAACGATGGCCAGTCGGATTCCGCTTACGAGACACTGTTAAAAATTTACGGTTATCAAAATAAAAGACGTATATGTTATACATTTATCTGTTAAAATTACATTGTAATGAAGAACGTCTACGCCTGATCATGAGATGAATATCAAGTTTCTTCAGATTGTAAAATACACAAAAAATTATCTGTATTACTAAAAGTGTAAAATTCCATGCATAACGTACATGCTTTTTCAAAGAGTGAAGTTCGGACATTGTTACACATAGGGCATTCACATAGAACATGTATTTCATTTTCTATCAAATTTTTACAAAAAGGACAGTCTCTGGTTCTCGTGTAAATTTACATATCTCTCAGTCTCTATCATAAGAGATAGACAGACATCCGAGTTGTAGTTGGGATAAATGGTTTCTGTAATGATGTGGAATGTATGACGTAACGTAGAAGTCGGGAAGGTTATCTGATTTAAAAAGTTCATAAGTTCGAAGTTTATTTCCTTGGTTGGGCTTGTTACTCCAGGGTTACTATACTACATATCTGAATCAATGTATATGACACAGACAAAGTTGTAATCTGTAGTACATGTGTTACCTTAAACTGATAACAAAAAAGGTGAACCTCACATTACAATGTCCAATCACTTATACAAATCACGTGTACTCCAATGACCCAGCTTGCTCTCATGCAAATTGCGTGATCGCGTCTAGACGAGTCAGCAAACATATAGGGTAAATAGCCTTTGAGTAACCATCTAATAGTACAGAGGATAACGATGTGATTACTAATGGGGAAAGTTCGTTTGTACAGACACCTCGGGGATATGTAATCAATTAGCATATTACAGGTTTTTTTTTTTTTTTACCAAAAAACGTTCGACACTATTGACAAATGTAAAATATGGTATAAGATAGATAAGCTCAGAGGTGTTCGTGGTAAAATTATGTCGGTGGTAAAATCATTGTAGAGTAACATCAAATCCTGTGCCCTCGTTGGAGGGAAAATGTCTGACTTTTTTTAAAACAAGGCCAAGATTTCACAAGGAGAGATACTATCCCCGATCCCGTTTAGCTTATTTGTTAACGATTGTGAATATGAATTCTTACAGGCCGGTATACAGCCGCCTGAATGACAAAATGTGTTGCTATTTTTATTATTATACGCAGATGACATGGTTTTATTTTCTGGAAGTATACAGGGTTTACTGTCAATTCTGGACAAACTTCGTAACTACACAGAATAGTGGTATCTGGCTGTTAATGTATCTAAAACCAAAATTATGGTTTTCCGCCAGACAGGAAGATTATCACAGGATGAAAAATGGTACTTAAATAGTCAAATGCTAGAAAAAGTAGATATGTTTTGTTACCTTGGCTTGCTGCTACACTTTAACGGTAACTTTTAATGCATCGGAAAATACAGTTAGCATCGCAATGTAGGAAAGCATTATTCTCATTGAAACAGACTTGTGTACCCACATGCTTGAATTTCTCTGCATTATTAAGTCTATTAAGACACGTATGTAGGAAGTGTTGCTAGTTACAGTAGTGAAATTTGGGGATTCAATTTTGACCTCGACTTTGAGACGATTCAACAAGACTTTTGTAAATATATTCCTGGAGTCAAACGGTCGGCACCTAATGCTACTGTATACTTTGAACTTGGGAGCGTCCCGTGGTCTTTTTTGTGTAAATCAAGAATATTAAAGTATTGGTGTAAGCTAATAAATGCATTTTAATAGGATGTTACAAGTACCCCAGGTACATGTTCAGCGAATGTGAGGGTAACCCGAATCGTAAAAAACTGAATTGCGAAATTTAAACGCGAATTTGGCGCATTAGGTATGATGGATTTTTTAGGTTTCCCAACACGTCGAAAATGTTGATATTTTTTAAACATTGTAAATCAACGCCTGATGGACAGTTTCAAGCGAGAGTGTAAAACGTTTTTGTTTCATCTAAATGCGTAATTTACAAGCACGTGGTAGATCATTTAGCATTGCAAACTTATCTTTCTAAGCCTCTTCCTTTTTATAAAAAATGCTGTTGTAAAAATACGTTAATCTTCGCGTTGTCTTCTTATCGAATCGGGCAGACAAAGGAATATTCCTGGCCAACTTCGTACTCACTCTGTATGTCATAATATTGAGGACGAGTGTCATTTTATCTAACATGCCCTTTTGCATAATGATCTGTGATCTAAATTTCTACCATAACCTGCGTATGTTATCTCACGCCCAGACTATTAATCAAACACCATACCATTGTTTTTTCATACGAATGATACACACGTGTATTATTGGTGACAGCCAAATTTATTGGACGAGGCATTGACATTGGACCCAACCATGATCTCTGACCCCGAACTACTTTCGCCACGTGCGATTGTTTTCATCGTCTGCTGTCCATCATCAATATGGCTGACAGTGACAGTGACGATCTGTCACTCTTGCCGGCGGTCAAGATCGGTGATTGATAACAATAATCACATTATCTAAAAAATAAATTATGTGGAAAATACAGCAGAATGGTGTTGATCTCAGTGTAATTAGATCCATAAAGTATGAAAATGAAATTATAATGTAAAAAAAATGTGTTTTTTTTTTTTTTTTTTTATAAAAGAGGCATAATAATGGAGATGGGCGATTAATAATCGATTTCTTCCGAAGAAAAATATACAGTAGCCATGGAACTTCTTTATTTTAGGTCTGTCTGAATCTAACTGTGGATCCGATCAGTCTGCCAAAAAATGTCTTGACAAACCAGTGCTAGGAAATATTTAGTTCAAAAGCTGAATGACTCTGGATTACCACCTACCCAAATTATGCAGGTAGGCTAGTGTAGGATGTTACAAATAATGAAAATATAAACACTTACCTCCATAACGAAAATTATAATCTCAAACACTATAAATCCATGTCGAAGAAATTGAAATTTATTTCATAATAAACATACACTCGGAAAAAAACAGCTGTTTTTTTAGTGAACACGTGTAAAGTAAACAACTGTCCTCTTACAGATATCTGGCCACAGAAACGTCCAGAGTATAAACAGTTACAGTACCCTGGATACTGACCAACAGAAGACCATTTCAGCTGTACTTTCCAATTAGCAAAATAGGCCTAGGCCTGAAAGAGAAAGTGCTCCTCCAGTGTCAGTGACGTCTGAAACGGGTGTAGGCCTAAGTGCAACCAGCCATTTCATTCTGTCACCGGTGGTCCAGTGTATGGAGGCACAATAAACATCAACATTCACAATAATAAATCTTTTTCTCGAAAACGGCCCATGGTGATGTACAGTTCTGATGAAAGTGATTAGAAGATCTCGAAATTACACGCCATCTTAATCGTGTCTACATTTACAATTTCCCGCGAGGAAGCACTACTCTTATCCGCAATAAAATCTAGTTTCAAATTATTTTTTGTTAAAGATTAATAATTTGTGTAGTTTTGTAACGTGTTTCAATGAACTAATGTTACGGAATGTGTCCAAACAAGATAACTGAATAAATGAGTATTTTGCTTCAAAAATAGCGATTTTGTCCCTTTTCGCATATTAATGAACCAATCAGACAACCTAGATGTATTCTTACGCGAAAGTGTCAATGTGAGCGAAACAATGTTGTACACAATATATATTTTTTACGCTAAAAGGTTATGGTAGAAAGAAGTTCTACAACTCGTTAGTTAATTTTCAAATTTAGAAAAGACACGATACGTGAAAATTAACTAACTCGAGTTAGATAACGATGATAATCAACTGCCACTTGTTGTAGAACCTCTATATAACAAGCCTTACTTCTGTCTTTAAATCAGTTAACTTTTTATCATCTTTTAACACAAAAGAAATTTGTAATTTAGGAAATTTATTTACTATGCAACCAAATTATGAGATAATTATTTCACAGAAAATTAATGGAATGACCTAAAAAATTCTTCTTATTAAGTCGAATTCAAAAGTTGTATCAATGAGCTGTATGCAATAAACAATGAAATATAAGGAGAAGAGTCAAAAGACCTGATGTCACATGTGTTATAAGATTCTCGCATACCTGTAGGACGTGTACCTGTAGGTTTACCTGTTTCCTGCTCTCACTCGGAGCCACTGTTCTCTACTTCAACCAAGTAATGACATATTTCAACTGAAGGTTATGTCATGTTTGAGAGAAACAAAATGTGCGCTAAGAATAGATGGAGAATGTAAGATCCGAAATAAGTCACTTATTGGAACAACTGACGACAAACATTCTGCAAGTTTATCTTAAAATCTGAAGAAAAACATCCCGGAAAAGTTCAGAATAACTAGAAATATCACCTCCGATCTGAACACGTGTTCACTACAGCATCACGTGAATGAACCCCGTCATTAACCATCGATTTAGATACTTGTTTTACCCATTATAAAATACTTCGACAATCAAAGCGTGGTGGTGATCTCCTATAACTTGACTGGGAACAAGTTTTCTTTAGATATTACTAATCACAACAAATGGAGAGTACGTCTATATACGTAAAATCAATACGTTTATGTAAGGAGAATATTGGGGTACCCTTTGTCGATTTGATACTATCAAAACAATAATATACAGATCTACTTACCAATTTGTTGTTTCAAAGTCAGCAAAACAGTATCGCTCCATACCAACACAAACTTATATCCAGCATTTTATTTGTATAATACCCACATATAGATAAGGATTTGAGATTTAATTTTAATCCAGATCACCGGTAGGTCTTCACGCCCAGATGCACCTATAAAGAGCAGAACTTAAACCAAGCGTGTCCATGTCATTAAAAAATGATTTGTGAATTGGACTTGTAAGCCAAGGTTTATTATAGGCACCTACGTATTGGGAAAGACGTTAGGTTTTCATATGGACATCAGAAGAATAAAAATCATTCATCAGAAATATTAAAAATGCATTTATGTTTATTACTCGTAGATACAACAATCTCAAAGAATCTTGGGAAATAAACATTCTGACATCATTAGACAACTGCGTATTTCGAATGTAATGGAGCATTTCGAGTAACGTTGGGTGGCCCTGAAAAGGGCCTTTGTTGAGATTATATAGGATAAGAAATCCTACTTCTTAGATTTCTTTGCAGCAGCTTTCTTAGGAGCAGCCTTTTTTGGTTTAGCAGCCTTTTTCTTCTTAGGAGACTTCTTTGGCTTTGAAGCTTTCTTCGGCTTCGCAGCTTTCTTTGCCTTTTTGGGAGATTTTTTAGCTTTCTTCGGCTTCTTGGCTTTTGTAGCTTTCTTCGCCTTCTTTGGCTTCTTAGCCTTTTTCGGTTTCTTTGCCTTCTTTGCTTTCTTTGGTTTCTTTGGTTTCTTTGCCTTCTTGGGCTTTGCTTTTCCAACCTTGAACCGTCCGGTCGCTCCAGTGGCAGTAGATCCTTTAGGTCTCACCAGAGCTCCGGTCTTCAGTCCACGCACCAAAGCAATCCTTACGGAGGACGTAACTCTACTGGCAGTAAGAAATTTGCTGAAGTTTGCCATAACATATTTCCTGATGGCTTGGACGGACGATCCCTTTCTGTCCTTCATAGCTGTGATAGCTGCGACAACCATCGATAAAGTTGTTGGTTTTTTAGCTCCTCCCTTTGACACATTCTTTTTAGGGCTTGAGGCACGCTTCTTCGCTACCTTTTTCTTTGGACTCTTCTTAGCCTTCTTTCCTGGAGAGACACTCCTGCTCCTGCTCCTCGACCTCGTACGTGGCCTTCTTGGAACGAATACACTATTCCCTGCCGCTTTTTTCCCTGGCGAGGCACTTCTGCTCCTTGACCTTGTACGTGGCCTTCTAGGAACAAATACACTATTCCCTGCCGCTTTTTTCCCTGGCGAGGCACTTCTGCTCCTTGACCTTGTACGTGGCCTTCTCGGGCTTGGGGCAGATTTCTTTGTCGCCTTCTTCTTTGGACTCATCTTTTTAGATGGGGAGGCACTTCTGCTCCTACTTCTAGACCTTGAACGTTTCTTCGGACTACGCGCCATTTTCTTATTTGATGTAATATCAAATGTGATGATTGATAGTGCTGTCTGTGTATTTATAGCATTTGCTCGAACCTGACCGAAAGCACCCCTTGACGTAACATGAAAAAGTTTTCAATGGCGGCGAATTCGACTTCCTCTGTGTTTGTTGTCATAATTAACGGTTATATTTGCCACTGTATCCAAAAATAACATTCGTATATGCATTATAAACAGCAAGTATGTTAATCTTATTTATTGAAAATTAATATGTTGCGTCCGCGCACAGTTGCTATTTTACATCACAAGTACTGTCTTCCTGCATTATTGTTTTTTCAAAACCAACTTCAATGAATATATACACTGAATTGTTCATTTTGCGTAATTTTTGGCAAAGTGTGTGTATGAATATTAAAAATGAGTTCTTTCTTGGTATATTTTTAACTGGTGTTTCTGTCGTCTTCCAATGTAGAGTAATCTAATTTGTTGTTCTATTCTTACCGAAAAACACAAAATGGGTCGTCGATGATGATGATTGTTATATCAGCCTCGGTTTCGCACTGCCAGTGTTCTTAGCAAAGATTCGGCAATACCTGTGCCTTTTAATGAATAGATGCACTTAATTTTCTGTTAATTTACACGACTCAAACTGTTTTAACTGCAGCAGATTACTAGAAAACTCTTAAATGCACCGTTTGGCTCCATTACCATCAACGAGATTTGTCCAACGTATTTTTGTGAACGTCACCGGATCTAAAATGGGACACTTTTCATGTCTTCGACGTAGCATTTATAATATTGGAAATATTTGTAAGTGAATAAAATTTTTAAAAATGAAAACTGAATAGTCCTTTGCTTTTAATAATTTGAACAATTTATCTACATATTGGGTACTTCTTAAGAAAACTGCTTCTTGACTATATATAAGAGGCAAAAACGAAACGTTAAAAACATTAGGCAAAAGCACATCACAAGGGCCTAATATAAGGAGAGTAGGGCCTACACAAAATGGGACACTTTTCTTATGTTATGTGCAGCATTTAGATTTTGAAATACTGGTAAATAGTAAGTTTTGGAAATGAGAACTGAATATACTTCTATGCTTCTAATATATACATTTAACTACATTTAAATGGATAATGAGAGGTGGAAAAAATGAAAAAAAGTAAGGGAAAAGGTTGTGTGACAATACAAAACAAATCAGTTAAAAGTACAACTTGACAAGTAAAACAGACTTGAAATAATACTAAATGTAATAAATTTTACATGAAAACTGTATGAATAGTAAATATATTTATGTTAAACATCATCCATATTATGTCTATATACAGAATTTATGATGAGGTATCCCATTATGTGCACTGTTGCCATCTTAAATTCAAAGTGAACCTGACTATGGAAAGGGCTGTGTAAAACAACTACTAGTATCTCTGGCTTTTAAAAATGTACAGAATATGAAAGGATAAGATATCCTTTGTTTCATTATAGCAAAACAATTTATCTTAATTCAGGAAAGCATAAAATGCTACCAAATTTCTTTGGAAAGTATCTCAATTTGGGAAGTGTGACATCATAACATAAAAATCCTGTCATACTTGCATTTCTAAAATTGTGAAAAAAAATGAAATGTTTCTTTAAATAGAAAAAAAATATATACAGTATGTCTGCTAAATACAATTAACTGTTAAGTGGTTAAACATTAAATCTATAATTAACTTATCAGTAACACTTTGTTTAAAACCTAAGTGTGCAGAAACAAAAAGAACAAAGACTTTATAACTTAAAGAACATTTTTTATTCAAAGTTGAGTCAAATTAAGCACATGCAGCAGACTCTAAAACGGATTACCAGGGTATTTCCCAATAAAAAAATTCACAACACTTCTGCGGATCTACCAGCTGTTACAATGAAAATTTCAGAAATCATTTGCATTTCTGCAAGAAGGTAGAAAACACACTGATACTTTGAATATAAGTCTCCAATTTCTAAAGGCAATGCCATTTTGTTTCATGATGTCAACACAATTCAATTCTGACTTTTTAATGAAACTTGATAAATGATCCTAATAAGCATAATGTTCATATTTAAAACTACTGGAAGGCGTATCACAAGTAGTTTGTCTGGTAGCCTGCTAGTATTTATCTCTCTTGTTTCCAGACATGATCAGTTTAAAAATACTGATCAGGTACCAAGAAATACAGGTGCAACTGCCATCATTATTATCTCATTCCGAAAGGCAACCCCTTGTAAAATTCGTTTGATATGTATGAAAATATTGTATGTCATCAAAATCTGATGCGAGGCTTCCTACTAGGTTTTATATCTAACTTTAATAAATATAATAATGCCATTTAATCAAACATGCCATATATATTTATACAATGCAAATAGTACAACTGTCTGAACAAGTATTATCTAACAATAATCATGAGAATATTTCAACATCAATAAATAAGTGACATATCTGAATTATATTTTCAAATCAAAATTCAAATAAAACATTTATGATGATAAACATAAACACTATTTTTCAAAATTCTTTTTTTCTCCAAAAAATGTTGAATTTATAAATCAGTTTATCATTATGCTAACAAATATAGAAACAGTGTATTTAACAACATGTGTTACATCATTCCCACCTACATAAATAATAAATAGCAGTCCTCATTTCTCTACATTACTTCTCAGAGCTCAAACATACACACAAACCAACATTAACCACATACTTTACTCTCCATACAGGTTAAATTTTCCATTTAACTTGACCAGCCTCCAGTCATAATCAGAATCATTTTGCGTTGGAAGCCTGGATCAGAGGTGAAAGTCTGGCTATAAAATACTGAGTATTATAATACATATACATTAATGAGTGTAAAATAACACTAATCTACAGCAAAACATACATATACACTTACCACACATCACAGGAGTACTTTACTAGTAAATTGTAAATTCTTGTACAATAGAATATAAGTACATGTATAGATGTTATTTACTTATATCAATATATATATATGTATATATAATATCAATGAGTAAAGACGACCATTAAAAATTATGTTATACTGGGTTGGTCGTGGTTTAACTAAATAGTTGATTACTACTGACAAATTAGATGTGTCTTCATCACAGTAAGAATATATATACAGTGTATATATCTCCCCGTATATATATATATTCTGTTTTATCATGCTATATTGTTCAACAGAAAACATTAGGGCAAGATCATGTGGATGAAGGTAGATATGGAGGGCAAGAGTGGAAGGGATGATATAATATAACCATAAAATCCTAATGGTAACCAGGTAGATATGGGTAGATATGGAGGGCAAAATGGCAGGGGGGGGATATAATATAACCATAAAATCCTAATGGTAACCAGGTAGATATGGGTAGATATGGAGGGCAAAATGGCAGGGGCCATAAAATCCTAATGGTAACCAGGTAGATATGGGTAGATATGGAGGGCAAAATGGCAGGGGCCATAAAATCCTAATGGTAACCAGGTAGATATGGGTAGATATGGAGGGCAAAATGGCAGGGGGGATATAATATAACCATAAAATCCTAATGGTAACCAGGTAGATATGGGTAGATATGGAGGGCAAAATGGCAGGGGGGATATAATATAACCATAAAATCCTAATGGTAACCAGGTAGATATGGGTAGATATGGAGGGCAAAATGGCAGGGGGGATATAATATAACCATAAAATCCTAATGGTAACCAGGTAGATATGGGTAGATATGGAGGGCAAAATGGCAGGGGGGATATAATATAACCATAAAATCCTAATGGTAACCAGGTAGATATGGGTAGATATGGAGGGCAAAATGGCAGGGGGGATATAATATAACCATAAAATCCTAATGGTAACCAGGTAGATATGGGTAGATATGGAGGGCAAAATGGCAGGGGGGATATAATATAACCATAAAATCCTAATGGTAACCAGGTAGATATGGGTAGATATGGAGGGCAAAATGGCAGGGGGGATATAATATAACCATAAAATCCTAATGGTAACCAGGTAGATATGGGTAGATATGGAGGGCAAAATGGCAGGGTGGGGGGATGATATGATATAACCATAAAAGTATATATAAGTATGTAGACAAACATATTACCTTTAGTGTACATATGTAAACAGTATATATATATTTCTACTTCAACCACTAAAAAAAAATAAGAAGCTTATAGCTAGCGGCCATGACAGTCACCTGAGGTAAGCAATATTGGACATAAAAGTTACAAGATAAGTAGTTTACAAGTAACACGCAATAGAAATTCCAACATAGACGACTGTCAGACTAAAGTGATATATTTCAAGCCATTGTGGGTTAGTCTATGTCAACATAAGCTTACCATAAAAACATCACTAATGAATCTTACCAGGTTATTTCCAACTGAAAATGAAATATTCTATGCTCGAAAATGCAATTTTCCTATTAAAACTATATTAAAGCTCAACCCCTCCCCAGGTGGAAATCTGAGATCCTTGGATCATAAAATTCATAGTTTTGGTAAAGCACCAAAAACTATAGTAAACATCAACCCCTCCCCAGGGAGGAAATGTGAGACCCTTAGATTATAAGATTCACACATTTGGTAAAGCACCTTAAGACAGCTTCCACCTATGAAAGAGCATTTGATTCTACCATATCTAGGTTTTGAGAAGAAAATTTTTGAAATTTGAGTCAATTAGATCTCTTTTGGCCAACCCCCACATGCCTCTAGGAGTAAAGTGATAACAGAGAGGCTAACCTAGGGGTCATACAATGATAAAGAGGGTAAACTAAGGGTCACATACTTAATGGGAGGCCAAACTATCATTTAGTAATTTTTCATTTATACAAGTAACCTAAATGCACTCATAGCAATCAGAACTTCAGTGAGTGATAACAGGATAAGGCCAATACCTTGACATGTTGTTATATAATAGTCATATATATGGTATGGCAAGGTAAATGAATGAAAAATGTCAATATCAGTTTTAATATTTCTGAAAAAAGAAGACAGAAGGAACTAAATAACATTCATCATGTACATGTCCATTACATTCATCAGAGGCCATCAGAGACCGGAATGGGAAAAAAAAATTTAAGTATGAAAAATAACAAAGGACAGTATGAGAGATATGATTCTTGTGTACTGCCCTCCTTGTTGAGATCTATATACCTATGAAGTTTCATGTTGATACCTGTTACAGTTTGAGTGTAATGCTCTGACAAGTACGAAACATAACAAAGGACAATAACTCCTAAATCATGCAAAAAAGAGGTATGGTTCTTGTGTAATGCACTTCTCCTTGTTGAGATCTATCTATCTATGAAGTTTCATGTTGATACCTCTTATAGTTTCTGTGTTATGGTCCGGACAAAATTATGACGGACGGACAGACAAAGCATAGACTATAGGCTCTCCCTTTGGAGAGAATTAAAAATACATGTTTCGTAACCCTCCATCACAGCTGTCAGTTTTACTCTGAAACTGGATGTAATTCAATGACTTAAACATTACTAATATGAGTATAAATAAAGATCAAAGATGTTACTGTAAAATCAGTCATTTTCATTGGGGATTTATATTCAATTCATTTGTGGGTACTCAAAATCCTCAAATTTAGACGTCCACGAAATGATATACAGATGAATGTTGGCATTGATTATACTGCTTGAGGATTTTGGAATAAATTATTTATAGCTCAATAGTACAGTATCACAAACCATAATAAGAATTGAGAGAAACAAGTATGATAACAGGATGAAAATTCATAAACAAGAAAAAAAAAGTATAATAAATGAGGTCATTCTCTTCACACTATCTACAGCACCTGAATGACTTAGAGTCTCAAATCATAAATTCATAAGAAAACTGTACAAAAAATTATCAAAAAAATTTTCGGACCAAAAAAAAAAAAAAATAAATAAATACACAAAATAACTGTAATGTGCAAACATATTCATTGAATCCAAGAAGTACTCATTTTGACGATTCAAAGATGATATACTGGGTAAAATAAAAATAATTAATTCTTATGAACAATCACATCACTAATTGTCACCATGAAAAGAACTATGTCATCAACCAACAGTCATTTAATACCTGGTCATTGCTCTTCAGAATCAAAGGTGACAGTTTTAAACAATCATTGAGGACCTCTTAATCAGCTCTTCTGAATAGTCATCACACCAATATGCATTCAGATGTTCAATGTTACGTTTAAAAAAACAAGGAAATGTTGGTAAGACATAAATGTGCCCACCACTAAATGAAATAAATTTCAGTGTTGAATCAGTTGATAATTTTCTAAATATAACAAGAGTGAACTTGACCTTGACCATGAAAGAATGAAGTCATTAAGTGTTTAAACTGAACTGATTAATATTTTCTATACATAAAGCACCACTGACCTTGACCTTGACCTTTTATCAATCAGTGTATAGGAAAATGATAGTGCTACAATATTCTTGATATGAGCTGGTTATATGGCTAACATCAGTTTGACCTGACAAAATCAGGTGAGTTGGCAATACCAAAAAATATTTGAAACACCAGAGAGAACAGTGTCATGAAATGAAAATGTCTAGTGAGCATATAAAGATTGATCTGTGATAGAATGCTACCACGCTGAAACCTCTAGGTTATTTACAACTATATACAGAATCATCACAGATTCATGGCTCTGACTAGATTTTCAAGATATCAATACTCTAATGCTAATGAAGTCAATTAAACAAATATTAAGTTTCATTAAATTTGTAGGGAAGGGCATATGTTTTAATTTTGCTTTTATCAATCTATGGCTGGTACTATTGGGGTATATAAGATACTATTTATCCCCCCACATATCGATTAAGGTAAATCCAAAAGTATGATAATCTCTTCGTCACAACTTGCTTTAGCAATATAGTATAATTCAAGAGTATAATAATCTCTTTCACACAGCTTCTTTACTCAATATCACAAAAGACCGTATTAGATCTGTGGAAGTTTAAAATTTTACCATTCTTTGTCAGAAACATCAACTCACATTTTTATCGACGTCTGTACAGTCATATGTGACATCACAATCCAGCTTACGAAACACTGGCCAATCAGATTTGAATGCCCAAAAACTACACAAGTTTTGTTTAAAAGTATTTATGTTGCTATGATTTTTGTATGCTGCAAGGCCACACTCCATTTAATAAGCAAAAGTCAAAAGTGGAAGCATGCAGCTGAGGACAATATTACAACAAAGACATGGCTATACAGTCCATGAATAAACAAGCTTGGCCAACTTTTAGTAGAAACCAACCCAAAAACTTTGTAGAAAAGTGGAAATTCAGGAGTAGAGGTCCAGATCAATTTGGGTTTTTCCTTGTTACTATTTGAAGGCCGACAACAATTTGATCTCTCTTTCTCTTTAACAAGGTGTGATAAACTTGTTTGTATCAGGATGAACTGAGACTTGGACTTTTGGCCAGCTGGGTGTGATCACCATCATTCTCCTCCTCACAGCAAACATTACGGCCAGCTGGACATGGTATTGCCCCTGGAACGACTCCGTTGGAATCTTCTGAATTAACAAAAGGCTCCAGCAGCCTCACTGTGGAAAACACAACAAAATGACACTTATAAATATTAGACTCAAAGTGGAAGAATGGATCAATTTACAAATACATTTTTCCCCTAATTAGCTTGAATACTTATTAATCATTATTTACCCTATGAAGATTGAATATTTGTTAATCATTATTTACCAAGTAATTTTTGTGCACAAAAACAATGTACATAGATTGCATTACTCTCTTAATAGCATACATGATGTAGGCCATTTAATTACATAGAGTTAAGACATTCAGTTCACAAAGGAATTAAACACACAATGAAAATGCATATAAATGGCTCACCATAATGTCTTGTTAAAAACAGTAATTATAGATAAAATTTTAGATTTTCCATCCCCCACCAGAAAAGTTACTGGATGTGGTTATCTTAAACAGCTGATGATGTACATATATCATTAATGAATTACACAGGAGCTGAATTACGGTAAAGTCATTCATTTTTGTGTAGATTTATTTACATTGTTATAATGAGTACTCTGAAAAATGATGAAAATTAATCCCCTGGAAAATATACCATTTTCCAGTATCACAGACTTTCCATAGGATTTTATATATCATTCTGGTAAGTGCAACTCTCTTAAAGAATTATTAAGAAAATCTCATACACAGGCAATGAGACTTCCATGAGTGTTATTATACTGTAAATTTAAAGATAAAAATTATGATCAATACTTTGCTTCAGATATACAATGAAATCACACACATCATATATCTCTTGAGTACCCCTTATTCATCAAAATGTTCATATATTCTTTGTAATTTAACCTGTGGTTACTTAAATACTTTCTAACACTAATGATGTGGTCGTTATAAGTTAGCAGAGTCCTTCCGTCAATATCCTCTCTACAGTAACTCTCTAACGTAAAGTCATAACCATTCCGGTACGTTTTTGATAAATCTGCTTGTATATCAAACAAACTTATTCATATTAAGAATAACATGTCTATCTAAAATTATATTCTTTTCCAGTTAAATAGTCCACTACGCCTCAAAGCCAAACTAAACACTAAAACAAATCCTTTTATAAAGTAGCATGCACAAGGGCCGATTGATAAGTTGTGAGCCTCATATTTAAGGGTTTGACGTTTGGCAGATATATCACATCAGCTTTAAACATAATTCCTTTCAGTATCTATGAACCTTTGCCATCGATGTTTAAGGGCCTCTCTGTCACCTTTAAAGATGTCTTTTTCTAGACTGTTCAGAAAGTTCTCCACTGCATGTATGACATCATCTGCAGACCGAACATGGGTACTGGAAATGATCTTTTTCAATTTTAGAAATAGATGAAAGTCTGATGGAGCAAGATCTGGCAAATAAGACGAATGCTCAATCAATTCAAAACAACAATCGTTAATGGCAGTCATGGCAACGACAGACCTGTGAACAGGGGCACTGTCCTGGTGGAACAACACACCTTTGCTGAGTTTCCAAAGCGCTTGAGTTTAATATTTTCTCTGCCTAAGAGGTGATGCATAGTATGTGCCATTGATTGTTTGTCCCTTTTGCAGATAATCTACAATCAGATTACTATCAGCATCCCAGAAATCTGGGGTCATAACCTTTCCAGCTGATGGCACAGCCTTTGCCTTCTTTGGCGGGGGTGAACCAGGGTGCTTCCATTTAGACTGTTGTTTGGCCTCTTGGGTAAAATGATAGACCCTTATTTCATCCATAGTCACAAACCTCTGCAGAAAGTTAGCAGGATCTGCCTCTAAAAGGTTCAGATTAGCATGTGACAAAGTCCACCTGGTGTGCTGTCAACTGGCTATTTTTTCTGTCTGTAATTCGCCTGTCAGTCATAACAATATCAGGGACTAGTAACAGGCCTTCCAGGATGGGCATCATCCCCAAGGCTCTGCCTGCTATGATTAAATTCCACCATCCACCTTGCCATTGTAGCATATGAAGGAGCATCATTCCCTAGTGTTACTACCATATAAGTATGAATATCCTTAGGTGCTAGACCTAAATATTCAATCACTGCTCTTTCGCGGATTTTGTCGGTTTTGCAAAAGTCACTTGCCTTGCTTACTTCAGATTGCTACCTCTTCGACATAAACTGACCAAATGACACCAGTCTTCCCTGCTTAACTTCTCTAATAAATGGCTCCCAACTTATCAATCAACCCAGATAGCTTGCACAAGCAGATAGCTATAATACATAGATAATGTGTATCAAGCTAAAAAAAAACCCATACAGAATATACACTATACCAATTATTAAAGCAACATGCCACCTACGCATTTGACTTTCCTGGTACCTTAGAATCTATCATGCCACCTGATTTTACCTACCTGTATGTTAACTATCAAATTACCTGTGAACTATTGTGTTAACTGTACATTTTACCAACTTGTATATATGTTAATCATATCACCTGTGTATTTTACCTACCTGTATATGTTAATGATATCACCTGTGTATTTTACCTACCTGTATGTAAACTATCACATTACCTGTGAACTATTGTGTTAACTGTACATTTTACCTACCTGTATTGATCTATCGTATCACCTGTTTATTTTACCTACCTGTATTGATCTATCATATCACCTGTGTATTTTACCTACCTGTATTGATCTATCATATCACCTGTGTATTTTACCTACCTGTATTGATCTATCATATCACCTGTGTATTTTACCTACCTGTATTTATCTCTCATATCACCTGTGTATTTTACCTACCTGTATTGATCTATCATATCACCTGTGTATTTTACCTACCTGTATTGATCTATCATATCACCTGTGTATTTTACCTACCTGTATTGATCTATCATATCACCTGTGTATTTTACCTACCTGTATTTATCTCTCATATCACCTGTGTATTTTACCTACCTGTATTGATCTATCATATCACCTGTGTATTTTACCTACCTGTACTGATCTATCATATCACCTGTGTATTTTACCTACCTGTATTGATCTATCATATCACCTGTGTATTTTACCTACCTGTATATGTTAGTCATATCACCTGTGTATTTTACCTACCTGTACTGATCTATCATATCACCTGTGTATTTTACCTACTTGTATTGATCTATCATATCACCTGTGTATTTTACCTACCTGTACTGATCTATCATATCACCTGTGTATTTTACCTACCTATATATGTTAGTCATATCACCTGTGTATTTTACCTACCTGTATTGATCTATCATATCACCTGTGTATTTTACCTACCTGTACTGATCTATCATATCACCTGTGTATTTTACCTACCTGTATTGATCTATCATATCACCTGTGTATTTTACCTACCTATATATGTTAGTCATATCACCTGTGTATTTTACCTACCTGTATATTTTAATCATATCACCTGTGTATTTTACCTACCTGTATTGATCTATCAGATGACTATCAGTCCAGAAACTTGGACCTTGATGTACAGAATGTGAATTGTTTTGATAACAAGTGATAAAATTTAATGTTCAAATGGTTTTAAAAGTATAGACAGCACAATGTAACAGCTGTTTTTACATTACTTGTTGTCTCAGAAAATTACTGTACTTCTCACAATTCATTTCCCATAAAAACATAATCTATTATCAAAAGAGAATTTACATTTGTAATTCAAGTTTAGTTTTTTTCACAGGTGTTGCAATCAAAGTTTTATTTTTTCTGATCAGTCTCAGATGGCACAACTAGGGATCTACAGGCACCATTATGAAACATGTCAATATGAAATTGGAGAAATATCAAGTACTTTACAAGAAAAAGTCACACCAATATAATTCACAGATCAAAGACCTTTTCTGACACCTAAATGCAAATGACATTGTGAAGTTGTGAAGTCAGCAACACCATGAAGTTGTGACATCAAATGCCAGTGACAAAATGGAGTTCTGACAACACTATGCCAGTGACACCATGGGGTTGTGACATCACAGCACCAGTGACACCATGGAGTTGTGACATCACAACACTGTGACAACATGGAGTTGTGACATCACAACACCAGTGACACCATGCAATTGTGATATCACAACACCGTGACACCATGCAGTTGTGATATGACAACACCAGTGACACCATGCAGTTGTGACATCACAACACCAGTGACACCATGCAGGTGTGACATCACAGCACCAGTGACACCATGCAGTTGTGAAGACATCACAGCACTAGTGCCATCATGCAGTTGTGAAGACATCACAGCACCAGTGACACCATGCAGTTGTGAAGACATCACAACACCAGTGACACCATGGAGTTGTGAAGACATCACAGCACCAGTGACACCATGCAACTGTAACATCACAGCACCAGTGACACCTTGGAGTTATGAAGACATCACAGCACAAGTGACACCATGCAGTTGTGAAGACATCACATCACCAGTGACACCATGGAGTGGTGAAGACATCACAACACCAGTGACACCATGCAGTTGTAACATCACAGCACCAGTGACACCATGGAGTTATGAAGACATCACAGCACCAGTGACACCATGCAGTTGTGAAGACATCACAACACCAGTGACACCATGCAGTTGTAACATCACAGCACCAGTGACACCATCGAGTTATGAATAACAGGGTAGTTATGAGTATAATGATAACAGGGTAGTTATGTGTGTTATGATAACAGGGTAGTTATGAGTATTATGATAACAGGGTAGTTATGTGTGTTATGATAACAGGGTAGTTATGAGTATAATGATAACAGGGTAGTTATGTGTGTTATGATAACAGGGTAGTTATGTGTGTTATGATAACAGGGTAGTTATGAGTATAATGATAACAGGGTAGTTATGAGTATAATGATAACAGGGTAGTTATGTGTGTTATGATAACAGGGTAGTTATGAGTATTATGATAACAGGGTAGTTATGTGTGTTATGATAACAGGGTAGTTATGAGTATACTGATAACAGGGTAGTTATGTGTGTTATGATAACAGGGTAGTTATGTGTGTTATGATAACAGGGTAGTTATGAGTATAATGATAACAGGGTAGTTATGAGTATAATGATAACAGGGTAGTTATGTGTGTTATGATGACAGGGTAGCTATGAGTATTATGATAACAGGGTAGCTATGAGTATTATGACTTGTATATGTTAATCATATCACCTGTGTGTTTTACCTACCTGTACTGATTTATCAGGTGACTATCAGTCCAGAAACTTGGACCTTGATGTACAGAATGTGAATTGTTTTGATAACAAGTGATAAAATTTAATGTTCAAATGGTTTTAAAAGTATAGACAGCACAATGTAACAGCTGTTTTTACATTACTTGTTGTCTCAGAAAATTACTGTACTTCTCACAATTCATTTCCCATAAAAACATAATCTATTATCAAAAGAGAATTTACATTTGTAATTCAAGTTTAGTTTTTTTCACAGGTGTTGCAATCAAAGTTTTATTTTTTCTGATCAGTCTCAGATGGCACAACTAGGGATCTACAGGCACCATTATGGAACATGTCAATATGAAATTGGAGAAATATCAAGTACTTTACAAGAATCAGTCACAACAAACATTTTTATATACATATAGACCACAGACAAAGACCTTTTCTGACACCTAAATGCAAATGACATTGTGAGGTTGTGAAGTCAGTGACACCATGAAGTTGTGACATCAAATGCCAGTGACAAAATGGAGTTCTGACAACACTATGCCAGTGACACCATGGGGTTGTGAAATCACAACACCGTGACACCATGGAGTTGTAACATCACAACACCAGTGACACCATGCAGCTGTTTAGTCATAATGCACTCAGTACATTTTATGTAAAGTGTCTGAGCATTGATGACAGGGAAAATATGGATGTTATGATAACAGGGTAGTTATGAGTATTAAGATAACAGGGTAGTTATGAGTATTATGAGAACAGGGTAGTTATGAGTATTATGATGACAGGGTAGCTATGAGTATTATGATGACAGGGTAGCTATGAGTATTATGAGAACAGGGTAGCTATGAGTATTAAGATGACAGGGTAGCTATGAGTATTATGATGACAGGGTAGCTATGAGTATTATGAGAATAGGGTAGTTATTAGTATTATGATGACAGGGTAGCTATGAGTATTATGATGACTGCTACAAGGAGACCCATCCTTGCTGTTCATGGGGCAATAACCCATCAAACATCCAGTACTGACCTGATTGACAATCATTTATCTTATACAGACAGAAAAATGGTGACCATATTATCTACAGAGGTCAGTATACACAGTAATCAGTACTGACCTTATACACCATTACTGGGAGTGGTCAGTAGAGGGAGTGGTCAGTACAGAGAGTGGTCAGTATTGACCTTATACACCATTCCTGGGAGTGGTCAGTAGAGGGAGTGGTCAGTCACAGAGTGGTCAGTTTTGACCTTATAAACCATTCCTGGGAGTGGTCAGTAGAGGGAGTGGTCAGTACAGAGGGTGGTCAGTATTGACCTTATACACCATTACTGAGAGTGGTCAGTAGAGGGAGTGGTCAGTACAGAGAGTGGTCAGTACTGACCTTATACACCATTCCTGGGAGTGGTCAATAGAGGGAGTGGTCAGTCACAGAGTGGTCAGTATTGACCTTATAAACCATTACTGGGAATGGTCAGTAGAGGGAGTGGTCAGTCACAGAGTGGTCAGTACTGACCTTATACACCATTATTGGGAGTGGTCAGTAGAGGGAGTAGTCAGTCACAGAGTGGTCAGTACTGACCTTATACACCATTACTGGGAGTGGTCAGTAGAGGGAGTGGTCAGTCACAGAGTGGTCAGTACTGACCTTATACACCATTACTGGGAGTGGTCAGTATAGGAAGTGGTCAGTACATAGAGGGGTCATTACTGACCTTATACACCATTACTGGGAGTGGTCAGTAGAGGGAGTGGTCAGTGCATAGAGTGGTCAGTACATAAAGTGGTCAGTACATAGAGTGGTCAATACTGACCTTAAACTCCATTAAAGTTTGCCAAGGGAAAGCTAGGAGTGTAGCATTATATAAAGAGTGTGCAGTGGCAGAAGTGGTCAGTAGAGGGAGTGGTCAGAACAGGGAGTGGTCAATACTGGTCTTATACACCATTATCCATCAAGGGATTTGTAGGAGAGTAAACTAATCTTCAGTGGTCAGAGTACAGAGTGGTCAGTATAGATAGTGGTCAGTATAGGACGTTGTCAGTATAAGGAAAAGTCAGTTTAGAAAGTGCTCAGTACAGAGTGCTCAGTACAGAGTGCTCAGTATACAGAGTGGTCTTGATAGAGTAGTCAGTCACTACTGACCAGTACCTTACAGTCCATCAAGGGGTTGTTAAGAGTGTTACAACTGTAAGAATCAAAAGCACTGTTAGCTGACTGTTTATATTTCAGTGTGTCCTAAATAGTCCTCGAGAATACAATCATAGGGTAGATATGGTTATAGTCCTCGAGAATACAATCATAGGGTAGATATGGTTATAGTCCTCGAGAATACAATCATAGGGTAGATATGGTTATAGTCCTCGAGAATACAATCACGGGGTAGATATGGTTATAGTCCTCGAGAATACAATCATAGGGTAGATATTGTTATAGTCATGGAGAATACAATCATAGGGTAGATATGGTTATAGTCCTCGAGAATACAATCATAGGGTAGATATGGTTATAGTCCTCGAGAATACAATCATAGGGTAGATATGGTTATAGTCCTCGAGAATACAATCATAGGGTAGATATGGTTATAGTCCTCGAGAATACAATCATAGGGTAGATATGGTTATAGTCATGGAGAATACAATCACAGGGTAGATATGGTTATAGTCCTCGAGAATACAATCATGGGGTAGATATGGTTATAGTCCTCGAGAATACAATCACCGGGTAGATATGGTTATAGTCCTCGAGAATACAATCATGGGGTAGATATGGTTATAGTCCTCGAGAATATAATCATAGGGTAGATATGGTTATAGTCCTCGAGAATACAATCACAGGGTAGATATGGTTATAGTCCTCGAGAATCCAATCATAGGGTAGATATGGTTATAGTCCTCGAGAATACAATCACAGGGTAGATATGGTTACAGTCCTCGAGAATACAATCATAGGGTAGATATGGTTATAGTCCTCGAGAATACAATCACAGGGTAGATATGGTTATAGTCCTCGAGAATACAATCATAGGGTAGATATGGTTATAGTCCTCGAAATACAATCATAGGGTAGATATGGTTATAGTCCTCGAGAATACAATCACAGGGTAGATATGGTTATAGTCCTCGAGAATACAATCATAGGGTAGATATGGTTATAGTCCTCGAGAATACAATCATAGGGTAGATATGGTTATAGTCCTTGAGAATACAATCATAGGGTAGATATGGTTATAGTCATGGAGAATACAATCACAGGGTAGATATGGTTATAGTCATGGAGAATACAATCACAGGGTAGATATAGTTATAGTCATGGAGAATACAATCATAGGGTAGATATGGTTATAGTCATGGAGAATACAATCACAGGGTAGATATGGTTATAGTCCTCGAGAATACAATCACAGGGTAGATATGGTTATAGTCCTCGAGAATACAATCACATGGGTAGATATGGTTATAGTCCTCGAGAATGCAATCACAGGGTAGATATGGTTATAGTCCTCGAGAATACAATCATAGGGTAGATATGGTTATAGTCCTCGAAATACAATCATAGGGTAGATATGGTTATAGTCCTCGAGAATACCATCACAGGGTAGATATGATTCAGATATGTCTTAAATCTGTAAGTTATAATTGTTATATAACTTTAGCCAATAGTTGGATGATCCAGAGAGGAAACATGATTATAGCTGATATCGACGTTTCACCTGTGAGCTATTTCAATAATATCACAACAGTAATTTAGTCTTTGTAAGTAATTTCTACTAGTATGATGCTAACCTTGAGATCACATCAAAGAAATAAAGTGAAATAAAGATTGGAATAGTTTTAAAGGCATCAACACATCATGTAACTCTAGAGACATCTGCAAAATGGAGGTTAAGTCAGCTAGTGATTGACATCTATACACTTACTTCCTTTCTTCTTGGTGCCTATCTTTGTTGGGAGGAGAGTGAGTAGTACCAGCATTGTGATTAACACCACTCCTCCCGGGACATATGTCAGCACTGTCTTAAAATACTGGTTACATTTAGGACAGCAACTTCTGAAGAGGATAGCAGATGAAAAGCTGTTATTTAATACTAGGTTAAACTGAAAATGTCTGTAAAATAAAAATGCATCTCCCACCTCAAGTTGGCAATTGTACGCTTTAACCTTAACCAATACCCACTGTAACATAACTAAATGTAGGATACCATGGTGTACACATGAACCAACTTATCTTATTGATTTGGATGAGACGTGACACGACATCAACAGATTCTTTAAACTTGTTCAATGGACAATAAAAGAAATCAAAATACAAAAAATAAACAGAAATATCAATCTTTTCAGAATAAGACTTTGAACAACAAATTTTTAATGTTCATAATCATTGAATGATGTCTTACGTGCATGGATGATTCTGTTGAATTAGAACTACTGCAATCCCATTTGAAAGCTTGTCAGTAAAACTCATAGCACCATACACAAAAGCTCCACTTTCAGTATTTTGTCCAATCAGATCTGATGTCATAGCAAGGGAGGTAACCAGCATAGTGGAGCCACCGATACCAAGTAACACTGCTGCACCGTAACAGTAGTGTTTTGAAGATTCTTTAAGGAAAAATATCCACACACATGCCCCTATACCACATAACTGTCCTATAAAATAGGTGGCCTGAAATTAATCACCAAATCTAAAGATTATCATAAGTTGCACTCGGACATATAATTTTAACAAATTCTTCTAAATGAGACAAGTACAATGACAGACAAACAGTGGCCTTAACAGACATATACAACGTACATATTGTTTATAACAGTTGGTCTTTGAAGCCAGGTACTATATACTAATGACACATATGTACTTTCCCAGCAGAGGTTACCTTTATATACAGGTACAAGTATTTATCATATAAAAATTATTCACAGAAGTGGTCTTTATAGACAGATATTATAGTGAACAGATGTTTTTATCGAGAGGTACTTGCCACATAGTGTAGACTTTATGGTCAGTAGTTAGATCATAACGTTCTTACTGGACAGGTTGATAATGAACAGGTAAACTCTCTAGACAGGTCCCTAGTCAACAGAGGTCTTTGATACTTACTTTTCTGCCAATATTTCGATTGACAGGTTTCATGACTAATGAGGTAAAAAGTCCACTGACAAATACCACCAATGGCATTAAGGCTACATTGACCTGGAAAGACCACAAAACAACGTCACAGTCAAAACTAAACATTTAATTAGGATACAAAATTTGAATTTAACATTTCACTCAACAATCTTCAAAATTTTAAATTAAGACTTCTTCTTAACATTGACACCTGAAAATCATAAGCCTTACAAATTCTGAAAAAATCTCAAGAAAAAAAAAGCAAAGCATTAGATACACTGGGTTGTTTAAGAATTTCTGATCGACTGGTTGGTAACTTACCTTCGACATTTTTAAAGTCTCTGTGACATACAAAGGGAGATAAATCTGTGATATATTCACAAACAACCTTGTACACATATATATCAATGCAACCTGCAAAACAAAACAAATTCATAAAACAACCTTTTATACAGTCATGTTTACAAAAAGGGATCAAACTTGTGATCACTATATGAACTTACATGATAAAACTGTGTCTCTTTAAGCCAGTTTACATATCACCTTACCTGATAACATTGTTTCTTTAAGCCAGTTTACATATCACCTTACCTGATAACATTGTTTCTTTAAGCCAGTTTACATATCACCTTACCTGATAAAACTGTGTCTCTTTAAGCCAGTTTACATATCACCTTACCTGATAACATTGTTTCTTTAAGCCAGTTTACATATCACCTTACCTGAAAACATTGTTTCTTTAAGCCAGTTTACATATCACCTTACCTGATAAAACTGTGTCTCTTTAAGCCAGTTTACATATCACCTTACCTGATAAAACTGTGTCTCTTTAAGCCAGTTTACATATCACCTTACCTGATAAAACTGTGTCTCTTTAAGCCAGTTTACATATCACCTTACCTGATAACATTGTTTCTTTAAGCCAGTTTACATATCGCCTTACCTGATAACATTGTTTCTTTAAGCCAGTTTACATATCACCTTACCTGATAAAACTGTGTCTCTTTAAGCCAGTTTACATATCACTTTACCTGATAAAACTGTGTCTCTTTAAGCCAGTTTACATATCGCCTTACCTGATAACATTGTTTCTTTAAGCCAGTTTACATATCACCTTACCTGATAAAACTGTGTCTCTTTAAGCCAGTTTACATATCGCCTTACCTGATAACATTGTTTCTTTAAGCCAGTTTACATATCGCCTTACCTGATAACATTGTTTCTTTAAGCCAGTTTACATATCACCTTACCTGATAAAATTGTGTCTTTAAGCCAGTTTACATATCACCTTACCTGATAAAACTGTGTCTCTTTACGCCAGTTTACATATCACCTTACCTGATAAAACTGTGTCTCTTTAAGCCAGTTTACATATCACCTTACCTGATAAAACTGTGTCTCTTTAAGCCGGTTTACATATCACCTTACCTGATAAAACTGTGTCTCTTAAAGCCAGTTTACATATCACCTTACCTGATAAAACTGTGTCTCTTAAAGCCAGTTTACATATCACCTTACCTGATAAAACTGTGTCTCTTTAAGCCAGTTTACATATCACCTTACCTGATAAAACTGTGTCTCTTTAAGCCGGTTTACATATCACCTTACCTGATAAAACTGTGTCTCTTTAAGCCGGTTTACATATCACCTTACCTGATAAAACTGTGTCTCTTTAAGCCAGTTTACATATCACCTTACCTGATAAAACTGTGTCTCTTTAAGCCAGTTTACATATCACCTTACCTGATAAAACTGTGTTTCTTTACGCCAGTTTACAGAAAATCTTACCTGGTAAAACTGTGTCTTTTTAAGCCAGTTTACATATCACTTTACCTGATAAAACTGTGTTTCTTTAAGCCAGTCCTTCCATGACATGAGGGATTGCTTCAACATGGAGATTTCTATGGAATGGGCACTTTCTCCAGTAGAGGAAGACATTGAAGTCTTCAGAGATTTGGACATGGCCTCTTCAGCCTCTACATGAGACATAGTCTTTACTCCCTCCTTCACACCAATTTGGAACAAGAAACTGACCACTACTCCTAAACTGACCACGATAAATACCAGGTCCTGGAAACCAAAACATATTGGAGGATTATACGTAAACATACCTTTGTACAGTTAGGTATAAGAGATTTTAACATATGAAAAGATATTTAAGTTACATTACACAATGAAGTTCACACAATAGATTAAAACTTCTTATAACACAACCGGAATCAGATCTCAGTGTGGCATTTTGACGACTACACGGTTACCTTCATCTTTACTTTTCTACTGAGTGCTGATGAAGGTGAGGGTGTAGTCATCAATTTATCACACCCTAATCCTCTACTGGTTGTGTTATCAGAACCTCTATGCTTCTGACATTACCAGCCTGAAGAAAATGTTCCGAAATGAATAAAATTTACATAAGTTTCCATCTTTTATGAGAATCTGTTCAAAATCGTACAAGTATCTCATATGTTGTAAAATATGGAAAATATTTTTAGAGCTTGCTTTATGTCATGAAATGGACATGTTTAAAGATCCTGTATTGAATACATCAAAATATTGTTATAAATAGGAGTCACCCAATGTGTGTACAACCTGTGTAACAGGGAACAAACACAGGAATATTTAGCTTACTGAAGAGTACTCTATCAAGGTTTTATATGCTAAATGATGATTTTGTTTGCTCTTTGTAGTAGACGATGACTACCTCACTAAACACATGGGAGGCCTATTGCATAGGGTTCAAAGTAATTAGGGTCCACATACAACCACATGTAAAACACTACAGACTGGTCCCTTTCTCAGCCATATGAGAAACAAAAACTTATGAATTATATGGTTAATACATAGTGAAAGCTTACTCTGAAATTGTTGTTGTCAACTGGTGACAGCATGTCACTACTACCAATGCCATCCCCAGTGTTGAGGTAAAACAGGAGAGCAAACAGTCCAAACACGGTTAAATTAGACAACACCGTGAAGGCATACCTGTAAACATATACAAAAGGTAGAGAGTTCATCCAGTATCAAGTCCATGCCTGGTAATAAGCCCACCCAATTCTACTGTGGTTTGAAGAGTTAATCTGGCATTGAGCCCACATCTGGTAATAAGCCCACCCATATCTACTGTGGTTTGAAGAGTTAATCTGGCATTGAGCCCACGTCTGGTAATAAGCCCACCCATATCTACTGTGGTTTGAAGAGTTAATCTGGCATTGAGCCCACGTCTGGTAATAAGCCCACCCATATCTACTGTGGTTTGAAGAGTTAATCTGGCATTGAGCCCACGTCTGGTAATAAGCCCACCCATATCTACTGTGGTTTGAAGAGTTAATCTGGCATTGAGCCCACGTCTGGTAATAAGCCCACCCATATCTACTGTGGTTTGAAGAGTTAATCTGGCATTGAGCCCATGTCTGGTAATAAGCCCACTCACACCTAGCATTTACAGTTGAAATGCCTACAAATTATATATCATTGTCTTATGATAAACCCACCTACATACTTTGAATTAGACTGACAATTTGGCTCTCCTGGGCTTATTGCTAAATGAGTTTGGGATACAATCATATTTCTGGTAACAACTTTACCATACAGTTACCTTAAGAATTTGTACCTGTAGAAAACATCAGGAAACTATACAAAGTTTATCAAAACCACTTTTTTCAATACAACTCCATGGAAAATGTTCATACCTAAAACCATTTAATTCCACACGCTCATCCTCTTTAATGGTTAAGTCAGGTATGAGAGACAAATGAGAGATCTGGGTTGACGCCCAGCCAAACTGAAATATCACGACAAACGGCGCATAATAGATAAACTGGTAGATATCCTTGGTATGGTCACAGGTGATACATTTGTTAAAGATGAAGGGAAAGCTACACGCCACACATATTGTACCTGTTAGAAAAAACAGTAAGAGATGAAATGTAATATGAATAAAATGCTGTTAATCAAATAACTTCAATTCAACAAGTTACAAAGACCTTTAAAGCAATTTCTCAATTTTTAAAAAATTAGAGATCGCCATGTGATGCTTTCTTCGAGAAGAATGAACTAGTTATGTCAGTTTACAGAGATCTATACACACAAAAGGAAGCAGCTCTTTTGATTGGTTAGTTGATTGATTAGTGAAGATAAAGACTAGCTGTAACCATACAGAGACTGTTACACCTTCAGTTGTAACCATACAGAGACTGTGTTACACCTTCAGTTGTAACCATACAGAGACTGTGTTACACCTCCAGCTGTAACCATACAGAGACTGTGTTACACCCCCAGCTGTAACCATACAGAGACTGTTACACCTTCAGTTGTAACCATACAGAGACTGTATTACACCTTCAGTTGTAACCATACAGACTGTGTTACACCTCCAGTGTTACAGAGACTGTGTTACCTCCAGCTGTAACCAGAGACTGTGTTACACCCCCAGCTGAGACTGTTACACCTTCAGTTGTAACCATACAGAGACTGTATTACACCTTCAGTTGTAACCATACAGAGACTGTGTTACACCTTCAGTTGTAACCATACAGAGACTGTGTTACACCTCCAGCTGTAACCATACAGAGACTGTGTTACACCCCCAGCTGTAACCATACAGAGACTGTGTTACACCCCCAGCTGTAACCATACAGAGGCTGTTACACCTTCAGTTGTAACCATACAGAGACTGTATTACACCTTCAGTTGTAACCATACAGAGACTGTGTTACACCTTCAGTTGTAACCATACAGAGACTGTGTTACACCTCCAGCTGTAACCATACAGAGACTGTGTTACACCCCCAGCTGTAACCATACAGAGACTGTGTTACACCCCCAGCTGTAACCATACAGAGACTGTGTTACACCCCCAGCTGTAACCATACAGAGACTGTGTTACACCCCCAGCTGTAACCATACAGAGGCTGTTACACCTTAAGCTGTAACCATACAGAGACTGTTACACCTTCAGTTGTAACCATACAGAGACTGTTACACCTCCAGTTGTAACCATACAGAGACTGTGTTACACCCCCAGCTGTAACCATACAGAGACTGTGTTACACCCCCAGCTGTAACCATACAGAGACTGTGTTACACCCCCAGCTGTAACCATACAGAGGCTGTTACACCTTAAGCTGTAACCATACAGAGACTGTTACACCTTCAGTTGTAACCATACAGAGACTGTTACACCTCCAGTTGTAACCATACAGAGACTGTGTTACACCCCCAGCTGTAACCATACAGAGACTGTGTTACACCCCCAGCTGTAACCATACAGAGGCTGTGTTACACCCCCAGCTGTAACCATACAGAGGCTGTGTTACACCTCCAGCTGTAACCATACAGAGGCTGTTACACCTTCGGTTGTAACCATACAGAGACTGTTACACCTTCAGTTGTAACCATACAGAGACTGTTACACCTCCAGCTGTAACCATACAGAGACTGTTACACCTCCAGCTGTAACCATACAGAGACTGTGTTACACCCCCAGCTGTAACCATACAGAGGCTGTGTTACACCCCCAGCTGTAACCATACAGAGACTGTGTTACACCCCCAGCTGTAACCATACAGAGACTGTGTTACACCCCCAGCTGTAACCATACAGAGACTGTGTTACACCCCCAGCTGTAACCATACAGAGGCTGTTACACCTTAAGCTGTAACCATACAGAGACTGTTACACCTTCAGTTGTAACCATACAGAGACTGTTACACCTCCAGTTGTAACCATACAGAGACTGTGTTACACCCCCAGCTGTAACTATACAGAGACTGTGTTACACCCCCAGCTGTAACCATACAGAGGCTGTATTACACCCCCAGCTGTAACCATACAGAGGCTGTGTTACACCTCCAGCTGTAACCATACAGAGGCTGTTACACCTTAAGCTGTAACCATACAGAGACTGTTACACCTTCAGTTGTAACCATACAGAGACTGTTACACCTCCAGCTGTAACCATACAGAGACTGTTACACCTCCAGCTGTAACCATACAGAGACTGTGTTACACCCCCAGTTGTAACCATACAGAGACTGTTACACCTTCAGTTGTAACCATACAGAGGCTGTTACACCTTCAGTTGTAACCATACAGAGGCTGTGTTACACCCCCAGCTGTAACCATACAGAGGCTGTGTTACACCCCCAGCTGTAACCATACAGAGACTGTGTTACACCCCCAGCTGTAACCATACAGAGGCTGTGTTACACCTTCAGTTGTAACCATACAGAGACTGTGTTACACAGTTGTAACCATACAGACTGTGTTACACCAGGCTGTTACACAGAGACTGTGTTACACCCCCAGCTGTAACCATACAGAGACTGTGTTACACCCCCAGCTGTAACCATACAGACACTGTGTTACACCTGTGTTACAGGCTGTTACACCCAGCTGTAACCATACAGAGACTGTGTTACACCCCCATCTGTAACCATTCAGAGACTGTGTTACACCTTCATTTGTAAACATACAGAGAATGTATTACACCTTCAGTTGTAACCATACAGAGAAGAGACATGTGTTACACCTTCAGTTGTAACCATACAGAGGCTGTGTTACACCCCCAGCTGTAACCATACAGAGTCTGTGTTACACCCCCAGCTGTAACCATACAGAGACTGTGTTACACCCCCAGCTGTAACCATACAGAGACTGTGTTACACCCCCAGCTGTAACCATACAGAGGCTGTGTTACACCCCCAGCTGTAACCATACAGAGGCTGTGTTACACCCCCAGCTGTAACCATACAGAGACTGTGTTACACCCCCAGCTGTAACCATACAGAGGCTGTGTTACACCTTCAGTTATAACCATACAGAGACTGTGTTACACCCCCAGCTGTAACCATACAGAGGCTGTGTTACACCCCCAGCTGTAACCATACAGAGACTGTGTTACACCCCCAGCTGTAACCATACCGAGGCTGTGTTACACCCCCAGCTGTAACCATACAGAGGCTGTGTTACACCCCCAGCTGTAACCATACAGAGGCTGTGTTACACCCCCAGCTGTAACCATGCAGAGACTGTGTTACACCTCCAGTTGTAACCATACAGAGACTGTTACACCTCCAGCTGTAACCATACAGAGACTGTTACACCTCCAGTTGTAACCATGCAGAGACTGTGTTACACCTCCAGTTGTAACCATACAGAGACTGTGTTACACCTTCAGTTGTAACCATACAGAGGCTGTTACACCTTAAGCTGTAACCATACAGAGACTGTGTTACACCTCCAGCTGTAACCATACAGACACTGTGTTACACCTCCAGCTGTAACCATACAGAGGCTGTTACACCTTAAGCTGTAACCATACACAGACTGTGTTACACCTCCAGCTGTAACCATACAGACACTGTGTTACACCTCCAGCTGTAACCATACAGAGACTGTGTTACACCTCCAGCTGTAACCATACAGAGGCTGTTACACCTTCAGTTGTAACCATACAGAGACTGTGTTACACCTTCAGTTGTAACCATACAGAGACTGTGTTACACCTTCAGTTGTAACCATACAGAGGCTGTTACACCTTCAGTTGTAACCATACAGAGACTGTGTTACACCTTCAGTTGTAACCATACAGAGGCTGTTACACCTTAAGCTGTAACCATACAGAGACTGTGTTACACCTCCAGCTGTAACCATACAGACACTGTGTTACACCTCCAGCTGTAACCATACAGAGGCTGTTACACCTTAAGCTGTAACCATACAGAGACTGTGTTACACCTCCAGCTGTAACCATACAGACACTGTGTTACACCTCCAGCTGTAACCATACAGAGGCTGTTACACCTTAAGCTGTAACCATACAGAGACTGTGTTACACCTTCAGTTGTAACCATACAGAGGCTGTGTTACACCTTCAGTTGTAACCATACAGAGGCTGTTACACCTTCAGTTGTAACCATACAGAGACTGTGTTACACCTTCAGTTTTAACCATACAGAGGCTGTTAAACCTTCAGTTGTAACCATACAGAGGCTGTGTTACACCTTCAGTTGTAACCATACAGAGGCTGTTACACCTTCAGTTGTAACCATACAGAGACTGTGTTACACCTTCAGTTGTAACCATACAGAGACTGTGCTACACCTCCAGTTGTAACCATACAGAGACTGTGTTACACCTTCAGTTGTAACCATACAGAGGCTGTTACACCTTAAGCTGTAACCATACAGAGACTGTGTTACACCTTCAGTTGTAACCATACAGAGACTGTGTTACACCTCCAGCTGTAACCATACAGAGACTGTGCTACACCTCCAGTTGTAACCATACAGAGACTGTGTTACACCTTCAGTTGTAACCATACAGAGGCTGTTACATCTTAAGCTGTAACCATACAGAGACTGTGTTACACCTTCAGTTGTAGCCATACAGAGACTGTGTTACACCTTCAGTTGTAACCATACAGAGACTGTGTTACACCCCCAGCTGTAACCATACAGAGGCTGTTACACCTTCAGTTGTAACCATACAGAGACTGTGTTACACCTTCAGTTGTAACCATACAGAGACTGTGTTACACCTTCAGTTGTAACCATACAGACACTGTGTTACACCTTCAGTTGTAACCATACAGAGACTGTGTTACACCCCCAGCTGTAACCATACAGAGGCTGTTACACCTTCAGTTGTAACCATACAGAGACTGTGTTACACCTTCAGTTGTAACCATACAGAGACTGTGTTACACCCCCAGCTGTAACCATACAGAGACTGTGTTACACCTCCAGCTGTAACCACACAGAGACTGTGTTACACCCCCAGCTGTAACCATGCAGAGACTGTGTTACACCCCCAGCTGTAACCATGCAGAGACTGTGTTACACCCCCAGCTGTAACCATACAGAGACTGTGTTACACCCCCAGCTGTAACCATGCAGAGACTGTGTTACACCCCCAGCTGTAACCATACAGAGACTGTGTTTGCACACTAAAACATGGATATTCTGATGATTTTTTTTTGTTTTTTTTTTGTTAAAAACTGAATATTCCTGCCTTTTCCTTTGTAGCAGTATCTGATTTATTCAAACTTACAACAAAATGTCATTACTCTGAAAATTACTTCCTACAACGGTTTGTTACACAGATCTGTGTAATAAACAGGCATCAATAAACACCACTATTTGATCTCTGTGTAAATCCATAGACATTAGATAGATTTTCTTACCTAATAAATGCCAAGTTTTTCTCTTTCCAATCTTCAGTATCCCTTGGGTATGATCTGACTCGTAACCAATAAACGGTGTAAACAATGCATCGCTGACTTGACCAATCATCATCAAGTATCCAGCCAGTGAGTTGTCAAACTGTTTGACTTGGTGAAAGTAGATGATGAGGTAGCTAAACCACATGGAGGCTGTGAGGTCATTAAGTACATGTCCGATACTGTACAGAAATCTTTGTGTCGCAGGTAAGGTTTTACCTGTACCATTGGACCTCTTCAGCAATGGTGCCGACTCAGACATTTTGAAATTTTATATGATGCTTAAGTCTCAGTGTGAAATGTAATGTTATATCTGAGTCAACTAACTTCCTCGATTACCACTATCACCGTATAAAGATTTACCACAATTAATTAATTGTTTCAGCTGACAATATCCTGACATGTTTTTCACAATCTCTGGGTGACCTAGGCACCTATTTTTGCAGAACCTGTAAGATTTGCAGAAAACATTACTACAAGAAGTAAACCTGTAAATAAGCATGCAATTAAAAACCTACATTCAAGGTCTGATCATCATCATATCCACCTTTGTTTAGATGGAGGCTTGAGCTATCGAGTCAGGGATCAGGGGATGGGTCAAGAACAAAGATAACCTTCAGCTTTGATAAAAAATAGAGTATGTGGTTGTACATTGTATATTAACCATTATTAATGTACTAATAAAAAAAAACAGATTATGTAATGCTTAGCTTTGCACACGGCAGGTAAGTCTCTGATTCCTTTCAGAGATAATAGCTAACAAATGCCAATATATACATATAGCGTGTAACAGCAAACTCTACCTGAGTTAACAATAAAACTAACGAACGAAATAGTATTCACATGGACTGCTGTTCCGCACAGACTGTTCTGACTAGCATGCGAGCTTGAGTGCAAGCTCGACACCCAGTGACTTCACCTAACCCTAGTTCCAACTACTGAACTAGTCGCCGAGCAATATCACTTAGTCAGTCCTGACTAAGCCCTAGTTTGTCCTACCAACTAAGTCAACCCTTGCTCGTGTTCCTAGCTCAGGCTCTAACCTAGCCCTATAGCTAGCTACCCAAAGTCAAAAGTCCAAGCTTCGGTGAGAACTAAACAGCCCTTGCACCAGCTTGACAAGTGGTTTCGGAAAAGCCACTATTTCAGACTTTCACCCACCACCTATTACAAATAACTGTGTTACGTACTTTGTAAGAAGTCTTACTTCGTCCGTGTATCTTTAAAAGCTTCACCAACAGTCAGTATAACAGCAATCACAATCATTCAAAGTAATTTCTATTTACACGTATAATAAACACTTTCATTAGGTGTGACAATCGTTGCATACTAAAATATTAACATAGTACAGAATACCTTTCCATACCTTACTTCAGAATTATAAACATTTGTATTAATCGACAAAAATCATTAGATGAACAAATTAACAAATATGTAATTAGCTATAAGTCATATTCAAGGGACATAACTCTTATACTTTAATTTCCATAACAATAACAAGACCCATTATTGAGGCCATCTGATTAGAGAGCTAGAGGTCACCTGTTCAAACCGAAGAGTTCGCACAATCACCACCTACGTAGGGATTCATGAATAATACTTTGCTTTTCTTGGAGGTGTAACACTATACGTAAGAAAGAATTAATGCAGGGTCCAGTGTTATTTTGAAAACTATTGAATTAAAAAATGACTTTCATAATCACCAATGAACTTTCAAATGTATGTGATTGTTATTTAGTCAAGACTACATAAGTTTTCCATTTAATTTTCAATCCGTAAAATAAGCCAACCATTTTTACCACACTGCACAAAATGTGTGATCCTTTATGCACAATGTCTGCACGATATGAGCATGAAGTTTTTGATGTGTTGTTTGTTACCAAAACTGTAGCTTCTATTTTTTCTGTTCCTTTCCAAATAATAATGACAATATCTTATTCCACAAAATTTTAAAAGTTCTGATACATTTCTTTCTCTTCAAAACATTTCTTGATCACAAAAGTCCTGGATCATACATTGTAGTCCCACAGATGGTAAATATGTAGAAGTTGAGATTACAGTTCGCCTTACTAGCCTTAGTTAGTGGGAATTTTGATTCAGTCAAGCTGAGTTTGCAAGTGCAAACCCTGGTGGGGGTAGGATATTTTTTATCACTCCTTCCTGTTACAGATATGCTGTTGATACAGTGACAAGATAATGTATTCTATAAGTGTAAATATGACTTGAGTGGTTAGACTGAGACTATGTCCCTGTAAAACCATTTAACAGTCGTGTCCAATATAGTATGTGACGATCATTGTCACTTTTGCCTGATTCAGTCAAGAACAGTCACATCAAGTGCATATATTGCTGCTGACAGTGTAAAATGGAGCAGACCTTCTGCTCTGGGCTTGAGATTGTTAGGGTTGTGGATTCAGGATATTAAGGTTATGACTTCAGGTTGTTATGAATATGGCTTCATGTTGTTAGGGTTATGACTAAGTTTGTTATGGTTATGACTTCAGGTTGTTTGGGTTATGGCATCAGGTTGTTAGGGTTATGACTTCAGGTTGTTAGGGTTGTAGAAGAAGGTTGTTATGGTTATGGCTTCAGGTTGTTAGGGTTGTAGAAGAAGGTTGTTATGGTTATGACTTCAGGTTGTTAGGGTTATGACTAAGTTTGTTATGGTTATGACTTCATGTTGTTAGGGTTATGACTTCAGGTTGTTAGGGTTATGACTTCAGATTGTTAGGGTTATGACTAAGTTTGTTATGGTTATGACCTCATGTTGTTAGGGTTATGACTTCAGGTTGTTAGGGTTATGACTTCAGGTTGTTAGGGTTATGACTTTAGGTTGTTATGGTTTTGGCTTCAGGTTGTTAGGGTTATGACTTCAGGTTGTTAGGGTTATGACTTCAGGTTGTTAGGGTTATGACTTTAGGTTGTTAGGGTTATGACTTTAGGTTGTTATGGTTATAACTTCAGGTTGTTAGGGTAATGACTTCAGGTCATTAGGGTTGTTTCTTCAGGTTGTTAGGGTTATATCTTCAGGTTGTTAGGGCTATGGTTTTAGAGATTGCACAGTTAATTACCGTTAAAACTATGTAACAGTCAGGAAGTCCAGATGAGTCCAGTGATTTTAATGCTATTTGCTAATGCTGCATCTGAATTTGCATTCAGATCATTGTTTGTGAGCAGTTTGACTCTCCCTTCACAAGTTTTTCTAAGGTAAGCCTGGGAGCTAGCCAATCTACATGGGAAAGTATGTGTATATTCCTGCTGATCGCCTTGGAAGGAATCAAACCCAGGTCTGTGGTATAATAGTCCAAGCTTGTCAACAACAGATCATGCACAGCAGTTGTACCTAACAGTACACACAACTGGCCTGTTGTGTACTGTTGTACAACCATGACATAAATAACAAAAGACACCAGTAATGACACTATTGGGACGTCATCAATAGTTATATCTTGATGATGTCATATGTTTTATTGGTTGTGAAAAGTGTACCATCTAGGTAGAAATAAGTCTGTCTTATAGGGAAATTAATCAGAAAGATTTTGTTTATTTTTTCAGAAATATGGGTGATATGATAAATGTAAGTCTACACTTGTGCCGGTGTAAGATAGACCTTATCAATAACAAATTATAGAACATTTTTCATAGAATAAATATCACATCGATATCATGCTTATGCAAGATCCTGTATTTATGAGCCACTCCAACCTCATCCTTTTACACTATTCCAAGACCTTTTTCATGTGATAAATACTATTTCATATTCTAACATACAATTTAAGGCAGCTAGCTAGGCAGCATGGTGGCGGAGACAAATCAGCCAAGACATGGCGATCCTTAGTGGTACCATTCAGGCATGGCAATTCATAGTGGTATGAAGGCATAGTAATTCATATTGGTATGTAGACATGGCAATTCATAGTGTTATGAAGGCACAGTAATTTATATTGGTATTGAGGGGATACCAACTTATGGTGGTATTGAAAGCATGCCAATTCATAATGAAGAATGTAGTTGTGTTACTTTTGTGTCAAACTATGTTTTAGAACATGTACAGTGTCTACATGTGCACTACTAGTGTAAAAGGAGTGAGTCAGTGTGGTTTGAACATAGTGTTAAGTACGGTCTCTATCACTCAGCTGATATGACAGAGCAGGCTTTTTAAGGTTCAATTAGTAGAGTCAGTTTACTTTTACATATACGTTTGAGTTCCATTCCTGGTCGTGGCATTCGAAAGGATTGTGTTTCTTCCTTGTACATGTTCTTTCACATATCTATGTTACCAAAAGTTCCCAATTGAAGGATAAAGTCGTGACAGAACCTCTTTATCCTTATTACCCGTGTACAAATGTAGATGTTACCTGTCCATCAGACAACCAATGTAACCTTACAAGTGGAAATTACAAGACAGTGCCGTGAAATCATCGACGATGTACAATATATATATTCCCTTTTATAAAGTTTAAGTTCTTCTTTAATTGCTTTTGATAAGGAATTAATATTCTAAATTATATAAATAAGTTAAAGTCAAACACATACCATGTTTAACAGGGTAGTTAGACATCCTGGACAGGCATGACTCCTTCCGCAACAATCGGTGTCTACTGCATGGAAGAAGAGTGGAGTTTATCATAGGACATCGATACGTATGTACACCTGTTGCTGGGTCAGCTGACATCTGCCCACGAGGTACTGATAAGCTAAGTGTATGTCACCACGTGCATCAACAGCTGACATCCTAACATACTGACATAAACACACCCCATTTTCACTTTGTTTGTGTACGTCTGTACTCCCACCGCTCTCATGTGATCAGTCATGTGACTTTGAGTATTCATCATATAGTCTATTTCAGATATCTTTATATTCTGTTTCAGGAATGTTACGAGCATATACACATTTTCTATAAGACCCTCAAAACAGAAGAGATGATAGGTTTTCCCCCAATTGATTGAAATAAAACAGGATTGATAAAATCAGCTAATTATAATTTCAATACGGAAATATTACTTTCTACGGAAGATGATCCTATGAAATCCAGCCTTTTCACGGCAAAGTCATTGGCAACATCTCAAAGGTAAAAGTAGAAATAAAAATTTATTTATTGATATTCAAACAAAATATGTGTACATTTGCAAGTGTAATCATGTAAAGTGTATCAATACAAAGAAATCGATGCTGATGACCAATACTTGACACCGATGCTGAGGAACATTTTACCAGAGACGTATATATCACATATATGTGATATATACGTCTCTGATTTTACAAAGTACATTTTAGCTACCGGTAACTAAGTCCGTAACTTTGTATAATTTGAAAAAAACAGTTCTTGTTATAGAAATCTTTTTGTTGTTGTTCTTGTTCGGTTGGTGGGGATCCGCAATTTCATGGAGATCAATGTTTTCGTAGACGCTATATAAACCTGCATAGGGAACAACGCAGTCAAGTAATAGCTAGACGAATGGGAGTTGTTCCCCTTTAATCAGTAATTAAAGATTTTAGTGGCTTGCATCGCTCACATAACTCTGGTTTGTATTGGGAACAGGTATGATAATTTTAGAAATGTCTATGGTCTTTGAGCACTGACATTAATAAATATATAAAAATACTTTGAAACAATATATTTTCCATTAGCAAGATGCTCACGGGTCTTAACGGTCATTTGACTATATAGACCAATGCATGAAAGATGCTAAATACGCCTAAAATATATTGTTTCTCTACAACTTACAAAGAAGACACTGTTGGTTTGCAAAAAACATTTTCTGCAAGCCTGAAACCATATTCTTTTTACATGCTGCTACACAAATGCCATCAATGGAACCAATTGCTTGTCGACAAAGAAATTTTAAGATCCCACCTCATTTAACCCAAGAGATCTTGAATATCAAGGTCAATTATTTGACATTGATAACAATTTATCCCAGCATACCAAAGGTCCAACTTCAGCATCCTGGGCCTTTTGATTATTCAAGAGGAGTTGTTTAAAGAGTTTTACAAATTTGTTCCCTGTCACCTTGAAAATGGGTAAATGTCATTAGTTTTAATAAACTTGGTAGCCCTTCATCCCGTCGTGCTACAGGCCTAATTTCAGCACCCTGGGCTTTTTGGTTATTGAGAAGAAAATAAAAAAAACTTCAACACTTTTGACACTTGTAACCTTGGATGTGGGTCAAGGTCATTCATATCAACAAACTTGGTAGCCAGGCTAAAAATCAGCACCCTGGGCTTTTTGGTTATTGAGAAGAGGCTGTTTGAATATTTTGATATATTTGACACCTATGATTTTCAAAGTAGATCAGAGTAAATGCAATGAATAAAGTTGAAAGTGGTTCAAGGTAAATGATAAGGACAAACTTGGCAGCCCTTCATCCCAGCATGCTACAGGCACAATATCAGTAATTGATAAGAAGTTGTTTAAACATTTCAACACATTGGACATTGGAAGTTGGCAATGTTAGCCCTTCTTTCTGGTTTTAACTGAAATCCCCGAGTGGAACTCAAGAATATTGATGTCGTTGTTCAGGAATGCATTCAAAATAAACATGACTACTATGGCTACCCTGTTAAATTTTGATGAGGCCGAAAAATTAACAAAACTTTGTTGGCTTCCTTAGTAGCCCCACTGATTTTCAGCTCAGAAGAACTTCAGAAGTTTTTCAAGATGGAGTCCAAAATGGCAGCCATTAATGTCATGAAAACCATGATTGTGTGGTCATGTTACAAAAAGGCCATTGTGGCTGCAATGTTCATCTTTTGATGATGCTGCAAAATAAGAGCACTTTCCTGAACATTCCTAACAGTTTTCAGCTCAATAACACCACTGGAACTTGATAAGAAGTTTAATATGTGTTTTCCAAGATGAGGGTCATTTAGGATTTTGGACCAACACAGAAAGTATCCTGACAAAAGGTTTTTTCTCGAGAAAGTGATAAACTATGTAAAAGTGGGGACATGTCCAGTTTTCATCCCTGGAAAAAGCAAGCCTCTCTCCATGTGACATTAGAGAACAACGATGAATTGATGGCCGATGTGGCTACTGACATCAAGCTTCATTTAAACATTATGAACTCTGTCTATGATTAAAGCCAACTTGTTGTTAACTATTTTCTTTCTTGTAAAGTTACAATATCTGATGAAAGAGGAAATAAAAATGTCTATCTGTGTCTCTCCATTCATTACCATCTTGTCAGGGGCTGCAATATTTCAGTCTAAGTGTTGAACTACATAACCTCTGGTGAACATCCGAAATATGTGGTTCCATGCTCCATACTCATGGCAGTAGTGTTTTGATGAGAAAAAGGGAAACAGATCAGTCTTTGCTGGTGTGGTTGTGTCCTTGGGCAAGATGATTTACCCTAATTGCATTGGAATATGATTGGCCTCCATTATGTTTTTCAGTGAGGTAGTCAACAGCTATTACAAGGAGACCCCGCCTCAAGATGACCCTCGCTGTTCACAGTATGACAACCCATCAAACAAACCATCGCCTTATGTCATAATGGGTCACATAGCATGAGAAGGGTATATAACATAAGAGCTCAGTCCCGCGTAAAAGTCGCAACATTCCATGTCAATCTCAACAGTGTACAGCTATTATTCATATTCTCAAGAACACTAACAAATAACATGAGACTAGATGTTTCTTTGAGCATGTTATAAAGTTTATTGACGGTAATTTTTCTTTGGACAACATTTCTGACACATTGACAAAGATGTAGAAACAATGCTTAAACATACAGCAACATTAAGCCTTTAGCATATCACACTATTTCCACACATATGGGAAATACAGATCTGTAATATCTCATTATTTCTAGATATTGGAAAAATATGGATTTAACATCGCACTATTTCCAAACATCAGAAATACATATCTAGCATTACAGTACTTCTTAACATCAGAAATATGGATCTAACATCACAATATTTCCAAACATCCGAAATACAGATCTAATATCACACTTTTCCAGACATCAGAAATTTGGATCTAATATCACACTTTTCCAGACATCGGAAATTTGGATCTAATATCACACTTTTCCAGACATCGGAAATTTGGATCTAATATCACACTATTTCAAAACATTGGAAATACAGTTCTAACCTCATACTTTTCCAGACATCAGAAACTTGGATCTCTTATCACAATATTTTCAGACATGTTGGAAATAACGATTCAGTCACTCTGACCTGTAGCAGTCCAAGTACACTGACCACACACAGTACTGGTCAATTGTCACTTAATCTAAACCTATATAGACCACTTATCAATATTCAAGTTTGGTAAGTATTATATATACGTATAGAACTGTGTAATGTTGTTGGTAAGGAAGGCTATACCACAGACACTGAATCTTTATACTATACCATCAGGCACAGAGACTGTAGGCTCTACTTTATATAATCTGATCACAGAAACAGAATGCTACCTTTTCCAACACATACATAGAATGCTACATATGGGCATGGCATGTGTATACATAACGACAGCTAGGAATTAATTATGTTAATTGTGTAAAATGTGTGCACATATTGGTTTTTTATGATCAATTGTAACTGAAGTGAGGAATAATCAGCATCCTGTCCACAACAGTAATGTCAGCATCCTGTCCGCAGCTGGAACATCAACATCCTGTCTACAACAGAAACAGCAACATCCTGTCTACAACAGTAATGTCAGCATCCTGTCTACAACAGGAACATCTACATCCTGTCTACAACAGGAACATCTACATCCTGTCTGCAGCTGGAACATCAACATCCTGTCTACAACAGGAACATCTACATCCTGTCTACAACAGGAACATCTACATCCTGTCTACAACAGGAACATCAACATCCTGTCTACAACAGAAACAGCAACATCCTGTCTACAACAGAAACAGCAACATCCTGTCAACATCCTGTCTACAACAGGAACATCTACATTCTGTCTACAACAGTAATGTCAGCATCCTGTCCGCAGCTGGAACATCAACATCCTGTCTACAACAGGAACATCAACATCCTGTCTACAACAGGAACATCTACATCCTGTCTGCAGCTGGAACATCAACATCCTGTCTGCAGCTTGAACATCAACATCCTGTCTACAACAGGAACATCTACATCCTGTCTACAACAGGAACATCAACATCCTGTCTGCAGCTTGAACATCAACATCCTGTCTACAACAGGAACATTTACATCCTGTCTGCAGCTGGAACATCAACATCCTGTCTGCAGCTGGAACATCAACATCCTGTCTACAACAGGAACATCTACATTCTGTCTGCAACAGGAACATCTACATCCTGTCTGCAGCTGGAACAGCAACATCCGGTCTACAACAGGAACATCAACATCCTGTCTACAACAGGAATATCTACATCCTGTCTACAACAGGAACATCAACATCCTGTCTACAACAGGAACAGCAACATCCTGTCTACAACAGGAACATCTACATCCTGTCTACAACAGGGACATCAACATCCTGTCTACAACAGGAACAGCAACATCCTGTCTACAACAGGAACAGCAACATCCTGTCTACAACAGGAACATCAACATCCTGTACACAACAGGAACATCAACATCCTGTACACAACAGGAACATCAACATCCTGTCTACAACAGGAACATCAACATCCTGTCTACAACAGGAACATTAACATCCTGTACACAACAGGAACATCAACATCCTGTCTACAACAGGAACATCAACATCCTGTACACAACAGGAACATCAACATCCTGTCTACAACAGGAACATCTACATCCTGTACACAACAGCAACATCTACATCCTGTCTACAACAGGAACATTAACATCCTGTCCACAGTAGTAACATCGACATTCTGTACCCAAAAAGGACGTCAATATTCTGTCCACAGCAGAAATGTCAACGTCTCATCCAAAATAGGAATGTCAACACATTCCATTATACATTGTACAAAAAGATCAGGTTCTGTCAACAGGACATGCACATGACTGTGTTCACATTTTAACCATTGAATAATTGATTGGCACTGTAAGCAGGAAGCTCTTGTGTTTTTCAATACAGACAAATGGTCCATCTAGACAGGAAAACAAAAAAGTGCTGCTTCTAGATAAGTAAACATACATGTAAAAGGTTATTCTGAAGACAGGTAGAAACTATAAAAATAATCATGCATATATATGTAATCAGTCACTCTTGACAGGTATATCATTCAAAATTTGTCTTTTCCTTAACAAAAGAATTTTTTTAAAGATTCCATATTGGTAAATGAATTAAATGCTTTCAGGAGGTTCTATCCATGAGCACCAACAGTTTCTGGACAGGAACTAAACAAACATCCATTGATACATGCAAGTATTATTTAAGACACTGAAAGACCACATAAAGAAAATGTACCTGGTACTTCTAAGCAGGTTAACTGTATATGTAAGGTATACCTGGTTATAACAGGTAACACTACATAAATTAAATCATCATTTTCTGGAGTTATTGTTCTTAGTCATTGATACAAATTAAATTTGGTCTTTTTATCATTTAATTTACTCACTGTATACTTGATATATAAAAAACTATATTGCCAATATGAATATTGTGAAAATGATTTTTCACACTTTTCACTTCAAAGTATTGCTATTGAGCTATATTACAAGACAATCTTGGTCATTCTACGTAACAGTGATTATATGGAAGGACCAGATAAATATGATTATACAGCATAAATATGGAAAACAATGAGAGAAAATACTGACCACAGACTCCAAAGACTTACAGTAATACACATGACAAACTTTAGAACTCATCGAATATTACACATACATAAGAAATTAATTTAAAAACAGGAAAAAGTCATCAAGTTACTGAGTGAAGAAAATTTATTTTCTCCATAATCAATGAATAATCAAATTTCACAGATTGTCACATTGTAATGATAAAAATGTAAATTAGACCAGGTGATTTTAACCACTGGTGATATACCTATATTAAAGCTAGCCTACATTAATAATACAGCTAAAAGGTTGTATACACATATAAAAATCTAGCAATAAAACAATTATTTGACATCCTAATATGTACAGAGATCACTGTGTAGTTCATAAATTATATCCTTAATCTGTTATAACATATAAAATAAAGTGAGAAAGTATCAACAGGTGACTTATAGGCACTATATACTGCCTCTGATCCAGCCAATATTGAGTAAACATTGATAAGACTTATTTCTAAATAGTTCTAACTTATCATAAGTTCTCCACAGCACCTTATACATGTTGGATATAAATCAGTAGCCAATAAGCCACCATTGCTGTAAATAACCTCCAAAATTTCAAGTCCATCAGTGAATATTGTACACCTCTGCACTAAATGGGTTGACTTTCAAATGTTTTTTCCCCCAGTTTTCAGTAGTCTACCAGCCTACTTACAGAAGCAATGGTAACACCTTTGCCTGTAAGGGACTTCTGGAGCATGTCAATAAACATTACATTTGGGGTGATGTAGCAGCCAAGTAAGTTCATCACTTGTTGAACAGAGATTTCTTGTACTCAGAAATTGAGACCCTCTGCTGTAAGTCTTGTAATGCACTCAAAAACACTTTGGTTTCAAGTCTGGTGATTGAAGAGAAATGGTTTCAATCTTTTACTCAGAGAGACTAAAGTTGAGGTCTTGTACATATACTGTGAGACACCGTGTTTAAGTCTTGTACTCGGAGACACTGAGTTGAAGTCTTGTACTCGGAGACACTGAGTTGAAATCTTGTACTCAGAGACACTGAGTTGAAGTCTTGTACTCCGAAACACTGAGGTGAAGTCTTGTACAATGAGTTGAAGGGGTAATATTCATGAACACATACATAGTCTGTGTGTCAAATCTCCTCACTTTACAATGACAATGTCTGTGGGCAAGGCTCAATTGACTTACTCCATATACAATTACAAGACATATTCTCTGATCACATGTCACAATGAGGTCATAAATTTCACCAACTGTGCTCACATGTCACACAGCATCACTGGTCACATGACACACTTTTTGCGGTTACATGTCAAACTACATCTCAGATCCCATGACATAACATCTCGGGTCAAAAAACACTGATTACACCATAATTTGAGAATTTATCTCCCCTGCATCATCACATGATCAGACTGTCAATCACTGCTTTGATATGAAATGAGTATCCATACCTAAGAGAAATAATGGTTACTTTGGGTTATCCATCTGTAACGTCTTTCAGGAGGAATTCTCAAAGCCATCTTGAATTTTTGAGACAAAATTGCACTTGCTTGAAGTCAAGTTCAGGAAAATGGTTCACCATTCCCATCCAAGTTCAACACATTTTGTATCTCCAAGGCCATCTGCCATGTAGAAAGAGACCCAAAGAAGACAGCGTTGCATGGTTTTACCTCGCAGTGCGTCGGTGGTAAGGACGTTGTCGCCACTGTCGTACATTACAGGTGAGACAACATTTCACTCGTACATACAGTTTGGAGCACTGGTTCATTCTCCGCAGGGCACGACAAATCTGGTTACTCATCTTGTCTCTTGTACAACGGTGTCGGTTTAAAGCTGCAATGAGACAGACAATGTTTCAATTGAAAAAGTGTAATTGATAACTACTTATTATTATGTTATAGATCAGCATTTACCTTTGGAATTACCAAACTTTGTAAAATATGTATAATGACTCCATACTAACCATGATTATTATCTGGACAAGAGGCTTTGTTACACTGCTGTCTCTCGCCTGGTTTGGTGTGGGTGGGGCAACCAGCACCTCTCTGTTGTGATGTGATGTTGATACACTGGACAAGACGAACCTGTTCCCCACCGCCACATGACTTGGAACACTAATACACAAAAAACAAAAGTTTGAACATCATAACAATGTCTTCAACACCTTTAAATACTCACAAACTGGCACAAATAGAAAAGACCATGGCCGTTATGTACAAAGAGATAAAAGTGAAAAATAAACCTAGAAATATTTCAGTCACACATGACTTTAGAGTATCTCAGATTACTCCTGTGGAACTAAGCGAGACTGAGACAAACCTCTGTAGTGAAGTACAGTGAATATAATTATATTATTGTATTTGAACCTACCCTGCTCCACTGACCATGGACCCAAGCAAGACAAGCAGGGAGGTCACATGGCATGGTTTCTGCTGGTTTCAGTTCAGGGTCACACACTTGACTCCTTGGACAGGTCACCAACCTCATCTTTGTTGACACACCACAGGTAGCAGAACACTAAAACACAATAGTATTTTTACTCAGGATGAAATTATTATCATTGAAAGTAGTTGTCATTTTCAACAATACCTATTCAACTTTAGGACAATAATGAGATATCTTTGACAAAAATCACCTTTTCACTTGCAGAAAAGAATGTTATTCATACACATGTAGAGTATTTACCTGTCAGAAAGGAAATCATGTTTTGTGTTTGACATTAACTTTAAGGCTAACAAACCTAACACAGGTATTTTCTATTGAAATATATAATCGGGTGAAAGTCAGCTTTACTGAAATAAATATCACAAGTTTTATCTATACAAGGTGAAGATAAATTTTACTAACAAACCTATTAAAGGGTACTGATGATAAATTTATCATTTGTTTATTTAATCTTCTGAAAACTGTACTTACAGCACTCCAGTCTCCACCCTCCCATTCAGAGCAGGCGTGGACATTACAGCGATCAATGGCATTAGGTTTGTGTCTGATCTCACACTGACTTTTAGCCACAGTTTCCCCACTGGCTTTATCTACACAGTAAATGGTTCTGGTCTGTATTCCGGCACCGCACATTCTTGAACACTGTCAACATGCAAGGTAATACAGATTACAGCAAACACAGATATCGGTCATGCAATGGGTGCAGAATAAAAGACACATGTATTAATAAATATAGTCACACATGTGACAAAAAGTTCAATAAGCAAGATCATCTGTCAATGCAGTGTTATGGTTTGGATGGCTTTAAAATGAAAGTTGTTGTTGATGGTTGACTCACCTCTGTCCAGTTGGCTGATCTCCACTCGTAGCCCAGACTATTGACCTTTGGTATAAGGCCAGGCTTTATCATTGGTGTTTTGGGTAGTGGGCGCACTCCAATGTTCTCCCCAACAATCCTGCCATGACCTGATCCTCTGATTGGTAGTCGAGGCATCATCCTCTTGTCCCCGGAGTTTGACCTAGGTCTGTTACCTCTCGGTATTGGTTCACTAGATATTTCCTCCAAATCTTTGTCTGGCAATCCTTTAATTCTTTCTTGATCTGGTATTGTTCCTCTGTCAGACAATGATGGTGGTAGACGACGTTCCTGTGTTGGTGTGTTTTCTTTTGGCTGTGGTATTTCCTGTCTTTCAGTCCCAGAGTCACCATCATTTTCAGGATTTGACCTACCTTGTGTTAAATGTTTATTGATTGGCTCAGACTCTAACCTTTCCTGAGGTACAGATTCATTGATAGGTTCAGTTTCTCTCCCAGGATTTTTTGTTTTAGACACTTTTATTGGCTGATCCTCTGATGTTTCAAGATCAGGTTGACTTTCATAACCATCTTCACCGTCATTAAAATCCTCCTCCTCTCCCTCTATTCCTCCTTCCATCACATTGTACAAGTCTCCAACTTCCTCTTGGTTGTCCTCTTTGTCTTCTACCCTGACCTCTCCTCCATTGTCACTATCAAAGTTAGAGGAACTGTCTATCTGTACATTCACATCACTTCCTGTTTTGACAGTCTCACTCTCAATAAGAGAAGGAACTCCTCCCACCTGGCGGGAAGGAACCACAGATTCACTTCCATCCTTGGGTATGACTAGAGAGTTTTCTCCCTTGGAATCAGATAATACAATGCTAGGTGATTCTTCATTCTTTACTCCAAGTGATAGATCTCTGGGAGTTGTTGGCACTCTAGCAGAGCTTGTGGTTGGGGCAGATGTTTCTGGGGCAGCAGTTGTGGTTGGAATAGTGGTAGTAGAAGCTGTGGTGGTCGTTGGCGCAGGTGTGGTACTGGTAGTTGTAGTGGTAGTTGGTACAGGTGTGGTTGTTGTAGTGGTTGTCGAAGTGGTTGTCGAAGTGGTTGTAACAGTGGTTGTGATTGGACAAGCTCTGTTGTTACAGAGCATGTTTCTGGATGGTTCCTCATCTATGTTACAGACAGATCCCCCAATACATTGGACCTGTCTAGATTTCATCCCTCCTCCACAGGTACGAGTACACTACAACACAAAGGTATGAGTTCACTATAGTACATAGGTCAGAGTACAGTACAACATATGGGTCATAGCTTACTACAACAAAGGCCAGAATTCAATAAAAACAAAGAGGTAAGAGTTCTATACAACACAAAGGCCAGAGTTCTATACAATACAAAGTCCAGAATTATATACAACACAAAGAGGTCAGAGTTCTATACAACACAAAGAGGCCAGAGTTCTCTACAACACAAAGAGGTCAAAGTTATATACAACACAAAGAGGTCAGAGTTCTATACAACACAAAGAGGTCAGAGTTATATACAACACAAAGAGGTCAGATGTCTATACAATACAAAGTCCAGAGTTCTATACAATACAATGTCCAGAGTTTTATACAACACAAAGTCCAGAGTTATATACAACACAAAGAGGTCAGAGGTCTATACAATACAAAGTCCAGAGTTCTATACAATACAATGTCCAGAGTTTTATACAACACAAAGTCCAGAGTTATATACAACACAAAGAGGTCAGAGTTCTATACAATACAAAGTCCAGAGTTCTCTACAACACAAAGGCCAGAGTTATATACAACACAAAGAGGTCAGAGTTCTATACAATACAAAGTCCAGAGTTATATACAACACAAAGAACAGAAAACACCTATCTCAGAGCTGATTTCAATTCACATTTTATATATGTAAATAGAAAGTCATAAAAATTCTGACTTTACAGTGCTCCGTTACAAAAACAATATCTGTCCTGACTCTCAACTAGGCCACATTGTCTACAGGATATGACATTATCAGAAAACATTACAGCTGGAATAGGTCTAAGACAAGGATACTACTGCTACCAGGCATAAAGTATCTTTAGAGATATTCACAAGATAAGACATTAATTCAGGACAAATGGACAAGATATAAGTTACATTATCTGTTTCTAAAAGCAATAAAATGGTAGGGACATAATAATTATTTAAGTTCAATATACAACAAAAGTAGTAAGCACTGTTTGGCATAAAGCAACTGTTTCTTTTCTTTACTTGAAACATTTAATCAACAAATCAACAAATACCAAAATTTATTGTCACAGATGAGTACATTGGCACTAAAATTTTGACAATGTGACCTTGCCACTATGACCTGATTAGGTGACCTTAATACTGTGACCTTGACATTGTAACCATAACACTACATGACACTGACCTCAGACCAGGACTCTGCTCTCCAGATACCACAAGTTACATTGGTACAAGACTGTTCCAGATTTGGTTTTATTGATTCATCACAGCCGACCTCTGGGTTCTCACAAAGCACAGGTCGGTGTTGCTTCTCACATGGGTTACCATGGCACTGATAGGACAAAAAGAAAATAAACATTTTATAGGCACATCTAAGCTCAAAATGACTAAAACAGTTTGATAAAGTATAAAATTGATGAATAAATTGCTACCATTTCATCATCTTTCAATTTAAATATCATCAACTGATGTTTCAGGACAGTTTTTATGCTACTGGAGACAGTCAAGGGAATCAGAGAAAATATTTTGTTATAAACAAACACATACAGGATATCAGCCAATGTAATAGAAAGAGCTTAACACATAGTTTCTCAGTTCTCAGATAAGTCAATAGTAATAAACAAAATGAAAGATAGTTTCAATCCCATGAGCAGTAACTCAAAGGCAGAAACTTTTTCAATGGTTTTCATCATTTTATTTTAAACTTGTAATTGTAGATTGCCCAATCACAAATATACTACAGGATAGTAGAGATAAATAATTGTACCTGTGACCAGCTTCCGACAACCCAATTAGATGTGCCTGGACAAGGATCCTTGTGATGACATGGCTCTATCTCTGTTGGCTTTTCTTGGTCCATACAATTCTTGTCCTCCAGTGCAATCTGTTCATCCAGTCCTAGGTTCCTAACACAGATCACTGTGCGGCGATGCACTCCATTTTTACCACAGGTGAGAGAACAATGTTGCCAGGCACCAGCCCACCATCTAAAAAAATGAATAATATATGTACATAAGAAAAAAACAATCAACTCACCAATGACTTGTCCTTCACCTACTTTACATGAAACATGTTAAGGTTAAACTAGCTAAAATGTGTGGACCAATTTAGCTTGACACAGGTTGAATTGTGATGACCCACTTTCCTGGACACATGTGAACATGAAACTGGCTAAACTGTGTTGACCTATATAGCTGGACACATGTGAACATGAAACTGACTAAATTGTGTTGACCTTTTTAGCTGGAAACACAGGTAAAATAGGAATAACTTACTTTGCTGGACACAGGTGAAGGTTACATGCCCGTTGTTTGTCATCAGGTTTATTAGAACTGTTACAGTACTGGTCCTCTACAAGTCCCGCCTCCAGTTCCTCACACACAACCTGTGACCTCTGGCTTCCTAAACAATACCAACACAATAGAAAATTATTTTTAGTACAGCCTATAAGTACTAATCATGTGCACTAAATTTCACTAAGGCTGAGTAACTATCGCAGATCAGGATCTCTACTTACCTCCCCCACATGAGGCTGTACAGTGTGTCCAGTCTAAGTACTTCCACCGAAACTCAGACTCTCTTGTCTCGGTGATATTCTCTCGAGGAACCGTGTACTCAAATATCACACCTGGGTTACGAGACTGCAGTAGTAGCTGTAGGTGACAAAAACAGTGCTGATAACCATAAAGAGAAAGTAATGGAATCACGTCTAATTTAGGTGTATTTATTACAATAAAAGTCAGCTTCTATAATGACTTAAGTTACAGATGTAGAGGTTTTTCATCGCAGGTTTTCTTCTGTAAACAATTTGTTGCCATACAAATCGTGGATTAACAGTGCCAACAAAATTAATGAGAAAATAAATCCACCACAAAAATTAACAATTTTACAGTAAATGAAATGCTGATTTACTACAAAGAAATGAACAAACAGATTATTAAGATTGAAGATTTAGATGTGGATTGTTTTATGAATGTGTGTAACAACACCTTACCATAACATGTATGGGTTCTTTAAGTGGTCCGATAGCCTCTACTTTCTCCTTGTTCCCTTCTCTTTCATAGTGGACAACAGTACCAGCCATCTGGTAGTCCCCACTCCACTGGATAAACCAGTGACCATTGAGGAGGTAGTTACCCTTGTTGTCCCTCATGGCCAGGTAGTTATTGGCTCCAGCCACTTCTTCTATTCTGATATTCCTTGCTTCACGTGGAATAACAGTTGCTTCTACGTACCCTATAAACAATTAAATAAGATCATTAAAATAGAAATATTTCAAGATTTATGTCTACAAAGTTTTTCGCAGTGTTCTATTCAAGAAAAATTATATTTAATACACTATGTAGTCCACCCACCTAATCCCTGAGTTTCGTTATATTGGTCTTTGACTGTCTCGCACGTTGAGCCATCACCGTGGCAGACTCCACACCGGTCCTCCCTGGCAGCCGAGTCAAGTTGCCAGTCACAGCCAACATGCTTAAAGACAAATTACAATTTAAATCACAGAACAATATAGGCTGTTTTATCTTGAACTGACATGCATAAATTACCAAAGCAAGTCATGGACCTGGTATTACCAGTACATGAACTGCCAACAGTGTATGAACATAGCAAGTAAAGTGAACAAATTCAGGGTTTCTTCCTTAAATAACAAGATACAAGTATTGAACTGCCTTTAGTTGGTATTCCTGTGCATTAAGAATGCCAACTGGATAGATTCAACATGAAGGAAAAATATGTTCATATGCCTATGAATGCCAACTGAAAGTCGTTCAATGCTTAAGTAAGCTTGACATATTTCTGAATCTGTCTATTTAGAATGAAAACATTGATCCTGATTTTCTGTCTAGAAGTCTATAAGGTTTTAAATACTAACCGATTTTGTGTTCAACTGTTCAAATAAATGTTATATTCTACTTTTCAAACATTGGTCTGAGATACACATTTTTTCATGTAAGCGAAACAAGGTACCTACCCGACATCGGCCACTTATGCACATGTTGCGTTTGCCTGGTGAGCAAGGTGTCCCATCAGCTACCATGTCTGACAGAAGCACAGAGAAGAATCTGTTCTTGGGTTTACAATGTAACTGGCAAGGTGAATCTGTTGATGAACCAAATTTATACATGTACTGATGTATCGGAAACTTTTCTTTTATAAGTAGAAATTACACAAAGCAAAACATTATTTCCTAGAATCTCCATGTAACAGATCCTGAAATGTCATATTGTCCTTTTCCTTACCATTGGCGTCCATTTCTACTGGCTCCCATTCATAAAGTTTGTTTCTGTAAGGAATGTAATTGAAGTCACGGCACTGCACTGTTATAAAGTTAGGGGTATTTTCTGGACACGGCTGAAAGCATGAAAGGACAAAGTTATAGAAAAAAAAAGAAATGGATATCAGCAAAGATTTGAAGAAAAGCAAGCAAATATATATATACTGGAGTATTACATTACTTTCAATCAACGTAATTAAACCATCTTATATAATTAGTACTATTGTATCATAGTTCTTCTATCACTTTCTCAGTAAAATACTCACAGTGTGTTGACTACTATTACTTACATCAGTATTGCAAATTCTGTATCTCTTTCTCTCCCCGATACAATACTTTCCACCATTTGAAGGCCTGTAATACAATGTTAAATTAATGGTACTTGGGATACAAAATACATGGTAGTCGGTGAGCAATTTAGTAACACAATATCAGGTTATTATGATGTAGGTGAACTTATATATTTTCATAGGGCTTATCTCCTTTCGCTCATAAAATTGGCAACATTGCAAAAGGAAAAATTCAGTCTTGTGCTTATAAAAAATCATAGTTATCAGCTATTTGATAATAAGTATATAATATACACAAATAAAAGGTAAAATTTGTAATGTAATTACGTGTAGGTGGTTGATAGCTCAGTGAACCATATACAAGTTATTTTTACCCTAGATTCTATGACTGCCCTGGAGACTCAGTTTGCAGCAAGTTTTCACATTTGAGAAACTATAGGGATATGAATTTTGACATTGTGCGGGTGTTCGAAAAGGCATCATCCTTATCCTCTACAGAGAAATGTAAACTTACGGTGGGTTTTCACAGTGTCTCTCCACTGTAGAGACCCCAGCACCACAGGTACGACTGCAATCGGACCAGCCACTCCACTCTCCCCAGTTACCGTTGATGGCCAGAGGACGCTCACCAATCTCCACACAGTCACCATTAAAACACCACTGTAATCAAGGTATCATGAGTAGTGCAAATATATGAGACCAACATATTCACCTGGCATGGCACCCACTTCCCATTATGATAATGTTATCAGCATTGTGCCTCCCCCTCTACACCCCAACCTCACTTTCTTTACATATTCTTCTATATTACCCATGCCTTATAATGAACCCATCTATATTTCTGCACAGTCATGGAAAACTGCTTGCTGATTTCTTGGCATTTTAGTATACATGCAGGAGGCAAACAGTAAAACACAAGGAAACGTTGTATGAATTTAAACAGCATGATTATGTGATGTGTGAATAATCATAAAACAAACACACTGAATATTCCTTTAAACGTGCAAACAACCATATACACACAAATATTTAGGTATTTCTGGTATTTCAGGGAATGCTAAACTTATTATCTGTACCTAAATTTCTGATCACCACTACTATCCTTCATAGCAAACGCTCAAATTGTCATCCGATCACAGGTATGAAAGAATTAATCAAGATTTTCTCAAATTAATTGAAATTTTCTGAATGTTAAACTTCAGTATTTGATTATTTGATAGACACTGCGTTTCAATGTCAAAGCTTAACTAGCACAGAACTTATCCTGGATCTAACACCAGACCAATGCCACCTAGTTTGGGGTGGTCTTAAATAGTACATATCATCTGAGATTTGATCGCAATGACTAATGAAGTGTAAACTTGTATATCAATACAACAGAAAGCACAAGATTTCAATAAATACAGAAAAAAATTAGTGAGAAAAAACTACTTATTATTCTCAGGAAAAAGTCGCAGAACATTAAAATGTCAAGGTTTCTTATTCAGTCTGGGCGACTTGAAGAGCCTGGGAACACATTTAACTCTGGATACTTATTACATAAGAGTAGTTTGTCTATTCATAAGAACTAAAAGTCTAACAGGCTGATAGTCTTACATCCTATCTCCCAGAATCTGCTGGGCAATGCTCTAATCAGTGTGATGGTATTGTAATACACAGAACAGAATCCACACTGATAAGATACGGTAACACAGACAACATATACAATATGGCTACGATGATAAGTGGATACAGAAACACATTTAACCAACTCTGTTTTTCCATACAATTTTGAAAAGATTTTTATTATTTTTTGTGGAATTAAAGTTTCAACATCTAAAACTGCAAAGAGTTTTAAAAGTAAATGGTATCGGCCCTTTAGAAAGACGTGATGTAATCCGATAGTGTTAGAGTGTCTCACTTAGGGTGTGCCATTCCAACACACATACTCTGGTTATGACAGCGGGGTAGCTACCGAAATGATTCTATCTAACTTCTGTACAAACTATCCGTTTGATGTTTTTCTGAAACCAATAAATGTTTCTCTACAACCTCTCTGTTTTATAGATGGCTCTATTTAAAATCTTCAGTGCTTAAATTCATAAAAAATAAACAAAATTGCTTTATTATGTTTTAAATGCTTGTCAAAGCTGTTTTTTAAAATCTGTTTAACAACATATTTCAAATTTAATTTACAATTCAATTTTGTTGAGCTCAGAATGCAGTACCATAATTATATTCAACTTTGATGCTAAAATTTGTTGAACCTTGATGCTCAAATTTGTAGAGTTGAAACATCCAACGCTACTTCATGTATATGACAACTAATTAATTGAAAAGAACTTTTTTATTTTCATTGAAACTGAAATCTCCTAATTTTCTTAGACTTCAATGGATCTTCCTCCATTAACTTAACTTTATAATGTGAAATATAATTTTGATCTACTTCAGTCAACAGTATACTTCGACAGCAATTGAAACACTTAGATCTACCAGACCAGTTGAGTGTGTTAATTAACATATTTACGTACACCCTCCTACTGCACATTTATGTAAGTGTATCAAGGAGTAATTATAACAGAGAGAAAATATTTACATATGTGGTCTTTTAGTTTACAAATTGTCAAAATTTTTACCACAAAGAAAAATTTGAATTTCAAACATTTTACTGATCAATGTAAGTGTCTATAAAACCAGAACCAGACTATTTCTTAATTAATTGAATTAGAAGTAGAAAGGCATTGGTTCCATGCACTGTTACAAATATAAACTCTGTTCGCTCTTTACATAGAAAAAATACACAAAGATTGCAGTTTGATGTTATACAGAAAATTTCAAAAAACATTTTCTCTGCTATCAAATGAGCAGTAAAAATTGTTTTCTCGACTAACTCTTTATCACTGATGTATTACTATAACAGCACACAGATACAGCTCTCCTTAAAAATGAAATTTAGATAAAAATTCTGCATAGAAAAAGCAGGAGTGCCAAAAAAAAAAACCTCCAAAAATGTTTGGCATTCCCCCTTTTAGACAGATGTTTCTACTTAGAATTCAAGTTATTTCAACATTGTTTATTCTTGCTCTCACTTTTTCAACAATTCACAAATAAACAAATTGACTTTAATGACAGAATGTGGTGAAAGAGAGTTAAGTATATGGTGACATAACACATTTTTAACCATAAAAGTTTGAAGTGATATGTCCTGAATACACTAGCTCTTCTCTTTAGTTAACACCATATTTCTATACTTTAACTAGATTTAATTTCAATATATTTTACTATGACTTACCTATTTTTGACCTACAATTGACCTTTGCCTGCCTTATCACACCTACTTAACCTATACTTACCTTATTTTGCCTACATTTGCTGTTGACTTCCCTAATTTTTTCAACATTTGACTTAGGTCTGTATGATTTATGATTATAATTGATCTTGATTTATCTTATCATACCTACATCTGACCTTGGCTAACCTTATTATTTATTGAACTTAAACTACTTTTGATATAACTACCCTTGACCTTGAGCTATCTTGTATCTACATCTGACCTTGACCTATCTCTTCATCCAAACTACATTTGACCTTGACCTACCTTATTTTGCCCACATATTGTCCCCTCTGCTGCAGCCTCTAGTTTGGTTGTACACTTGTTCCTGTATCGACACCACAGAGTGCTACACATCTCCTCCTGTGTGGAACAAATGTCATCAAAATCTAATTATGGATGTCACTTTTTTGAGAGGCTTGTTACAACTTAATGTAAAAATTTGTCACAGTTTACCACTAATCAAATCCAATGGCTGGTAGATGAACATTGCTCTTGGGTGTTATACAAAAACAAAACACTTGGAATTTGTTAAAACTGATTCACATATATCAGGATTGAAATTATGTCCTGTACCGATGTATGTAACATTGAATTATAAAAGTCATTCTGTTGATATACTGACCTCCACATCCTCACACAAAATGGCATCAGGACCATACACTAGACGACACTGGTGGTCGCCATCATACATGGTCCCAGGGGGGATAATCGGGTACTGAAATTCCTTATGGTGAAACTCTGCTGGCTCATCATCTAAACAATAGGCCCAACCACGACTGGAAAGCAAAACAACATTACAATGTCGACTTGAAACCAAAACATAACATTTACAACAACATCACAGTATGTGTAGGGTATTTTCTAAAGATAATCTTACATTTGAATCCAAAAACCACAATTAACTTATTTATCAAAAAACTTTGAGAAAGAACCAACATCCTACCAAGTTTGTGTTTTGTGATTCATCTAAGTTACAAGAAGATACCTAGTGATAAACAGGACCATCTTGAAATAAACTGAATAAAAAGAGAAGGGGAGCAACTCCAGAAGCTTGGTTTCCGAACAGTATATTCTACATTCTTCTTAAGCTGGTTGGAGACCTGTTTCAGCCTTAGGCTGCAGGCTATCATCAGTACACAGCTTACATAGTGGAGTCAGAAGTGACAATGGAGGTCATACCTCAACTCCAATATTTGAGATTTTTCTGTGAACCTAACTTTTTAAATTCTTTTAAGAAATGATCATTTCAACAAACTTACTCTATAAACTTTGTTATTGCAGTCCTGCTGCATTCTGACCACTTCATCGGAACATTGACGGCTAACAGTTGGGCTGCCATCACATAAAGATACTCCTCGCCATCCTTCATTTCGCAGCCATTACGAACACTGTCGTGGGTCATCCCAAAACTGTAACAAATACTGTTCTATAAAATATCTACTGATACTTTCCTTGTCTTACAATATGCCCAGCAACATATGTTAGGGGGAGGGCTTACTTACAGGACATCACATAGCATTGTTTGTCCTGAACAACAGGAAGATATTGATGGCTTTTTACCAAATATGGGCATATAACTGGACATATACGGTTCAAGTAAAAAGAGTTGTCAGAAAATAAACACCTGTCAGATTTCAGGTGAACACCTTGTAGTAGGCTGGGGAAAAATCAGGACTGTGACATATGTGTCATAGAAATAAGTACTGTATTATTGAAAAATGGTTATATTTTGACAATGACAAGGTATTACAATGAGGAAATTTACAACAATTTAAAGTTACTCAAGGTGCTTTTTAACTTCCAAAAAAGAAATGAGTCTGCCAAAAGAAATTTAACACTTTATAAAGATCAAATCAGGCTTAAAACCATGTAGTTTCATTACATAATATACTGAAATTTTCCTTTAAGTCCAATACATGAAATTGATATAGATGTAGAAGATAATGTAATATTCTGTGCTACCCTTGTTTAAGGCCAATTAGTTAGTCAAGGACTGGAGATAAACTTATTAAATGCTTGTACTGTAACACTGGACCTCATTCATCCTTGAATCTTAAGATCTCTACAGACAGCCTTCAGTTCTGATATCAGGATTAGACAGAGTTACGTCCTATAATCCAGAGATATGATTAATGTTTGGAGCGTGGCCATAGCTGTAAATTTGATGGCATCAGCTCTAATCTTACAGTAACACCACAATACAAGATGGCCATGATCTGTGTTGATAAATATTTTGAACTATGATCTAATCTTAAGGACTTTGGTTACAATAAATCTGACAAAGTTTGGTATTCTCTGCCAAATTCAGCTAAATCTACCAAGCCATAACTTTTGCCAGACTACATACATGTCTCACCTATTCTCCTTCTACTCCTCTATCATATGTGCTATGTAAGTGTTCCCACAACTCAAGCAACCATTACTTTTTATCTTCCAGATTTTCATTTCTTACAACCTCATGGCATCATAAATCTGTGTCATAGAAACCGATTTGAATTTATTTTGAACCGGTAAGCAATTCAACATTTTTACGGTGGGTTAGATTTCTAACCTATATGAGTGCATGTACATCGAATGATTCATAAATCATCTGCACTTTCAAGTATCACTTCAAAAAAAAAAGGCACTTGCTTATTCAGCAGTTTACTTGTGATATTGTTTGTCTTGCTGCCAAAATATTTGTAAGATGTTTCACTGCCATGACAGAGAAATTCAGATCAACATCATGTCACTGAAAATTCCTGATTCTGTTATTTACCTTGTCAACTAGGAGTTAAGACCTCTGAATTGTGTTAATGGGTAAAAAGTACCCTACTGACAACACTGATTATAGACTGACAGTGCTGCCACCTGGAGGACCATCACATCTGTACAACCTCAATAGACCATAACATAGCCTGGCATTACAACAGAATCCCTTCCCACAACATATGTCACTGTGAAACATTGACAAGATATTTTGGATGTAAACCTGACATTTTTGTCATAACCTTGATGCTTTCTCATTCTTCAGCTGTATCTAGGTAGTTCCATCATTCATTATGTAAACCCACATGCTTGTTTTCACTTCTCACTTAACCCTCAGACTTGTTATATCTGTAGCCAGGCTGTTCTACACTCAGACATGTTATAGCTGTAGCCAGACTGTTCTACACTCAGACATGTTATAGCTGTAGCCAGGCTGTTCTACACTCAGACTTGTTGTAGCTGTAGCCAGGCTGTTCTACACTCAGACATGTTATATCTGTAGCCAGGCTGTTCTACACTCAGACATGTTATAGCTGTAGCCAGGCTGTTCTACACTCAGACATGTTATAGCTGTAGCCAGGCTGTTCTACACTCAGACTTGTTGTAGCTGTAGCCAGGCTGTTCTACACTCAGACTTGTTGTAGCTGTAGCCAGGCTTACCTAACCCTCAGACTTGTTATAGCTGTAGCCAGGCTGTTCTATCATTTCTTACCTAACACTCAGACTTGTTATAGCTGTAGCCAGGCTGTTCTATCATTTCTTACCTAACACTCAGACTTGTTATAGCTGTAGCCAGGCTGTTCTACACTCAGACATGTTATAGCTGTAGCCAGGCTGTTCTATCATTTCTTACCCAACACTCAGATATGTTATAGCTGTAGCCAGGCTGTTCTACCATTTCTTACCTAACACTCAGACATGTTATAGCTGTAGCCAGGCTGTTCTATCATTTCTTACCTAACACTCAGACATGTTATAGCTGTAGCCAGGCTGTTCTACACTCAGACATGTTATAGCTGTAGCCAGGCTGTTCTATCATTTCTTACCTAACACTCAGACATGTTATAGCTGTAGCCAGGCTGTTCTACACTCAGACATGTTATAGCTGTAGCCAGGCTGTTCTATCATTTCTTACCCAACACTCAGACATGTTATAGCTGTAGCCAGGCTGTTCTACCATTTCTTACCTAACACTCAGACATGTTATAGCTGTAGCCAGGCTGTTCTATCATTTCTTACCTAACACTCAGACTTGTTATAGCTGTAGCCAGGATGTTCTATCATTTCTTACCTAACACTCAGACATGTTATAGCTGTAGCCAGGCTGTTCTATCATTTCTTACCCAACACTCAGACATGTTATAGCTGTAGCCAGGCTGTTCTATCATTTCTTACCCAACACTCAGACATGTTATAGCTGTAGCCAGGCTGTTCTACCATTTCTTACCTAACACGCAGACATGTTATAGCTGTAGCCAGGCTGTTCTATCATTTCTTACCCAACACTCAGACATGTTATAGCTGTAGCCAGGCTGTTCTATCATTTCTTACCTAACACTCAGACTTGTTATAGCTGTAGCCAGGCTGTTCTATCATTTCTTACCTAACACTCAGACTTGTTATAGCTGTAGCCAGGCTGTTCTACCATTTCTTACCCAACACTCAGACATGTTATAGCTGTAGCCAAGCTGTTCTATCATTTCTTACCCAACACTCAGACATGTTATAGCTGTAGCCAGGCTGTTCTATCATTTCTTACCTAACACTCAGACTTGTTATAGCTGTAGCCAGGCTGTTCTATCATTTCTTACCCAACACTCAGACATGTTATAGCTGTAGCCAGGCTGTTCTATCATTTCTTACCTAACACTCAGACATGTTATAGCTGTAGCCAGGATGTTCTATCATTTCTTACCCAACACTCAGACATGTTATAGCTGTAGCCAGGCTGTTCTATCATTTCTTACCCAACACTCAGACATGTTATAGCTGTAGCCAGGCTGTTCTATCATTTCTTACCTAACACGCAGACATGTTATAGCTGTAGCCAGGCTGTTCTATCATTTCTTACCCAACACTCAGACATGTTATAGCTGTAGCCAGGCTGTTCTATCATTTCTTACCTAACACTCAGACTTGTTATAGCTGTAGCCAGGCTGTTCTATCATTTCTTGTTTTTATAGCTATAGGGTCCACCCCTATACTCATAGCTAGGTCCCAATATATACCAGTAATACCCCATCACGATATTGCCAAGCTCCCCCCACATACAGGTCCCAATATATACCAGTAATACCCCATCACGATATTGCCAAGCTCCCCCCAAACATACAGGTCCCAATATATACCAGTATTACCCCATCATGATATTGCCAAGCTCCCCCACATACAGGTCCCAATATATACCAGTAATACCCCATCACAATATCGGCTAAGCCCCCCTACACTTTTAACAGAAGTTGTAATTAAGTGATTCATTAACATACTAGGTCAGATCTTTATATCTGGGCGTGTTCCATGTGGTCCTATTAAGCAAACAAGCCTGCATGCTGACAGTGCTGAGCTGACCTAACCTACAAATTAATTCAGATGGTCTCTGATCACTCCTATCTACATTTGGTTTTTACCTTGTTATCTTTTTCCATTTGTAGTTTTTATCACTGATAGACTAATAACAGATACTCGATAGACCAACATATAAAATCATTGGAGTCTATGTTAGCAAGAAATTCACCACTTAGCTACCCAAATTATTCCCAAAATTCTATCAAGAGTTTTTTTTAAAAGCTATTATCATTTAGAATGACACATATTCACTAACTCTTCCCCCCAAAAATTTTTTTTGAAAAAGCCTTGATTTGTAGCAGAATTTGGGATTCATAGTTCTAATTCAATACTTCAGATAAATGTATTACTGTTGTAATAACCAACACAGAGATTCGCTGTGGGGGGGGGGGGGGGGGGGCCACAGATAACATATTCTATCATACAATTAATGGGGAAAAGATTTGTCCTATCTTTAATGATACCAAGCTGAAGGTACTGAATTTATCAAAGTGAATGACATTTTGTTTTATCCCCGGTCTAGATCTGATAGTCTATCCTTCTGTGTGATTACTTCAAGGATGTAGACAACGTTCAAAACTCATTGTAAACCAAACCTCAGAAACATCACACTTTTACAAGATATTTTATAAAGGAAACACATTATACAGAAAGCATCATTATGGTAGATATTCCTTTAGTTATCAGTTATATATCAGCACTTGAAATGCAATCTACATCAGTGTAAAACTCTCACACAGATTCTGAGGGTAAAAAAAACATCATCTTATATACTTTCACGTAACCACACTTTAAAATTTTGCTGAATTGTCCTAAAACTATTTATTAGGAGTTAAGTTATTGGATTTTGTCAAAAAGGTTATATAAATGGATGACCTAGACTTATGACAAAGCAAAAAATACTTTTTCATTTCAACAGTTCATAAAATGTTGACATGACATACCATACTTTTTCAATATTTTGATGAAACAATATGATACACATTCCAATTTACCAGAAATCTTACATGCACATTTTCTAAACCATTTTTTTTTAATAAAAATGTTGAAGTTTTATGTTTTAAAGAAGTACCTGTGACTATACCTGAGTGCGCATTATACCAGCAAATTTACGGTATATTTTACTCAAGAGTCTTTCATGCAAAAATAAGAACGATGTATCTTTTTTTCTGAATAGAGCCCGAAACAAAGTTATGTAATAGCTAGAGATGAGACTTGTGGTTTCCTGTGGGAGGTAACCTCTGTAGTGTATACCTTTAATTATTTAGTTTATATAACACATTATAATAAACTGTGATTTGATACACAAGAAAATTGTAAAACCTGATACAGTGTAATCTTAAAATGAGTTATTTATCAAAGAAACAGAATATGTTCATTTTTTAAACAGAGATGCTACATATTATGATAGCTCCTTATATAAGTAACACATGTCTACCATAATTTAGCGTGATAGGTGGCCTCCAATTGGTATTGTCCCTGCTACGTTTTTGTACCCTGACACATAAATGTGCCAAGACGCATATTTCTGTCGAGGCCAAAAGGCTATTTAACATGATGGAGGCGAACCCTATACTAATTGGACTAGACAAATGAGGGGCACCCAGCACCATAAACTACTCTATACTCTGATTTTGATATCTAAAACTGAGAATAGTCTACATCTGCCATGTATGATATAATGTATTTGAACAATAACAATACTCACCTTTTAATAAGTTTTAAGCATTCTGTGTGGATATGTTTGGATTTAACAGATTTTGATGTAAACTTAAATTTTTTCATCAAAAGAATTGCCAGTAAAAACAATAGTTGATACAGGTCATGGTAATTAGAATATTGAAGTAATAATAACAGAGAGTGGCCGAGCATCTAATTTGTGTCAGAGCTAGGATTTGTGTACCATGTAGTAGCCAGAGCAGGATAAGTCGGATACTAAAGTTAGCCAGGATATACTATTAAAAATCAGACTTTCCCTTGAAGAATATAATGATATTTTGGCAATGGTAAGATCAGAGAGATCAGTGTTAAATTCATTTTATCCAGAATATACTGTAGTAAAAATTTAGGTTGAGGGATAAATAATGTCTTACTTGTGTCTGAGTTTGTTTGCCAAGGTGTAGGGGGAGCCCTGTGTGATATTCAGTTTAACTAGTTGAACTAAAGTAAAGTTTTATTTTTTTTTATTCTTATGTAGTCTGAACTCGTGTGCCACATGTAAGCTTGGAGGAAGCCCTGTGTCATATTCAGTTAAGCCAAGTTTCACTGTAGTAAAAGTCTTACTTGTGTCCGAGCTCATGTGCCACGGTGTAGGCTAGGGGAAGCCCTGTGTCCTCATTGATATTACAGGATTTGTGAGGTAGACAGATCCCGGGAACCTGAGCAAGCCCCAATGTGCTGCACGGCTCATTCATACGTGAACAGATGTTGATTCTGTGGGTATAAGGAAACAATTCTTATGTAACAGAAATATGTACTTTAGTATCCGTGTCAGAAGGCTAGAAAATCTGTCAAATTCCAACACTAACCCAGATATACTTCAGATTCTGGGTCAAGGGTTCACTTGACCTTGAAAATAACCTTGAAATACAGCTGGGGTATAAACACCATTAACCCATGTAAAGCTTATTTGAAAAATAACGGTAGACATGGATACATGATTTTGGTCCTTCACATACAAAAAATTTGAATTATGCTTCAACTCGGTTGAAAGTCAAAAGACTTGTACGTCCAGTTATCACTTAATTGTGAATACAATAAAATCTACACACAATGTCTAATAGATAACACACTGTCAAATGTTACTTACGAATTTCCAGGAGAAATAATGTTTTCACTTATTTTCATTTTATCTGTTTTCTTAAATGAAAGTGATCCATCAAAATATTGAAAACCCCCTGGATTAAAACCTATCATTGAATTTTTTTATAATCAAAGCATTAGAGAATAAATCAAATAAAAGCATTGAATGAAGTCCAAAAATAAGTACAGATGACACGTTAATAGATGCCCGCAGTGGTAGCGACCAATAATCACAAAAATATATGTAATGTTGCCAAATTCACTGCACTTGAGATAGCAGTACAAACGGCTGAAAGACATATATGTACCATCAACATGCAGCTCACATCTGTTTGTGAGATATCACTCCTGAGATCCCAAAACCTACAAACTTTGACACACGGCATTGTGCTGGTGTATAGTTAGGCAATATAATTCTACATCACCAAATAATCATACTCTGTTATATTTACAATGGAAAACCATCCTAGAAATATTTTCAATTGTAATCAATTAAAATGGCCTCAAACTTCTGGCATGGTTTTTTTTATTGTGGCAAAATGGAAGGCCTATTAATCCCAAGCACTGCCAAAACTCACTTGAACACTGAAAAACGAGGACGAGGGTATCTTTAGTTGGAAATGTTATTACAGGTCTGTATAAAACATATATGACGAGTGAAAAATGCTTCAGATGTAGAAGAAAAGGCAATTTAATTTTCTCTTTCATTTCTTTAATTTGGCAATAGCTAAATGACTACTTCAGTTTCATCACAATCTAAGCATGTTTTTGTGGTGATTACTCTACACTTTAAACACACTTGTACTTCTCTCCTGAAATAGGTTTTCAGTAGTTTACAAAATCTACTATAAAATCAGATATTTTCACAATTTGTGGACATGTGAATTTGTGGATTAAGCAATCAAGGATCCCTAAAATCAGCAAAAATGAAATACCCACAAGAATTAAGGATTTTATAGTAGGATCTCCTTAATCATAATGAGAGCTCCTCATATGACTCACCTGGTAAGAAGTATGGCTACATCATGGTGGTTAGGATGGTCGTCATCTTTAAAATTCATTTTTTTCTGCCACTTACAAAAACTTCTCAGGGATTTATCTGCATGATGAGTCAGCTTCAAATCCTCCTGTGATGAAAAAAACACAGTTTATCTCTTCTTCGCTCTTTTATATCTTATTCGTTTTCTGTCTTTGCTTTGAAGTAGGATTATGAAACATTGCTAAAACAGCATTTTACCTCAGCATTTGATCAACATTTTCATTACAAAGACTGACAGAAACCATTAATCTAAAATGACAGCCATCAGCATATCAATAGTGTTAAATACCTTGGAATAAACCTCTTGGATGTTCAGAAACATAGGACAGTTTATGGATCATCTATACTTTAGATACCTAGGCCACATAGGATAGTTTATGTATCATCTATACTTTAGACACCTAGGCCACATAGGATAGTTCATGGATCATCTATACTTAAGACACCTAGGCCACTTAGGATAGTTCATGTATCATCTATACTTTAGACACCTAGGCCACATAGGATAGTTTATGGATCATCTATACTTTAGACACCTAGGCCACTTAAGACAGTTTATGGATCATCTATACTTTAGACACCTAGGCCACTTAGGACAGTTTATGGATTATCTATACTTTAGACACCTAGGCCACTTAGGATAGTTTATGTATCATCTATACTTTAGACACCTAGGCCACATAGGATAGTTTATGTATCATCTATACTTTAGACACCTAGGCCACTTAGGATAGTTCATGTATCATCTATACTTTAGACACCTAGGCCACATAGGATAGTTTATGTATCATCTATACTTTAGATACCTAGGCCACTTAGGATAGTTCATGTATCATCTATACTTTAGACACCTAGGCCACATAGGATAGTTTATGTATCATCTATACTTTAGATACCTAGGCCACTTAGGATAGTTCATGTATCATCTATACTTTAGACACCTAGGCCACATAGGATAGTTTATGTATCATCTATACTTTAGATACCTAGGCCACTTAGGATAGTTCATGTATCATCTATACTTTAGACACCTAGGCCACTTAGGACAGTTCATGGATCATCTATACTTGAGACACCTAGGCCACATAGGATAGTTTATGTATCATCTATACTTAAGACACCTAGGCCACTATGGACAGTTCATGTATCATCTATACTTTAGACACCTATTGTATTACAATAAGCCCAGAGATGATGTTTGCTGTTCTCTAACAATAGTTTGTGTTTCATAGAAAGCTCAGAAATGGACCCATCACTGCTGATGTGGTTGCAACCTTGGGTAAGACACTTTACCCAAACAGATCTCCTGCATGTTGTTCGGTAAGATAGCCACCAGCTGCTACCAGGAATCTCGACTCAAAATGACCCTGTCTGCTCATGTTCATGGAGAAAAAAACCCACAGAGCCCAGACATCCCCTAGGGATTAATATGAAGGGGAGGGAAGTTTGGACTTGTACTTGTTGTAAATGTTAGCTGTATTAGCTAAAGCTGTGGGTTTCATTATCAGTAGGCATGGACTTCCGGAGGTGTAAATACAGTAAATAACTGATCTTATTTCAGAACAACAACAATGACCAATGGTCATAGCGATATCAATGAGTGTTGACCAGAGCTATAACAATGACCAATGGTCATAGCGATATCAATGAGTGTTGACCAGAGCTATAACAATGACCAATGGTCATAGCGATATCAATGAGTGTTGACCAGAGCTATAACAATGACCAATGGTCATAGCGATATCAATGAGTGTTGACCAGAGCTATAACAATGACCAATGGTCATAGCGATATCAATGAGTGTTGACCAGAGCTATAACAATGACCAATGGTCATAGCGATATCAATGAGTGTTGACCAGAGCTATAACAATGACCAATGGTCATAGCAATATCAATGAGTGTTGACCAGAGCTAGAACAATGACCAATGGTAAAAGTGACAACAGTGACCGTTGGTCAAAGAGATATTGATGACCACTGGTAAAAGTAACAACAATGAACAATGATCTGTTTGTAATCAATGACCATTGTCTGAGTGACAACAATGTTCGTTGGTCAGAGTGATATCAATGAGCATATGCCAGAATGATATCAAAGAGTGTTGGTCAGAGTGATACCATTGGTGTCCTACCTGTGGATCCTCAAGCAGCACCAGTCGAACCATCACAAGGTTGAGGGCGTTCCCAATAGAAGCTTCATGGAATAGAGTCGCCACCTGTAAACAGTAATATGTACAAAACTTTCTGACTAGCTAAGAAAGATCAAACCAACAGGAAAACAGCTAATGTTGAAGGAATACGACAACAGATCTCAAAGAAGGCCCACATTTTGGCTCTAGGTACATAAACCCTAACTGCACACTATTTAACAAATAATACCATTCATTTTTCCTTCTTTTTACAACATTGGCTATTAAGTACAAACAGATCACAAAATTTATCTTGTCATAATTTGTAGGTCTATTGAAAAACACATTAAACAATGTTCCCTTATTTAGAAATAAAAACTGTTTAGGTATAAATACCAGTATCTCATAACCTATAATTTATAATCTGGTTTGATTTACAAATCATCAGATAAATGCAAATGTTGTTTCCATGGTAATTGTTGTAAAAGAAGAAACCTTCTCTCTTCATTATATTGGCAACATTCCATGGTAAGTAATTTGCCTAGGATTTATGTATTATATGCCTGAAAAGTTTTATATAGCATTCAAATTCATTAGAAAACATTAAATTAGCATCTGGTAATATTAATTGACAGGGGCACCTGTTGTAGCCCTCTTATATATATTAATCCAATTCATCATTGTAAGTAATTCAATATCTCAAACATTCCTCATCTGTCTAAGTTAGATACTTAAGCTTCTACCATATCCATATAACATATTCCTCAAATTTATAACTTAAGGATACATATTCATCGATCAGATAAAATATTCTGGAGACTAAAATTATCACAAAATATGAAAATATGGAAGACATTCTGAATAAAATTGATTTTTTTTTTTATCCAAGCTGAGTAAAATCTTGATTCACTCTGCCCAGATGCCTTCCTCCACATAATTCTAACATCAATTTTTATTTGAACCAGACTGTAATTAGCATATAACTTTAACAGGTGTATGTTACACCTGGACTTAATTGTATGTAACGAAAAAATAGGAAGCACACCTGGACATCAACAATCATAATATGGAGAAAGAAGAATTAAGAAATTCTAAGAGACAATAGTGTGTACTAATTATTACCTATTTGTGTTAAAGGTCTGTAGCTTTACGCCTCAACTAATATTTCAATGCAATTTTCTTTAAATTCCTTGTCAGAGAGTGGATAAGAACAACAATTTCTTTAAGAGTTCTCACTACGTAATGCTGATGTATCTCGACTACATCTAAGAAGGAAAGGTTAGCAATATTTTTTCACATACAATGTCTATTTCCTTGCACATGCAATCTTAACTCATTTCACCTTTGCCTTTGTCTTAATATAACTGACAACACAATTCTAGGCTTAGATTTGCTGACAAGAAGATAACAAGACATCTTTAGTGTACAGGTAAAACATTAAGCTAGTATGACTCACAGGTATCAAGCATTTCCTTTTTTTACACAGAGAAATCACAATGGAGTCTATCAACACAAGTAACAACAGGAGATCTGGTTTTATATGAAGCAACAACAAAAGAACTCTTTCCAAAATCTTTAAATAAAATTATAAGTTTAAATACAATCTGTCCCTGATTTCATTGTACAAGTAAAATGCATAAAAAAGTAATTTACTGCCGAATAAACACAGACCTGTTTATAATGTCACGCAATTCCTGTTGAAAGATACATTTTATTTTCCTGTGATGGGATAATTTGGCACAAATGCACCAAGACGCACTACTGAACTAAATCCAATTTGGTGTGGTGAATAGGGCACACGTATTACATCTTTGAGTGTTTACATTGCAAAAAAAAAAAAAAAATTGAGGTCAAGTTATGGCAGAATTCCAAATAAAATTTCTTTTTAATTCTTTTTGGTATACATAAAATAAATATTGATCAAAAGACAATTACTCTTGTGTTGTATAACAGCTATGTGGATAAGAGAGAGCAATAACTCAAACACACAGATACACTAACATACAGGTAAATAGGCATGGACTCATGTGATAGCTAGACAGGTCATTAAAACCCACAGGGACAAGCTAAGTAACATGCACATGTCATGCACTTATAAATACTTTAATAATTTTTCAATTACTCTAATTAGGACTAGTTTACATAAATCAATTAGCATAATTTTTGTATCATTAGACCTTGTACAGATTTTAAATTGTCACATATCATTGCCTCCTTTTTAAATTATCATCATGAATTTCACTTCACTATGTCATTTCATTACAAGGTGAATATTATAGCTGTAATTGAAATGACACGTATGTATTGTGACAAGTAGCAATCATGTGTAAACAAACCTGCTCTCGACTGATAGCATCATTGTTTTTAAAGTTTTAAATTACAGACAAGAAACAGGTAAGCTGTAAATTGTCTATTATTACCATAGGTAAAATTACCCAGAACTTGATATACATGGGCAATTCAATTCCTTAATGAGAGTAGATCTGTAATGTCGTGGTGCATATGCTCTGTCAAGTTGATTTAATAGCAGGGTCAAGTTTTGAAAGATCACAACACATAAGTTCTTCCTTTTACAGCTCACATAGTATGGCATAATCTCTTTACATTCCGCTGTCTGCTTGAATTTTCAACAGAAACATCTTGTTTTGAAAATAAGAAATTGTTCATTTGAAGACGAGAGAATTTATCTTATACACCATTTGGTTTTGGGGAAGATTATTTTTTCTGTATAAAAGTCTAAATCTTTCAATCATTGCTTCTGACAGTTATGGTTCTGAAGAAGAATTAAAAGCAAAGAGAGTTAAAGGATGTCTATCTCTTCCTTCTTACTTCTGATTTTTAGGAAACACTAGATTTCAAAAGAGTTTAGGTTTTTGTTTGCAACTATGAAATCATTTTAAAAGTCCATGTTCAATTACATTACTACATGACTACCATTTTTATCATATATATCTAAATCTTGATAACAGCAACCGCTTATAATACCTATAATACAGAGAAATAAATATTTAAGGTTTAAGACAGTCCACTTTCCTTTCATTGCTATAAATAGTTCACATTTAATTAGAGAAATTTAACGCCAGTATGACAACCTACCGATGACCATTACCTGTAGTTATCACAGACTATATTTACTGGAAGAATTTCATGGCCATACAAAATTCTATGCTTTTTCTATGCAAAATTTTAAGTTAAGACTGTAAACTGTTTTTTTAATGCCTTCTGAAAACTGAGCCTAGGTATCTATTTTATTTATTTATAATAATATACCTTGTTTTGCCTATAAATTTCAACTGAATGTGTTACTGACATATTAGCTTTTGTGAAAAAACTCATTTTTCTGCCTGGCTTTTACAGGAAATGCACACAGCAGATTTAACACAATTAATGTCAAATCCAATTTTCTGTTTAATTTAATGTTTTGTACAAAAAAACAAATTTCATTTAAAGCTTCTTGCAAGAAATGTGACAAATGCTAGACTTTTCCCAAAAAACAGGTGATGGCCAGAATTTTAATTTCAAGACACTGTAAAACCCGAAATAAACCCTTACGCACATACATTTATAATTACCAACAGCTGTACATGTTTTCAAATAGGTTTCTTTTCAACAGTTTAGACACAATAGAGGAAGTGGCGGTAGTGACATATCAATCAGTAATCGATCCTAAAACCATTTACTTATGAAATTTACAGTGTGTTTTATTTGTCTCGTATTGCTTGCAATCATGATCTCATTGGAAAATATTCTAATTCTTTGTACAATAACCTTAAGTCAAATGTGTTTAAGACTTAGTATGCCTGGTGATTGGTTATCAAGTTCAAATGGACTCATGAAAACAAATTGTGGATAAATCACCACTCATTTAATTCTGAACTATTTTGTTGGCATTAGGCCATTCTAAATTACGAGTAAATTTTATCAAGACTACCCATTGAAGATTCTTACCAATCTGGAGGCATTTCTCAACAAGAAATAGGGAGACAAAATGATGAAATTTTCCCAACAAATCAAAAATTCTAAAACTATTAAAAGTAGAATTAATTTGTATCTACATTTTCTGACACTCAGTGCAGCTGTGTAAGTACCATGTTCATGATGGTGAGGACGTAAGTCTTCACATCTTCATTTTTATAATATTCCACCATAGCTGGATCCACCACCACCATTGCCTCAATGTGACGCTCGATAGAAATTGACCGTTTCTTACGACTGTGAGCATGGCGATGTTTTTCTGCAGCACGATCGTAGTGTTCTTTATCCTCTTCTGATGGTCCATCCTCACCTAACGGAGAAAGATTAAAAGAACAAAAACCACATTAGAAATAAAAGTTTTCAGATCAATATACAATTACTGTTTAAGTAAATCACGGAACTTTATAAACAATTTGAATGATAAATTAACATGCATCAGAATTACACAAAAGTAAGAAAAAATCAGCATCAATTTCTAAGTTTACAAAATCTGTTTTTGATGTCTTTGAACTACATGCATATCTAACAAATAAATATGTTTAAACAAATTGTTGAACACATTTTGTTTCCTTCAGCATTATCAATGTAGGAGAAATCAATTAGAAAAGCAAAAACTACAGAAACACACAGAAGAATGAGTGGGTGATGGGGTGACGCAGAGTAACACACTTGCCTTTCACCTAGATGCTCTGGGTTTGATTCCCAAAACGGATGTGTGTGTAAGACAACTTGCATGCTTTCATTCATACCAACAAGAGTGATTAATGTAAGTTGGAAAAACTTGTTTCACAGTTGTTGTAGAATAAATAAAATTTAATTTAATTAATAGAATATATATTTTGAAACTTTCAATGTCTATTCTATCAAAAACTTTTCCAGGGATCTGAAGAAACCGCAGCTAAGAAATATTTTGAATTCTAATATTGACACTTTATAACAGGAGTATCGTCACCAATATATTTATAATAAATCAACCCAGTAACTGACACTGCTGATGACTTCCCTTGACGTAAAAGTGTCTAAATAAAATACCCTCCTTATGAATGTCGCAAGTTCAAAGTGCTTCTCACCTCCCACTCGTAAAATGAAGAGCTCCTCTTGCTCCTAGACCTTGTAGTGATATACGAGGGTCAAAAGTACCATAAAAATGCTACCCCTCATACACGACAGACCAGGATATTCTACTTACATCTAGCACCGTCTTGTTCTTAATTTTTTCAGTACCAAGGATTTTTTGGCCATTTAACAGCCAATTGTTTCCTTAAAGGACTTGGTTAAACAGCACCTTACATATTATACACATGAAAATTAATTAATGACATAGATTTAAGGGTATATGTCACCTTACACATTATACACATGAAAATTAATTACTGACATGGATTTAAGGGTATATGTCACCTTACACATTATACACATGAAAATTAATTACTGACATGGATTTAAGGGTATATGTCACCTTACACATTATACACATGAAAATTAATTACTGACATGGATTTAAGGGTATATGTCACCTTACACATTATACACATGAAAATTAATTACTGACATGGATTTAAGGGTATATGTCACCTTACACATTATACACATGAAAATTAATTACTGACATGGATTTAAGGGTATATGCACCTTACACATTATACACATGAAAATTAATTACTGACATGGATTTTAGGGTATATGTCATCTTTGTTAATTAAAAGAACATGTCACTTTATAAGTTAAACATGTGAATCAATTATTTATTTCTGTATATCACCTCAAATGTTGGAATTACCTTATTTTCTTCAACATTCTATGTGGAATTGTCTCCCTTTAATGTACAGGTTACCCTTAAACATAGTATGTGTGGACAGTGGTTTATGTGCGAGCTACCGGCCTTCAGTATATTATCTATTGTTATTGATGTTGTGGTGATTGCCCTGACAATACTTTTTTAATTAGTTTTATGTTACAGGTTTGTCAACTACATAAACCTGCCACCTGACATACCTAAACAACCAACTGTAAATTATTCAGGTGACTATAATCACTAATGACTGTAAATGGACAGCTGGCAAAGTTGATGTATGGACACGAAAACAAGAACTTCTTTCAAAACTGAATTTTACTTTGTAACGTTGAAACATGAGAAGGTTTTTACGTGCTTTGCACATGTTTGGAACGTCATCACGACTTGAATTTTACGTTTCCAGCACGACCTTCACTCTCTGTTTCTGACATTAACTATCATCATACAGGCATACAATCTAGTTAGGACATCCAATAACATTAACAACATTCCACTAGATTTTTTTAGTCTGCCCTCTCAATGAAAAAGCAGTGAATTAAGTTTCAATTAATTAGATAGTGTCTACTGATAAATTAACTGTGTTCATGTTGATGATACTAAATACAAGTGGTATCCATTACAGAGTTGTCAACTACTTTCTCAGCTGTATGTACATCAAATTTACAGGAATACCCCTTTAAATAGTTAGTCGTTATTGGAATGTGTCTAGAAACTCGACATATTTGAAATCGTCATCTTAAAATTCAAGAATTAACAAAATGGACATCATTTCTGTATTTAAAAGCAGTTCATGCCAAAAAGCACACCTCAGGAAATCTTGTTCTCAATTTATCTCACCTAGTTTAAATGAATTGAAGTGAACATCAATCTTTATATCATAAAATTAACAAACTGGTTATAATTAGACAGTGCGGTAAGAAGCAAGAACTAGTTTGTAGATGCACAATTGTACAACAACTACAGCAATGTTCTATTTCCAAAACTGGAATTTGAATTACCAGTCCTGTGAGTGCAAATAATGTTACTTAAATTTGTTCCCTGATATTTACATCCAGAATGTGATTTTTCTGGACAATTGACATCCGGATTATTGCACACTCAGTGTATAGAGAATGATCAATGGAGTGTTGATATAAAACCAAAGGTCTAGTTCAGTAATTTGTCACAAGTCTGCTTTATACAGGCATGAGTATAAGATTCTATTTATGACATACCTCAAAGTCATGAAAACATAAAGAGCAAAAAATCTTGTTTACGCAGAAGATAATTAAAATATCAGATGATTTACAACCTTACATTTTTCACTCTGACAAATTAGGAAATGTGAGGTCATTTGTATACATTTGTCAAACAATATTTGACTTGACTGCATTATGTGGCAGGCTAATTATGTGATAAATATTACACAAGAATACATTTAACTCACAGCCCATACATCTGCGCAGTTACTCAATGCTCTGTATGTCTTAAGTTTAATAACTCACAGCCCATACATCTACGCAGTTACTCAATGCTCTGTATGTCTTAAGTTTAATAACTCACAGCCCATACATCTGCACAGTTACTCAATGCTCTGTATGTCTTAAGTTTAATAACTCACAGCCCATACATCTGCGCAGTTACTCAATGCTCTGTATGTCTTAAGTTTAATAACTCACAGCCCGTATATCTGCGCAGTTACTCAATGCTCTGTATGTCTTAAGTTTAATAACTCACAGCCCATACATCTACGCAGTTACTCAATGCTCTGTATGTCTTAAGTTTAATAACTCACAGCCCATACATCTGCGCAGTTACTCAATGCTCTGTATGTCTTAAGTTTAATAACTCACAGCCCATACATCTGCGCAGTTACTCAATGCTCTGTATGTCTTAAGTTTAATAACTCACAGCCCGTATATCTGCACACTTACTCAATGCTCTGTATGTCTAAATTTCAATAACTCATAGCCCATATCTCTGTACATTTCTTTAACAGATCTGTATCTATGATGTGTAATGTGTTGCCAAATTTATCCTGTAGTGAGCCCAGAGTGCAAACACATTACATACTTACTGTCCATACCTTTCTTCCAACTCTAAGGGTGGGCTTATTATAGGACAATGTAAGAATAAGGGTTGAAATTTTCGCTTAATAGAATTAACAACAATATATATTGCTAGACTTAATGCCAGATACATATGTTTAATAGAACGTGTTTTCCATTAAAAACTTTGATCTTTAACATAAAACTTTGGCCAAGTGTTGTTTTACCTACCCCCAGCATCACACGGAGAGTTCTGATCTGGTGTTACAGGGTTATGTAGGTTGTGAAGGCCAATCTTGGATGGAAGAGATGTGTGTTGGTACACAATATGGGGATGACCTGTGTCAGAGGCGGGATGTCCTCGCACTGGTTCTATAAAGTAGGTTCCAGTACCAATTCGCAGTAGCCCTGTCTGAAAATAGAAGGTTAGTGTAATATTATACACTAGACATCACAGATTGTGTCCATAAAGGAGAAGTTAATTGCCAACATTATTTATATACATAAGTGATGGGATGATGGTCAGATACAAAATGAACAATTATCTGTTTATCATCAGATGTGAGGGTCAATTCTAATCTTTCATAATCCATCATCCATACCTTTACATTTTCTTGTATTTCAGTGAAAGTAAAATTCATCAAGCACAGATGCTAAATGCCAATGAAATTTAATCTTATGCAACTTCTAGATAAGTGAGGTATTGAAGTTTAAACAAAGTCACAACCAAGAATTATGCACTTTCTATAAATATCAAACACAGTCAGTTGATTTGTTTGACAAATTAATAATCCCCCTCCGGACTGAATTAACCCTATCTCACCCTTAAGGTGGTGATTGATTCTTTTACCGGAAGTCCGTGGAATTAGATATTGGTGGATACAAACTAGGTGGACGTTTCCCCCGATCATGATCGAAAGTTTCCGTAGAGAAATAACATTATCATATATTCCGTATTCATTTTCACAATCGTTTAAGATTTAAACCTATATTTAATGTGACGTCATCAAAATGGTATCATTCCTGTTGATGGTACAGCAGCTTATGGAATTTCGCGCCAAAATCTATCGGAAGTAGATGACTAATCATGAAAACGGTTGTGAACTCCTGTTCGAAACACTAATTCAGTCCATAGCTTTATTACAATTTTAGCCTGTCTGTTTTACTCTTCCTTTTTCAAATCAATGATATAATTGGGTAGATAAAGTTAAATACAACATAAAACACACATTAAATCACGTGTTAAATATATAGTCGCGTGTCAAGTTAGGAAGGGCAGTCAGGCCATTTTGGGCTGTCAAACTTACTTTTACAAACCATAACTTTGCAATCTGTTGCCATTTTTATCAAATTCCACATGTTAAACTGTCCTGACTTCTATTCTATGGTTCAATAACTTTAAAGTGTAATTTAGATATCAATTGTGAGCAAAGACCGATTGTCCGTTAACACGGAATGAGAGGTCCTGTGTCGTCATGGCGTTCCGACTTTAAACCGTAGTGATACCTGACCTATCTTCATTATAATGAGGATATCTTTATGTTTTATTTATGTACTCTAATTTTCTTTATGAGTCATTCATGAAATATGTTTCAACAATACCACAATAGATAATACATTTTTCATACAGATATATTTGTTAGATATTATTTGTGGTCACTTGGTGAAAATAAAGGGTTAAGATAATACGGCTGAAGAAACGCGACGTACCGCCGTCCAATATGTCTAGGCAATAAAAATCATCAGCGATAGATATCCGTATTATCCGGCATATACTTATCGCACCTGTGAATAAATTAAAATATGACCCGCTAACCTCACGTGATCATTAAAATACCTCTCCTCAATGTGTGTATTATAGAGACATTATATAGCATTTTGTGCTAACATACCCATTAGTACGGTTGACGGCAGATATTTTGATGTCTTTTTTTATAATACAATATAGCTCAGCCCTTGATGTCTCTGTCATTCAAGTCCGCAGACATCTAATTTAAACTGAAAAGTAGTTATTCTCTTGGTATACCATATATTTACTACTACTATCAGATAAAATAGTTCTTTACTCACATGTACGAATTCGTCGGTGCAGTTTTACGTTTTCTCTTAGCAAGTTGTATCCCTATAAGAAATGTGCAGGCCGTCTTTTCATTTATTCTGTTTTATTTAAGTGTCTTTACGTCCGTTATAACGGCGTTTCAGTAAACATGAAGCCGTCTAAATAGATACGGGTATACAGTAACATAGTCCTTAAATTCTAATTTACAGCACGTTTCGAAGTCTATTAAATTGGGCATTGGAATATTACGAGTAAAGGAAAATTATGTAAAAGTTGAAATCATGTAGTAACCTTTGTTAAATGGTTTACAACTTTTTTTTTGAAAAATCACGTGAATTTGATGGTTGTGTGCATAACGCACTCGCCTTTCGCAATAAAGTTACGTTTTTTAAAAACCATACAAGTCAGGATGCAGCGAACACTACATTATATGTTTATCATTCCCATAGCCACATAAAATAACGTGTATATACTGCTGAGTTAAAAATTTTAATATAATTTCCAAACCTTCTCCCAGTATAATAACATCCATCAGCTGCTTTATGGTGTATTATGACCGCGATAAACACACGTTTAAACATGTAACAAACATTAAACGAGCAGACCAATTTCTGTGTATGGCAGAGTTTTATCGGCACTATGGCAAGCAAATTCGACTCTCATTATATAATATTATATCAGATATGAAAATATATTCTAAAAATCCTAATCCTGTAAATATATTACAAAAAATAAGTGTCACAAAGAGGTTATGTAAAACTTGTTCTATATTCATATTACATGCTTGATATTTTTTCAAGATATTCCGAATAAGACGTCTTTATAAAAGAAGAAAACGTCATTTCATTTAATCGAGTCTCTGATAAGTTGAAAATTCGATCGTACGAGTTTCACAAACCAGACTATGGAATTTAATGGGAATTCCTCCTATCACATAACTTAGACAGTTTTGCAAACATTCGTGAAAACGGCATTTTATCAGACTGATTTAAAACATTTGATGACGTCACAATGCATATGGTGCCGTGAACCTATGACGTCATAATAGAAAACAATAGAGACATTCGGATAATCAGAGCTCTGCTATGTGTTATATAATGTTATTACATCGATAACAGGGTAGCTGTGTCATGAAATTATGTAGAATATCTTATATACTCTCCATAAGTATGTGACATTGATCCCTGACAATCACTTACAATGTAACATCACAACACCATTCGTCTTAACCAAATTCAACAACTTCCGGTTAATAACGATCATGCTGACTATTACCAAAGAGAGGGAAAACTTACAACCATACTCTACATCTTCCAGCCAGTAAAGGTCATACCAACAATTAACACACGACATTTCTGGACAATCCGATTCTTAAAATACGATGTAATAGCAATGTTGTGTTGATGTATCCAAAAATACCCCTAGTGACGTCAGTGCATGCAGCGCCTGGTACTTAACGTAACGAACTGGGCCCCGACGTCACATCTAACACGAAACCTGAAGTTTAATACTGTACTGATTTCGCTGACTGTGCCATAATCTCAAGGACGGCGATCTATCAAATTGACAGATAAACATGCTTATATATGGAGCAAGGTTTGTACTTGAACTGTTTTAATATGGGTCGGTGGATGTGTAATATCGTATACGGTGATAAGTCGTCTAGTATTGGTTTCTTATATAAGGTCTCTGGTTATTTAAAGGGAGAACAAGTAAGCTGAAGTAAACACACTTTTACCGAGTCAGCCAATGAATTGAAAAGAATATTGGCATTTTTTTTCATTGATATCACACATAGTCAAGTACTTATATCCACCGCAATCAATCTATTTAAGTTATTGAATGAATCATCACGCTTAGCTGACATAAAGTAAAGTGCATACGTTGTAGAAATTTAAAAAATATTAATCGCTACATGTGACGGTAAAATATTGATTTGATGTGGGTTTCTTTCATTCTTTAAAGTTAACATGGAATTTCCAATATTTTTGTAGTATATGACAACTGGTTTGCACTCGTCCATGACGGCATTCCTTTTCATGTTTTTTTTTTTTTTTTTTACGTAAAACAGTTTGTCTATATATCGTTTATGGTGGGTTTTCCCGTTACGTGTAACGGAACAAATTTGATTTGGATCATTAACTATAACTATATCCGACACGTGATCACGTGCACCATAAAGCGGAAATTGTTCTCAAACGTCACGACGGTAATCCCATGTCCTGTCGATCTACCAATATAAAGAGATAACCATGTTCATCAGATAACAAAACCTTTGATATAGATTTGACAGTTCTATGATGTAATGCATATACCACATAATAAACATGACCAATTTGAGATTGTTTCAAGCCCGACACGACGGCGGATATCCTTCATGTATTTCAAAATACCGAGAAATGAACAGTACATGGTTTTGTGCCAAAACCTACGTACATGTATATATCAACGTCACTCAGCACCGTCTAAAAGTCTTATCATACGAAATTGTATGAAGTTTTCGGTAAAGATATGAAAGTCCATGTCAATGCTATTCTGACTCAATTCTAGGAGCAATAGCGAAAAATAGTTATATCCTTTCCTCCACGAAGTGACGTCGGATTGGGAATGGAAATAAGGCCAGATAGTTTTGCTCGTTATAAGAATGTTTAAAATATCAAAGAATCAAAGACAAGTTTGGATAGTAACAATATATAACGATAATTTATAGTCTACAGAAATATTTCAAGACTTCTTCAGTACTTTTCATTGGGAGACAATAATAATATAATAATATTTCCTAGCGCGTCTATGGCCTCCAACAAACAGCTGTGGTCGACAGGTCACGAAGAACTATTGGGAAGCTAAAGTATATACATCCGTGAAACTAAAAATTCCGATATCTGCCAAGAATTTTAAGAATGTGAAAATGGTTTATTATGAACTGTTAAAGAAAAGTCGAGGAGAAAATCTTAGCAGGGTAGAGAGTTGTGTTAATGGCGTGGAAATGTAAAGACAAGATAATATGGCGATATCGCCATGTTTTAAGCTTATCTGTAACTGTGATTTATTTCTCGTCTGCCTATGTAACGGCGGGGAGGAATCTGACAGAAGTCGAGCGGTTCGATACCCTGGAGTACACAAAATACAGCAACCCCTATCTTTATAAAGAGAGAGACGTGAAATTAAATTTCCATGCAACAGAAGAGTGAACCGAATCGTCACATACAACACATAACATAGCATTATAACACCACCAGGCCCAGGCAACGACTTCCCTTACATCGTCATTTATTGGACCGTAATGCTATTTTCAACGGTTATTTAAAGAAACAACCGGTTTTTGTTTTGTAAATGACGTCACTTTTAATGAC